AAGCTTACTATGGGATGCATGGGATGCATGGGAACGTTTATGGGAGGTCGAGGGAACGAGGGACGAGGAGGAGGCTGAGGTGTTTCAATCAAGGTAGATGAACGGGAACGCGTCGCGCCGTTTGTTAGCTTGTTTTGGCTTTTTCATCTGAAATGCGTCAAGCACGAGATAAGCTTTTCGCTGGAATCATAATCGGCGCGTTAGATTGGGGGCGATAGGCTTGATAGTATGATAGCTTGGAATGATAGCATGATGGTGTGCTTTGTTTGTGTTCAGTTTGTTTACGCATCGGCATGGGTGTGTTTGGTGTGGTGTTCTATTTGAGGATACGGGAACGGCATGGGAGATGATCTAGTGGGGAGAGGGCAATTGATTCATAAAGTCAGAGACAAGTATGGGAAACGCTGGGAGATGTCAAGCATCCACCTAGACCAGCCCTAATCTCATATCGTCTATGCATGCGAGTATCAGCCCCTCAATGCTCTCAAGCCAGCAACGCCATGCCCCATGAAAGAGAAGAGTGCCGCAAAGTGGAGGTCAGGCACTGCACGATTCGGCTCTCCGCCGGGGATTTGTTCGCAGTCGCTCCTGGGTGTCCATGTGGCACTCGACCATCCCTCAACCCTCAACAGAGATGCCCCACTGACATGCCCGACCCCCTCCTCTCCTCCACCCCCTTCCCCTCCACCCCCCTCAAGGGCACATACATCCTCCACCTCTCCACCCCTACCATCTCCGTCCGCCGCTTCAGGCCTTCCCTTTCAGGGGACACGTCGGGGGGTGAAGGTGATTTGAGCGAGATTTTATGGCGGACGTTGGCAGAAAGGGCGAATGTGGAGGTGGGGGGGATGTTGGATTCTGGGGTTGGGGTGGTGGATGCGGATAGGGAGGTTTGGTTCTTCTCGTGTTCGAAAGTCGACATTGACCTGCCTGAAGGCTTTGAAGGTGAGTCGACTGACAGAACGTGCATTACTGTATACTGACCCCATGCAGAACTTCCAATTCAAACACTGACACCCCAAACTCTCCTCACATGCCCCTCCCATCCAACCCCATTCGAGTGCCTCTCCTATAACACCTGCCTAATCTCTCTCAAGCAGACTTCCGAATCGCTCAAGATGTGCGACATGCTCGCCAATGCCATTATCGAGACTTTTGCATGGAAGAAGGGCGGGCGAGCTATATTAAGAGCTAGTGGGGTCGTACCGTGAGTTCTGCTTATATCTGATCGGGTTGAGCTGATGGGGTGTAGTATCGAACCGCGTTGGAGGCCGCATGTCTATCCCCTCTCTTCCACCAGTCTATTACTCACCATCAACCCATCCTGCTCCCCCGCCCCCGCCCAACCGACAACATGCACACACCACCTCCTCCCTCTCTCCCTCCCAGCCACATTCCTCTCCCCACTCAAGCTTGCCCTACCACAAACCATCCGCCTCGAAGCCGCGTTCGACGCACTGATTGGTAGGGACTGGAAGAAGGGCAGAGCATCGCTCTTGACCCGGGAACTCGTTATGGGGCAGAAAGATACGCACGAATGGGCTGTCTACTGGGTGCCGCTCCGCCAAGAAGGCGAGGGTGTTTTGACTGTCTGGCCCGGCCATCTCGCCGCCCCTATCAAACGAATACACGAACCAGAACCACCCGAACCCGTCATCCTCCACCCGCCCAAAGCAGAGTCTCTCGACATGATGGCCACTGCGCACGACCTCTTTGAATTCTTCTCGTCTTATCGCGAGCCGAGCCCCAAAGCCGACGGCGGGGCGCAGGCAGAAGATGCTGACCCTGCCGAGGACGAGGATGAGGAGACTATGGACGTCGATAAACCACCGACGCGGCCTGCGAGTAGGAGACAGAGTGTGGTGGAGGAAGATTCAGAGTTTGATGACCTCTTTGACTCGCCCTCGTCTTCGCCCGTACGCCAGCCTATTGAGCCGTATCAACCTCCCCTCGCGGTGGCCTCTGTACAGCCAGAATTAGAAACAGACGCGATGGACTTTGGAGACTCTCTCGTGCATATCCCGGACCCCACCCCGCCTCCTGCCATGAGAACGCGGGAAACGGTGGAAGAGCGCGAGCCTGATAGGAGGGATGAAGTGGGCCTGGTGACGGAGGATGATTTTGCATTCTTCGACTCGCCTGGGTTTGGCGATTTAGGGGGGGTGGGCGTGGATGTAGATTCAGCGCCTGTGGTTCCGGAGGCTCCGCCTGTGAACGTGGCAGAGGGGGAGATGGGTGTGGACGATCTTCTGGCAGGACTCGGTCTTCCTATTGATGCGCCTGCGCCTGCACCCGAATTCAAGGAGGAAGCTGCAGAGGACGAAACCAAACCTGAACCGTCATCCCCTCCACCGCCTCCCCTCCCCCCAACGCCTATGACGATACCTCCCAAGACCAAACCCCCACAACTACATCCCCTTATACCATCCCCTTACGCACCCATAGTGCTTCAAGAACCTCCACGTTTCCATGCCTATACTCCACCATCCCCTGCGCCCACACCCGAAACGAGCCTGGTCGAGCGGCTCTCGGCTAAACGAAAACGAGGTTACGCAGATTATTGGACGTTCGAACAAAGTTCTGATGAGGGGGATAATGACGGGGACGAAGTCGATTATACCGGCCCGCCCACACCCGTCTCTGTCTCTGACATTCTCTCAGACTCTGACGAGCCCACAAGAACATCTTCTTCCCGCGCGAGTCTGGCCAGAGATCATACACCATCAAACGCCATCACCGGTGCAGGACAGACAGAGATCAAGTGGCATGGGACAAGGTGTGTAGGACCGGAATGGGTGGTGTTGCGGGATACGGGGGTGGAGGAGGTCAAGACGACGTGGGATGGGGCGTGGCGGACGCCGGATGTGATGCAGCTTGGTGAGAATGGGGTCAAAGCGGGGGCGAGGAAGAGTGGGGATGTGGATTGGGAGAAGGTTGTGAGGGAGGTTATCACAAACCGGTCGTTTAGACGGACGGTTTTGGGTAAGAGGGATGTGGGTCATGAGCGGGGGAGAGGGGTGGTGGATGATGTGGTGAATGGTGGGGATGCGTTGAGCGCTTTCGGTGAATACGGCAAGTAGCCTGTTCATGATTTGAGCGGTGCTGACCATATCGCAGGTGAAACACGCATGACCGTCCCACCTCAACCCCAAATAACAACATCCACAGTCCACACGCCCCTTATCCTCCGACTATCCATATCAGCTCTATCATATTGGTCAGAGCTCGGCTTGGCACCTCAATCTGGACGAAAGAATATCAAGCTGGGGGTCGTCTCGGACGACCCTGGACAAGGTCGGGAGGTGGCTGATGGGTTGAAGAAGGGGTGGGAAGATTTGCGTTTCGGCCAGACCGAGTGGGTGAATGTGGGTAAAGACGGTGTGATTGCTGGTATCCAAACCTTTCTTGATACATCTTGTATGTCCTCATACCAGAAAACGTTCAAAGCTGACTGGAGCCCAGTTTCAACCCTTCTCAAACTCCTCGAAGCGGAGCACCATCTCGTGCTCTTCATCGCACTTCCTCCTGGCACTCACCCACCGTCCAGGCTCTTTTCGCCCTCACTTTTCACTCCAGCCAACGTCACACTCATACCTTTACACCTACCCGCCTTTCCCAACCGCCTGACGCTGAACGACTACCGCGTCCTCTCTCGCGAAGCGTACGACCGCCTGCCCCTCCTGCTTACCCCGATACAATCCCGCGGCGAGCCGCTGTGGACGCACGACAGATACATATCTGCCCCAGCTTGGACGCTCGCCAGCCACAAGGAACAGAAACCCGAGTTTCAACTCGCGTTTCCCATAGAAGGTTGGGACGTGTTGAACAGGTGGAGGTGGTGGCACCTCTCCTACGATGTCGTGCCTTCGACGTCGAGCGTACTGAGCAAAGATGTGGCGGTCGTTGTTTGGATCAGCGATGATAAGGGTGAAGCTTGGGAACTGCAAGTGCTGAGCAAGGAGAAGGATTGGAAAGAGCGGGTGGGAAAGATACATGCTTGGGGAAAGAAGGTGGCTGGGTCGGGGACGAAAGAGTGGAATTTGAGCGTCTGCAGGGTCGGCGCGATGGACCGCGAAGAATGGCAAGGTGCGTCTTTGTCGTCTCTGTCTGCAATCTGAAGAGTCCTGACAGTACGATAGCATGGCGCGTCATAATCGCCAACGAACCCCTCACCCTTCTCCTCTCCACCCCCTCCGGCCCGGCTACCACATGCCTCACCGACCCCTGCCCTACCGCGCCTCCAAGACCGAGGGCGATAGCCAACATTTCCCCGGCCATCCTCACCGACCCGAATACGAGCATCATCGATACTTCCCTGGCGGGGCATATCACGCATCTGCCGTTTGCGTTACCCGCAGAGCTGCTCTCGTCACCTTCATTGTTGCCGCAGACGATATACCCACAGTCGACATTTCTGGTGACACTGCCCGGCAAGGACGGGGTGGAGCACAAGACGGTTTCTTACCACCTTTTGTCGCACGAGCCCAGAAGACCTTCTTCTCAAGAAAAGGACAAAGAGGCAGAGAAGGAGGATGCAAAGGCAGTTGGGAGTGAGTTGGCTGAAGAATATTACAGGCTGAGCTGTCTGGCGAGGCAGAGGTGGGGTGGGGAAGGATGGTTGGATGCTGTCCGATGGGGGAGGGGAGTCATTGAAGAGATGTCTTGATATCTGATAGTCATCACGGACGATATCTCACGTCGAGGGACTTTGTAGTCATGGTCTATAATCATGTTTGTATTTGTACTGGAACACTCTGTGATGTTATTTGTCATGCAGATATGCAAAGTTCATGCAAGTATGCAAATCCAAGTCCAGATGACAACTACCCCATCAATGCGATACTATGAGACACAGATATAATTTATAATGCTACAATGCGGGGAACTACGAGACAACATGTATAGGGAATCCAAGAATTTCCCCGGGTATGACAAAGGGTATAGGGTATACCGAACAAACAAGCAAAGACAACTCCTAATGAGAAAGACAAACATCACTTCTATGAAGAAGAGTTGTCGGCACAAGAGAACGATCCGCTGGACGCGCCAAAAGCAGCATCGTTCTTTATCGTGATCGCCGTCGCATAGGTGCCCGCGACCGTGGCGAAGAGCCCAAAGCCAATCATCACCGCCCAGTTCATCGTTTGCATCAACTTGTGCCACCACTTTTGCCTGTTGGGGTACTTCTCAGGGTTGACTCGGAGGTCATAGATGAACATCATCCCTTCAAAGACGATGCAGTTGGGCGTAGCGATGAGGGCGCCAATGAGGGAGATGAGGTCGGAGAAGACGGGGATGCCTTCGGCGATGACGAAGGAGACGGCACAAGAGCCGAATACGCAGGCCAACCAGGCGACACGGTGGGTAACGGTGTTGGCAGACAAGTGTCGGCTGTTTCGCATGACGCGGACAAAGACGTACTTGGCGGGCAAGTGGGTGTTGAGCACGCAGGACATGATGAGTCCGGGAAGGGCGAGGCCGTACGTTACCTTCTTCATCAGGGGACCGGCAGAGCCGAGGGCGGGGGAGGCGATGTATTGGCCGCAAAAGTGGTAGATTGTGCAACCCAAGATCTGCTCGCAAGTCAGTCTGCGAACAAGAAAGGAAAAGTGGAAGAGACGTACGAGGTAGACAGCGAGAACGAAGACCATACAGGTGCTCATGGCCTTGTTGTAGTCTTTAGGGTTCTTCATTTCAGCAATGACGTTGAAAAAGCCAGGGGTACCGGCAAAGGAAAAGAAGATGTTGGACATGGTGGCGATACCAGAGATGAATCCCGGGTTGTTGATCACCTTGATATCCTTATCCCACAGCCCTGTCTGGGGCGCCGCACTGGGCCTGTCCTGAACACCGACGGCGATGGTCAAGGTGATGATGGACGAAAGGATACAGATGAGGCCGACCCAGCCCATCCAAGAGATCTTGTGGAGGGTCTGGATGGAAGAGACGAGGATGTTGATGATGGCGGCGATGACGACGAATACGATGGTGCAGGCGCCATGCTCAGACATGGCGTTGAAAGCGACGGAACAGGCGATCAGACCGGCGCCGGCGACGGCAACGAGCTGGATCCAGTAGAAGAAGCCGAATATTTCGCGTCCGATGGGGCCAAACATGATCTGACCGACACTGAAGCCAAGTCAGCTGGGAACGAAAGTGAGGGGAGGAATACTTACTCGGCAAGGGTGTACACTTCAGGGTGATGTAGCTTAAAGACACCGACAATGTAGTTGGCCCATGATATAATCGCGCAGGCAGCAATGATGAGGAGAATGGCAGGCACATAGCCCAGAGAGTCAAGGGCAGCAGGGATACTGAGCACACCGAGACCGATCTGGACTTTGACCAACAAGACACTGGCTCGCATCCTGCATCCCAGTCAGCAGAAGTCAAGACGGACAAAGGAGGGGAGGACGTACCACCCAAGACTCCGGTAGCTGGGCGCTCCTTCTTCTAATGTTCCCCAGACGGCATCAACCACGAGCTCGCCCTCGAGATTGTCAGAGCCAGAGCTAGCCGAGACGACTGTGGACAGACCGCCTAGACGCTCGACGTCCTTGGGGACATTGTCGTTGACCGACTTCTTTTCGTCTGTGACTTTCTTTTCGCTGTTGAACATTGTGAGATGTTGTGGTGGTCAAACTGTTTACGAAAGACGGGATTTTCAGCGGGGTAGTTATATACTGGACAGAGATGAGCAATTAGAGAGACTCCAACGTCATCAGGCTGGGTGGGGAAGCGACTGACGGAGACAAATAAAGGGGCTAATTGCCATCATGGGAGCAAAAAAAAAGTAGACACCGATGTAGACTGCGGCTTCCTTTTCCGCGACGACCAAGATCGTCTCTTTGTTCTTCCCGGGCAGGGCCGCCGAGGAGCCGCTGTGGCATGGCGGAGGTGAATGGGACCCCTCGAAGCGTGCACGTACCCCAGTCATCCCTTGTTAGTCAGAGGCCAGAGCAACCCCGTTTCAATGTTCATTGCACGTTAAACAAACAAGTCGCGAACAAGCCGATTCCGCTGACATCATCATCGGAAGAAGAGTGCGATTCGATAAGATTGCCGGTCAGGCTCATACCCGAACACGTCATCAGCCAAGGCTGGCTATCGTGGTGCCAACCCTTTTATTTGTCTTGTTTGGTCCATTTATCATCGTAACGTTCATTCAATCAAGGCTACAATTCCAAATCCAAATCCCAGATAGAAGCAAAAAGAGAACACCACAGGCTATGATACTTTTCTAGAGATGCAAGCAAAAGAGTACGCGAGTACTATAAGATGAAATGTACAACCGAGAAAGACACTTTTTATTGTTTGATAGAACTGAAGTAACAACACACGAACCCGCCAAAGGCACCAATCACCCAGAGTTGTCGGCACAAGAGAACGGCTGAGTCGTGGACCCGGCCGAAACATCAGCCCGGATTGTGACCGCCGCCGCATAAGTCCCGGCCACCGTCGCAAACAACCCAAAGCCAATCATCACCACCCAGTTCATCACCTCGAGACCCTTGTGCCACCACTTGCTTCGGTTGGGGTACTTGTCCGGGTTGGTGCGGAGGTCGTAGATGAACATCATGCCTTCAAAGATGATCGAGTTGGGGGTGGCGATAAGGGCACCAATGAGGGAGATGAGGTCGGAGAAGACGGGGATGCCTTCGGCGATGACGAAGGAGATGGCGCAAGAGCCGATCACACAAGAGCTATCACTTCGTCAGTACGGGAGAGTGAAAAGAGGGAAGGGACTTACACCCAGACGACACGGTGGGTGATGGTGTTGGCAGACAAGTGTCGGCTGTTACGCATCACTCGCACAAAGACATACTTGGCCGGCAAGTGGGTGTTCAACACGGCAGACACGATAAGACCGGGGAGGGCGAGACCGTAACAGACCTTCTTCATGAGAGGACCAGCGGAACCGAGAGCGGGAGATGCAATGTATTCACCACAGAAATGGTAGATGGTACACCCCAAGATCTATTCTATCGTCAGCATCACATAACGAGGGAAGAGAGGGACGTACGAGATAGCAGGACAAGACAAAAGTCTGGCAGACACCCATGGCCTTGTTGTAGTCCCTCGGGTTCTTCATCTCGGCGATGACGTTGAAAAAGTTGGGGGTACCGGCGAAAGAAAAGATGATGTTTGACAACGTCGAGATACCCAAAACGAATCCGGGGTTGTTGAAGATCAAAACCTCCTTATCCCAAGGTCCCGTCTGCGGCGCCGCATTAGGCCTGTCCTGGACCGCCACCGCAACCGTCAAAGTGACGATGGAAGAGACGATACCGCCCACGCCGATCCAGCCGATCCAAGATATTCTGTCGAGGGTTTGGATGGAAGAGATGAGGATGTTGATGACGGCGGCGACGACGACGAATACGATGGTGCAGGTACCGTGTTCAGACATGGCGTTGAAGGCGACGGAACAGGTGAGAAGACCGGCACCGGCGACGGCGACGAGCTGAATCCAGTAGAAGAAGCCGAATATTTCACGACCGATGGGACCAAACATGATCTGACCAACACTGACATCATATCGACTTAGCATGGCCCGACGATGGAGGGGGAGTATTTACTCGGCGAGGGTGTAGACTTCGGGGTGATGCAGCTTGAAGACACCGACAATGTAGTCGGCCCCTATCTCTAACGTCAACATCGCACTCCGCCTATTCTGCCATGACTCACAGGTGATGACGAGACACACAGCAACGATAACCAGGATAGCAGGAACGAGACCAAGGGCATCGAGCGCCGCTGGGATACTCAGTACACCGAGACCGATTTGAACTTTGACCAGCAAGACACTCGCTCGGACCCTTATCACCATCAGCCTTTACCCCTCCCACAGGATTGAAAAGGCTCACCAGCCAAGACCGCGATAGTTGGGAGCACCTTCTTCCAAAGTACCCCATACACCATCGACGACGGTCTCCTCATCGATCGTGTTGATCTGCGACGAAGCAGAAACGACACGGGAGATGTCACCTTGTTGACGCTCAACGTCTTTCTGGTCATTCACGCCAAGGTTGTGTTTTTCGTCGTCGACTTTGGTATCCCTGCTGCTAAACATGGCGGAGAATTATTTCAAGATGGTACGGGGCTAGAGTTGTGAAACTAGCAGGTACGTCTTTATAAGTCTTTGCATTCTGCGGATGGCTTGTACGATAACAGTGCATGGGACTCGGGGGTATGGACACGTATCAGCTGATAAGAGCCTTTGTCTCAGATAACATGACGCCGGGCTAGTTGTGCAGGGCCAATGGGACGATAGACAGAAAATGACCCGTTGCCGCTACGCACCTTCTTCGGACTCTAGCACGGTCAAGAATTTACCTCCTTCTTGTCTCTCGGGCGGGAGCGCGGAATACAACTTTCTTCAGCAATTCGCCGATTTTGCTATGCCCGTGTTTCCCCAGAAGGTATGGAGAGGTACGTGCCTGTAAATTGGGGGAACGGTTGTAAGCGACGGCATTGCGCAAGAGCGCAAAAGCGGTAAAAGGCATCGAAAGGCGTCCCGAACGAAATCTATCGATAACCGATTGTAGCTGATAACGGTATGCTGACGATAACTGTACGCAGCAGGAGCGGCCACAGCCCCAGATCTGCAAGTAAAGCATGTGAGATCGCCCACGTCAATGGCTGATGATCTATGTCCATCAATCAATTGCCACGTATGAGGCTTGGGGTACGCTAAGGAACCACATATAATCGAACGCGCAGTGGCATGGCAGCCTGGGCCTTTAAACGACCAGATGACGGACTTTTATATAACTGGATTTGTTGTGTCATTTGACCCTTTGCTTCTGAGGTTCCATTGCAAGCAGAGTGAAGGGGTCAAAGACCAGCTGCTATAGATTGATGATGGTATTTATTGCGACCAACTATCCATCAGGCCTGGTAAGACTGAGAACCCATCATGCAGAGCATCGATTGTCTTTCAACAATCAAGCGCTCACACCTCCTGTACTGCTGGCTGTCTACCTGCCCCGCATATAACAATCAGTGAGGTGAGGACGTTACGGTATCAAAATCGAGATATGATATGAAAACCCCCCGCAAGCCGCAAGCGATACAGCGGAAAGGCGGCACGGGAATGACGAATCCCGAGATAATGATGATAAGATGCACACGACGGCTGCCGGTCAGTCACTGCCACACACAGTAGCCACACAAGTCTGCTTCCTCATCTTGCTGTCCGTTGACTCGATCGATACTTCAGGGAGCTCAGTGATCAGCATATCATGATCATGTAGACTACTGGTGATGCGCAAAGATGCGAAGGGACAAGTATGCAGCAGCTGCGTTTGGCTTTTGTGATTGGCTATTAAGGGGTGCTTTGAATGTTTTGTGCCACCACAGTCTTGCCGCTCTTCCATCTTCATCTTTAGCGAATCAAAGATAGACGATGAGCATCAGAGAATAGACCACCTTGACAGCTAACTGAAACACGGACTGTTCTCTGGACCTGGCATGGACTTTGCGTGAATATGCGGTACAAGTGGAAACAATCTCATCAAGATTATATATAGTGTGGGGCCCATGTCACCTCGTCAAGATATACAATCTGAGATTGTACATCTCTCTGAATGTCAACAACGCCATCATTCAGCTCCACACGCTTCGCGCGTATATGCTGATCAATCCGAGATAAGGCGTCTTGAAAGCTCCACTCGCGCTCTCCCGATTACTTCTATCTGATTCTCTATCGGGAAGGGCGTTAGGGCGGGCAGCCAGATGTGGCGCCTGGCTGGGAGCGAGCGCGGTATGTCCAAAGATCAATGGATGGGCAAAGACGTAAGATGTGCAGCGGTACCGAGATCGTCTTTTCGTTCTTCCCGGGTAAAGCCGCCGAGGAGCCGCTGTGGCATGCGGAGGTGAATGGGACCCCACGAAGCGTGCAAGTGCCCCATTTCTCCCGTAGTCAGAGCAACCCCGTTTCAATGTTCAATGCACGATGGACAACAACAAGTAGGAACGAGCCGACTCCGCTGACATCATCATCGGAAGAAGAGTGCGATTCGATAAGATTGCCGGTCCGGCGCATACCCGGACGTCATCGTGATACCAACCCTTTTATTTGTCTTGTTTGGTCCATTTATCATCGTAACATTCATTCAATCAAGGCTACAATTCTAAATCCAGATCCCAGATAGAAGCAAAAAGAGAACACTACAGGCTATGATTCTTTTCTAGAGATGCAAGCAAAAGAGTACGCGAGTACTATGAGACGGAATGTACAATCGAGAAAGACTCTTTTTATTGTTTGATAGAACTGAAGAAACAACACACGAGCCCGCCAAAGGCACCGATCACTGTAAGGGTCGGTGAGGTGATGCGTGACCTAGGGGCGGTTACGCGGTGGATCTAGCTGGGGGCGCTAGATGTCGACCTGGGATAGGCTGGTGGTGAGAGGATGGATATAGGTGATGAGGAGTATAACGAGAATACATCGATAAGGAAAAGGATAGAAGACGCGGCACGATGTATGTACGGGAGCCTCCTCTCGCCTCCGCGCCTAACTCGTCCCTGAGAACATAGCGGCAACCCCGATACCAGACTCTGCGTTCCAATGTCCACATCACCACATCTCCTCCTACTGACCAGTCTGTACCAATTCCTTACAATCACCCAGAGTTGTCGGCACAAGAGAACGGCTGAGTCGTGGACCCGGCCGAGACATCAGCCCGGATCGTGACCGCCGCCGCATAAGTCCCCGCCACCGTCGCAAATAAGCCTAAGCCGATCATCACCACCCAGTTCATCACCTCGAGACCCTTGTGCCACCACTTGTTTCGGTTGGGGTACTTGTCCGGGTTGATGCGGAGGTCGTAGATGAACATCATGCCTTCAAAGACGATGCAGTTGGGAGTAGCGATGAGGGCACCGATGAGGGAGATGAGGTCGGAGAAGACGGGAATACCTTCGGCGATGACAAAGGAGGTGACGCAAGAGCCGATCACACAAGAGCTATCACTTCGTCAGTACGGGAGAGTGAAAAGAGGGAAGGGACTTACACCCAGACGACACGGTGGGTGATGGTGTTGGCAGACAAGTGTCGGCTGTTACGCATCACTCGCACAAAGACATACTTGGCCGGCAAGTGGGTGTTCAACACGGCAGACACGATAAGACCGGGGAGGGCGAGACCGTAACAGACCTTCTTCATGAGAGGACCAGCGGAACCGAGAGCGGGAGATGCAATGTATTCACCACAGAAATGGTAGATGGTACACCCCAAGATCTATTCTATCGTCAGCATCACATAACGAGGGAAGAGAGGGACGTACGAGATAGCAGGACAAGACAAAAGTCTGGCAGATACCCATGGCCTTGTTGTAGTCCCTCGGGTTCTTCATCTCGGCGATGACGTTGAAAAAGTTGGGGGTACCGGCGAAAGAAAAGATGATGTTTGACAACGTCGAGATACCCAAAACGAATCCGGGGTTGTTGAAGATCAAAACCTCCTTATCCCAAGGTCCCGTCTGCGGCGCCGCACTAGGCCTGTCCTGGACCGCCACCGCAACCGTCAAGGTGACGATGGAAGAGATGATACCGCCCACGCCGATCCAGCCGATCCAAGATATTCTGTCGAGGGTTTGGATGGAAGAAATGAGGATGTTGATGACGGCGGCGACGACGACGAATACGATGGTGCAGGTACCGTGTTCAGACAAGGCGTTGAAGGCGACGGAACAGGTGAGAAGACCGGCACCGGCGATGGCGACGAGCTGAATCCAGTAGAAGAAGCCGAATATTTCACGACCAATGGGACCAAACATGATCTGACCAACCCTGACATCATATCGAGTTAGCATGGCCCGACGATGGATGGGGAGTATTTACTCGGCGAGGGTGTAAACTTCGGGGTGATGCAGCTTGAAGACACCGACAATGTAGTCGGCCCCTATCTCTAACGTCAACATCGCACTCCGCCTATTCTGCCATGACTCACAGGTGATGACGAGACACACAGCGACGATAACCAGGATAGCAGGAACGAGACCAAGGGCATCGAGCGCCGCTGGGATACTCAGTACACCGAGACCGATTTGGACTTTGACCAGCAAGACACTCGCTCGGATCCTCATCACCATCAGCCTTTACCCCTCCCCTAGGATTGAAAAGGCTCACCAGCCAAGACCGCGATAGTTGGGAGCACCTTCTTCCAAAGTACCCCATACACCATCGACAACAACCCCCCCATCGATCGTCTTGATTCGCGACGAAGCAGAGACGACACGGGAGATGTCACCTTGTTGACGCTCAACGTCTTTCTGGTCATTTACGCCAAGGTTGTATTTTTCGTCGTCGACTATGATATCTCTGCTTCTAAACATGGCGGAAGATTATCTCAAGATGGTACGGGGCTCAAGTTGTGGAACTAGCAGGTACGTCTTTATGAAGTCTTTTCATTGCTGCGGAATGGCTTTCACGGTGACAGTATATGGGACTCGGTGGTATGGACACGTATCAGCTGATAAGAGCCTTTGTCACAGATAACATGACGCTGGGCTAGTTGTGCAGGGCCAATGGGACGATAGACAAAAAAATGACCCGTTGCCCCTACGCACTTCTTCGGATCCTAGCATCTTCTTGTCTCTCGGGCGGGAGAGCGGATACTACTTCCTTGAGCAATTCGCTGCTTTTGCTATGCCCGTGTTTCCCCAGGAGGTATGGAGAGGTACGTACCTGTAAATCGGGAGGACGGTTGTAATTAAGCAACGGCATCGCGCAAGAGCGCAAAAGCGGTAAAAGGAACGAAATCTATCGGCATATTTGGTCGATCGATAACCGATTGTAGCCGATAACGGTATGCTGACGATAACTGTACCTGCATAAGGCGGCAGGAGTCGCCACAGCCCCAGATCTGCAAGCAATGCATGTGAGATCTCCCACGTCAATGGCTGATGATCTATGTCCATCAATCAATGCTACGTATGAGGCTTGGGGTACGCGAAGGAACCACATATCATTGAACGCGCAGTGGCAGCCTACGTTTTTATTGTGTCACTTGACCCTTTGCTTCTGAGGGTTCATTGCAAGCAGAGTGAAGGGGTCAAAGACCAGCTGCTATAGATTGGTGATAATATTCATGGCGACCAACTATTCATCAGGCCTGGTATGTAAAAGACCCCAAGGGTGATTCTGACGGAGGATGAGAATCTTGATAACAGCGTTATTAACCATGCGTGGGCCCGGGTACCGCGGAAAGGCGGCACGGGAACGCGGAATGGCCCGAGATAATGATAAGATGCACACGACGGCCACACACAGCAGCCACACAAGTCTGCTTCCTCATCTTGCTGTCCGTTGACTCGATCGATACTTCAGGGAGTTCAGTGATCAGCATATCATGATCATGTCATGGTAGACTACTGGTGCTGCGTAAAAGTAGGAAGGGACAAGTATGCAGCAGGTGCGTTTGGTTTTTGTGATTCGCTAAGGGGTGCTTTGAATAATTTGGTGCCACCAGTGTTGCCGCTCTTCCATCTTCATATTTAGCGAATCAGAGATAGATGATGAGCATCAGATAATAGACCACCCTGGCAGCTAAATGAAACACGGACTGTTCTCTGGACCTGGCATGGACTTTGCGTGATTATGCGGTACAAGTGGAAACAATCTCATCAAGATAATATCTAGTGTGGGGCCCATGTCACCTCGTCAAGATATAAGATCTGACCAGTCGCAAGGCGGTAAGCTTGTACATCTTTCTGACTGTCGACAACGCCATCAACCGACTCCACACGCTTCGCGAGTCAATGCTGATCAATCCGAGATAAGGCGTCTACTCCACTCGCGCTCTCCCCATTACTCCTATCTGATCCTCTATCGGGAAGGGCTTTAGGGCGGGCAGACGGATTTGGAGCCGGGCTGGGAGCGAGCGCGGTATGTCCGAAGATCAATGGATGGGCAAAGACGTACGATTTGCAGCGGTACCGCGGCGCTTAATTCGATACTGATACTGTGCGCAGAGGTATTTCCGTATCGTCGTTTCTAAGATCGGCATGTGAGTCGGTAGTAGTGCGATACAGACAAGAACCATAGCGTAAAGATATTAGCTCACTGCGCCAGTGCGGTTACTCGGATTTCCACGTCTCGAGCATGTGAAACTCGGCGCTCTTCTCGGCACACAACGCGGTACTTATCATTGGGTCACAAACAGGGCGCCGACAGGGGGACGTCATCTGGGATGGCAATGCCTCAAACAATGGGCGACGTACGTACTCTGCAGCGGCTATAGATGAGATATGGCGGCTGTACATGAGAGCGGGGAGGTGATGACTTGAGCAGGGGTATTGGGTTCAAGAGTATGAGAGGCGAGGGTGGCAGCCAGCTAAGGCTTCTGCTATAGTAATCGAAGCCAATGATTCTGAAAGTCAGCTTGAGCTTCGTGTCAGTCGAGGAATATGCTGGAGCGAAGGCTATATAGTCGTCTAGTAATATCTGATCCGTAATTCAATAGGAGGGGCCATGAAGCAAGTCACAGCCTCTCTGGCTAAAGATGGTGTGTGTATAGTATCGCATGAGTGTCAAGGAAGAGAGTGCGATTCTGGCATGCGTTTGAGAAGAACTGCATGCATTTATGGCTGATCAGAGCACCCCCGCGCAAGCATCGGGGATAACTCATTTGCTTCCGCGTGCGCCGCGCCACAATCCGCCGGGGCATTTCGCCGCAGATCTCCTGGTGCAGGCTGTGGCGCGCGTGGCAGGTGATTGTCGAATTTGCTGAAGTCTCCTCATCCACCAAGCATCAATCAACATGGGTTCCAACAAGCCTAGGGGTCTCCAAGCCGCGCGAAAGCTCCGTACCGACCGTCGAGAGAACCGATGGGCCGACAACGACTACAAGAAGCGAGCTCTCGGCAAGTTCTACAAGACCTCCCCCACCGGTGGTTCTTCCCACGCCAAGGGTATCGTCTTGGAGAAGGTGAGTTGGAGAACGATCAAGACGGAGTAGGGGGACGGATGGTGTGCATGAGAGGGAAGGATGGGCAACAAGGGAGGGAGATGGGAAGAAGCGTGGAATATGGGAACCGTCACTAACGTCTCCGATCAGATCGGTGTTGAGGCCAAGCAGCCCAACTCTGCTATCCGAAAGTGTGTCCGAGTCCAGCTCATCAAGAACGGCAAGAAGGTCACCGCTTTCGTCCCCAACGACGGTTGTTTGAACTTCGTCAGTCTATCTTCATGATTATTGGCGACAATTGCTGATGGAGCCGCAGACCGACGAGAACGACGAGGTCCTCATCTCTGGTTTCGGTCGACGAGGAAAGGCTAAGGGTGATATCCCCGGTGTCCGATTCAAGGTCGTCAAGGTCGCTGGTGTCGGTCTCCTTGCCCTCTGGAAGGAGAAGAAGTGAGTTTTCATCCATTGACTCGTGAGGCCATTCACTGACAGATCTTGTAGGGAGAAGCCTAGGTCATAATCGTATCTTTCGGTTCACGCCTAGGGATGCATGTATGATTTCACAGACATTGGATCAAGCATGGATGGCATTTCCCACACTTTTTTGTTGTCTTGTCTTTTCAATCAATCTGAGCAATGTGGGGGAGACAAGAAGGGGATGGGGGACAGTGACAGGAGGATGCTGAGTGGGCAGAGGTGGCGAAGGTGTCTTGTCATGGGAAGACGTGGTGGCGTCAAGGCTACTGACGAAGCTTTTCGGCCGTCTTGCCAATCTAGCTGACCCTTTCTTCGACAGCCCTCGCTTGTCAATCTCCTTACCAGCCTCCTTCTCCTCAGCCGCCAGTTCCCCACAAAATCATTTGGTACCAGATGTCGCCCTGTCTTGGCATGCCCATGTGCCGCGAAAAATATCCGACGAAAGAGTCCGCTTCATGAAAGCTTTCGAACGTCTCATCAACGCCTTTCGCAATGGTCTATGATCATCAAGACAATTAGTCACAATCCTTCGATGTCTTTGTCGACCGCCTCGCGACCAGAATTTTCAAAAGCGCCATTGCGGATTGCAACCCACTCCAGCTCGCTCAACAACCCCAGTACCTCTGGATGGCCGTATGTCGCTTCAAACCCGCCTTCAAACGATTCATTTCAAGCCCCCAGAGACACTTTGCACTGCAACCACGATCAATCCATATTCGCAAACGTCGCCAGATCTCCATCCACGAGCCATCCACGACGACCCCACATTCTCAAATACGATATGTAGCCATCCCCATGGTGCCCTCTTGTCTTTTGGACCTCTCGACTAAAACCCGGCAACGGCGGCCGACCATATTCTATTGGCTCCTTTCCCTACCCCGGCTTCTGGCGTTTCGTCTGAGTATGATACAAGCTGATAATTCTACGCGTAGACGGAAGCGAAAGTGCCCCATGTATGGTGTCAAGAATGCGGGGAGGATGTTGAGCTAAGCTTTGGTTCTTTGACGCGTCCGGCCGAAGAGCTCGTTTACTTCCCATCGTACGATAATCGTATGTATGAGGTATGACCCGTATGAGGTATGAATGCAGTCACCTTTGCTTACGGTGGAGCTCGACGGGACGTCCATGATGTATAGCCTGGTCAGGGTTAGTACCGTTTGCGGTTTTGAAAGACCCGATCATGGAGACGGAAGACCGAGGGACTTGGATCGTGATCGTACATACATAGCGCGCGTAGCACTTGATCAGTGTCGGACGGATGTCTGGTTCTTTCGTGATAGCTATCTTGGTTTGAGAATGTATATCAAGACTGTCGTCAGTCAAGTTTGAGTATAAGGTGCAGGCATACATCATAGGCTACATGATCAATTCTGATCCCTACTGACCCAATTCACACAAGGTCCATCGTACCATTCCATCTTCTCGCCCGCCTGCAGATGCCCCTCTTCCCAGCGAGTCGTGGCAAGGCGTAACCACTCTGACCCCAGAGCCTGCTCTGCCTTCAGCCTCTTCCCCGGGTCAAGCGCCAACATTCCTTCAAGTACATCTACCAAGGCCTCTGATTCCGCCTCGCCGAGTGATTCGATATCGGGAAGGAGATCGACTGCGAAATCTTGAGGTGAGGATAGCGGGAATTCGATCTTTTCGGCATCTGGGAGATCTCTGAATGTCTATCACGGTGGTCAGCCGCGTACTCAAGACTAGATCAGATACATACAGGCCATGTATCCTCCGTCGGAGTCCCCCGTATCCTGAAGATGCTTGCGGCAAGACCCAAAGCTCCAAATCTCGCATCAAACAATGGTTGTCGAGTACCAGACCCAGCTGGCAAGGACGGCCGCTCGTCGTCCAGAGGATCATAGTCCTCCCCACTATCCTCCCCCTCCTCCTCATTTTCCTCTCCAACAGCGGCAGGGTAGGAATGTGAGAAAGGGCGGAAGAACTGGGCTATGATACAGACAGCAGCCCACATATCGACCGCATAAGGGTCGTACCGGAGCGGAGAGAATAATAGTTCTGGGGCACGGTAGGCGCCTGAGCCTACATCCGGGTACATCGCCTCTTCCGTCTCTTCCGGATCATCTTCATGACCGAGATCGTACTCTTGATATAGTCTGGAAGGTACCCAGGTAGTACCAAAGTCAATGAGCTTGAGGTTGCCGTGGATGTTGAGTACGAGGTTCGAAGGGTTGATATCGCGGTGCGCGATCTGTTTGGAGTGGAGGAATGATACAGCTAAGAGGAGCTGATAGGAGAGCGATGCTGGTACGTTCCTTCTCGAGGATAGGAATGGGAAGGAGGGGTCGGCAAAGAGGGAAGATAGGGAACAGACGTATAGCGGCATATACAGCTTGTGGTCGAGGAGAGACGTATCATACTCGTACGCAAGCACTTTGGCAATCTGTAACAGCATCAGCTGTCTGCATGAGCTCCTGATAGATTATTTACACTTGGGTGATCAAGACGTTGTAGGATCTTGGCTTCTTTGAGGACATCGTGTGGCGCCATATGACTTGACCGACCGTTTGGAGGGGCCGATACGACTTTGACGGCATACAACCCTGGACGCCCGCCTGAGCTCCCGAAATGGAGACCTTGTCCTTGGCTACCACTTTGACTTGGCTCTTTGTCCTTGCTGGACAGCTGCTGGACTGTCGGTTGAGCTATGACCAACCCATGCCGTCCTACCGAATACGTGTCTTAGTACGACGCTGCGCTCTACTGCCATCCACTTACCTTGACCAACGATGGTAGATTTTCGGGGTTGATTGTCATCCATGATGCTATGATCCCCGTGGTAGCATTATGACGAGTTTGTGACGGGGTTCTGTAGATGTGACCGAAAGATGGACACAGCTGCAGAACGGAGTTGAAGAGTGGAGGTGCGAGGAACGCGGGATCAATACGAGCGGACATGCCCGAGTTGAGTGATACCAGCGGGATGAGCACGAAGTAAGAGGAGGTGCATAAAGTATCTCGAAGTGGCAAAGTAGCAGGCCCCATAGCTGGATGAGAGACGCAAACCGGCAGACGGGCGAGAACAGCTCAAAAAGACGCGACGAGTGCGTACAAATCGACCTTTGATCGATGGTAGTCTTATACATCTGCTTGTGTGGCTGATTGGGCCGCTCTGACACCCCCCCTACAGCGCGAAATAGAGCTATACAGTCCTGAATAGCTTATTGCTGGCCTGAGGCTCAAAAACACCAAAAAAGGAAATCATGGAGACGTCCTTTGGCCCTTCAGGTACCATCAGCGGGACCTATGACGCGTCGCGAGTTGCGCGAGTTTTCAAGATGTGTATCTGGTCGCTGCATGCATGTGCAGTAGCGATATTCACAGCGTATGTAGTTCAGACCTCTGACTACAATCTGACTCTTCCATCAAAATTTTGCGATCAGTGTCGAGCGCGAAATAGCCCTCCCACTCTTTCCGACATTCACCTCTTTCTTCCGCAGGAATTGCGGGATGTGGTCATCAAGAACTACTTTGCTTTAGCGGGTGAGGCGGATGAAGGGCACCCAGAAAAGAGTTAAAAGACCAGCTCCCCCCACATTTATTCTCTCTTCCATCCATCATCCATCCACCCCCGGTATAACCCACGCTCAGCGTTAAGTATACCACCCCCAACCACCACATAACGCGACACCCCCTAGCCCCTTCCCACACTCACTCACACCCCCACGGTATCTTCCTCTGCTTTTTGAGCCTTACTACCTACTCTACACTCACAGTATCCATCATCATGGACATGCTCAACGGTATAAGTAGCCCCGCCGACTCCTACGTGTCCCTCTGGGCGCAGCAGAACGCCAACGCCGACAACACTGTCGACGACTCTTTCAATCACGAAGAATTTCTCCATGAATTTCTCGGTAAGTACTGTTCTTCCCGCAATCTTGAATCTTATCTAATCACCGCTACAGAGAACGATCCCACTCGGCTCCTCAATCTGACTGACAATGAAGCCTCCTTTTCTGCATCACTCAACGTGGTCCCCACCACAGGGGAGATGCGGGTGGCGGCGGAATCCGCTCACAGTAAGCTGCCCGCCTATCACTGATGTCTTTTGGCACATTCTGATCCTCTTCACAGTCGACGCTCCTCCTGCCCTCTCTCTCAACCCTCAAGCCCTTCACAATGGCGGAGTGCCAGCTGCCGCCACCACCGACGGCGAGTGGGTGGCGAACGCTCACTCCGAATTCGCACCGGCTGGTAAGAAGGCTTGTATACCTCTCCCGACCCCCGGCTGACGTTATACTCAGTCGAGACTGCCTCCGGCAATGGCTTCGCAGCCAACGGATTCCCCGACAATGGCGCCTGCATCGAGCCCCGCTTCCTCCAGGTGACTCCGCAGGCCACCATTTCCGCCACGATCTCTGCCAATGCATCCCAGCCCACCATCTCTTTTTCTCTCATCCATGGGCAGCGGCTCAACACTCAGTCATGGGGTCCCATGCATGCCTTTGAAGCTTCTCCTGCCCAGGACTTTGGCTTCTCCACCAGCGACGAGCAAGTCCAGCAGGCGCTCTTGGCATCCGGCGGGATCGACAACCTTGCCTTTCAAGCTATGCTACAGATGCCCGCCACTGCCCTCGAGCCCGCCGTCAGCGCCGTGCCTGCAGTCCATCCCACACAGCCCACCGTCACCTACCCCGTCGAGCCCACACAGCCCGATGACGCCTACCCCGTCGAGCCTACCCAGTCCCAGAACAGCGGTAACCTCAACTCTTCCCCTGTCGTCGACCAAGCCACGTATCTCCGAATGATTCTGGCCGGTACCGACGACAGACTCAAGCTCAATGTCATGGCATCGCTTGTCGCACAGGACAATCTTAGCCCAGAGATGGTTGGTCTCATCAAAGCCCACTTTGAAGCCTCCAACAACACCACCACCGCCGCCTTACCGTCTTTTGTCCCCGAAACTCGACCCGTCTTCTCTTCTGCCTCTTCCTCGCAGAGCCAGAGCCTGTCTCCTATAGAGACCATTCAGACTCCCATCCCTACTCCTCCCAAGCCCAAGAGAGCCACCCCCAAGTCTAGCTCAAAGCGCAAGCGAGACTCCTCCGACGAGGGCGAGAAGAGGCCGAGCCCTGCTTCTCACTCCTTGCCCGAAAAAGGGGGCAAGGTGGTCGTGCAGGCCCAGCGGGCCTGGAATGCGTGCATGGAATGCCAGAGACGTAAACATCGTGTAAGTACATTTCGATTACAATACCACCAGATGAAGGCTGATCAGGCCGCAGTGCGTGAAACTGGACGCCGACGACCGTACGGAATCCTGCAGCGAATGTCACCAGAAAGGCATTCCCTGCACCATGCCTTCCAAACCTCGCGTCCACCCTTCTGAGAAGACGGCTGAGGCAAGGGCGGAGTATAGAGCCCGCAAGCAGGCCGAGATCGCTGAGAAGGCTGGGCGTGTGGCTGCTGGGGAGCCGGCTACTGCTCCCAAGAGAAGGAAGAACAAGAAGTTCATGACCGTCTACAAGACTATTCGACGCAGGGTGTCTGATTCGTCTGAGGGTAGCAGTGGGAAAGGGAAGAATCAAGAGGTCGAAGACGAATACTACACCCCCGAGTCGTACTCCACCTCCGACGACTTTGCCGACTTCAGCTCTCTCCCCAACACTACCCTTGACTCGTACTGCCCCACCACCGAGTACCCCAGCTCCAGCCCTATTTCCGATCTTCTCGACATGCCCATGACCGAGGAGGATCAGAACGTTGATCTCGATGATCTCTTGGCCGCCTGCGTGGACTCTAGGGCTGATCTTGATGAGCGAGGGTACTACCCGGGCGAAGCAGAGGCGGGGCCGAGCTCGAGTCAGGTGTCTGCTATTGCTTACTACGACTCGGACCCTGTTGAAGAGCAGTGCTCTACTGAAGACTCTTCCCCTATCGAAGATTTGGGAGAGAACTGGAAGGCATGGCTCGACGGAGAAGAAGATTAGAACGAAAGCGATGACGAGTACCGCCTGTAGTGTCAGGAAGGTGAAGGACAGTCAATGTCTAGCATAGTGGAACGGACAAACATTATTATTTTGAGTAGTAGGTGAAGGGAAATACCACCATATATATGAGCATTGAGTAGCATAGTCGGACAATTATTCTCGTAATAGTAGTATTTGTCGGGTGTCCAGTTGTTCATACTCTCGCGCTCTGGACAGTATATATGTATACATTCTCTCTCATCGTCATCTGCTCTGACTTCACCAACGGTCTTCAGCTGCAGTCACCATAGCCCAGCCGTAAAGATCCGATGGCAAAGCACATTAGACCAGGCAGCAGATGATCCCACCCGACCTAGGCTGTACTCGGATATCATCACCCGCCTGCGACATTCGCCAGACTCGGTAGAGTGGTAGTATGTTCATGCATGATGTCAGCATTCCACTACATATCACAGATACCCAGCCTTCCTCTCCTGCGCGCCCAGCTTCCTCCTCGTCCAAAGCCAAACCTGCCTCCCGTAGCCATAGTACAAGAAGCCAAAGAGGGCTCCTCCGAGATGCGCTACATGATCAAACATCCTACCCATTCGTCAGCGTGTGCTTCAGGGAAAGAGAAAAGGTGGCAAAGCTCACCTCCATCCACGAATGAGACCGATCATATCTACAGCCACCATCCCCGCCACACCCCACCCGATGGGGATGGTCACGAAAGGAATGAAGATGATACCGACGGCAGAGTCGGGGAAAGCACAGGCGGTCATGGTCAATGCCGCATAGATGGCGCCACTCGCTCCCAGACTTGGTAGGATGGCGGCTTGGTTCGCTAGCGCCTGGGGACTGGAGATCCTTGCGGGGTGCTGGATGGCTCTGATCAACCGAGGCAGACGGAAGACGTTCGTCCAGAGGTGGGAGCCGAGAGAGGAGAAGAGGCCGGCGGCGAGGAGGAAGGCGTAGAAGTGTGGGGAGTGGGTGGAGGTGGGGAGAGAGGGTGTGACGGGAGGGGCGGAGAGGAAGGTGAAGGAAGCGGCCCCGAAGGAGAAGAGGGCGAGAGAGTTGAAAGCAAAGTGAGGGAAAGATTGGTGGGAGATCTTTACGTGGATCATCAGTATACCGCCCATTGATTTCGAAATTCAAGACTCACGGTGCTAGTAAACAACGTCACGCAGTTTGCCCACTCCCTCTTGGCAGAAGCCGTGTAAATGACCGGCCTATGCAAGAACCACTTTCTCATAAACTTTTCTGCCCTGGGAACCTTCCACGCCAAAAAGATCGTGCCCATACCGCCTATGAGGGCGAGAGGCGCAAGCTGGGCTGGTGGAGAGTTGAGGTAGAATTCGGAAAAGAGGACGTATGTTCGGAGGATAGGGACGAGGATGAGGTTTGGGACAAAAGAGAGAGTGGCGGGGAGCTCATTCAGCAGTTTCTGTGCTTTCTGCAAGACGTATCAGACGGATTGATCGTATAGAACAGACGGAAACATACCTTGGCTCCTTCTAGTTGCTTTGCTCGAACCATCTCTCGATCCGAAGGCTGGTCGACCCCAAGCCGCCACCAGCTTCCGCCTCCCATCTTGTCCGACCACACTTGTGTGTCGTAATTGGTGTAGAAAGCCAAGAGCGCATAGCCTCCTCCTCCAACCGCCGCGCAGAACTAAAGTACATACCGTCAGCTCATCCCTCCGAGTCCTTTCAAGCTGACTCACGATCAATGGCCGCCAGATAGATCGATGAGGCATCCCATTGTCCACCGGCGCCGCGCCTTCTACCGAGGACCGGGGTACGGCTATTCTCTTTGGCGTTATTCTGCCAATAGCTTGCCTTGAGACGACTGATCCTTGGGTAGTAAAGTTTCGTTGAGGGCGGAGGGAGAAGCATGGCTGGGAGTATGACCGAGGAGCGGTGAGGAAAGGATTTTTGAAGTGGAGGGATTGCCGGAACGCCATCTTGACGCGAAGTCCTCTTGAAAGTATTTCTCTGAGCAGTATAGAGGCAGGGGGGATAGAAAGATGAGATGCAGTTTTCAAAAGATATCGATGACACTTTCTCGACTGCTGGCTTCGACAAGATCCCAAGTGGAGGCGGCCATGTCCGTCGCGGGCTTCCGTTCTTCCTCGAGCCTATACCATCTCGCCCATCTCACTCTTCTCCATCAATCCACCATGCTCATCTCCCCCTCCAAAATCCACGCCGCCCTCACATCCGTCCTCTCCCCCAACCACGCCGAAGGTCCCCACACCGCCCTCCTCATCACACCCCAGGGCCGCCTCATGAGCCGCGCCGCCATCAATCTCGACGACGACCAAGATTCAGACGACGGCAATGGCAAAGGAGAGGGGGGCGTGGATGAGGCGTATTTGGATCCGCCGGCACGGGTGAGGCTGTTGCTTGGACTGGCGAGTCAGTGGAACGAGGCAAGCTCGGCAAAGATGGAATGCGAGGTGCGTCATCTGTGTGCCAAAAGTCTTAGCCGGGGTGCTGGCTGACAAGGAGGAGTAGCTCGGCAGATTACATTTCACGAGTCTATCGCTTGGGGCATCCGAGACACCTTCACCTTCGGTTGTGAGCCAGAATCTGTTACCAGAGTCCAAGCCGGCCAAGGTGGACCGGTTATTATTGGTCTTGAACGGACGTGGCACGGGCTGGAATGTTTTGGCTGCCAAGGTGAGTGCGATTGTTGTCCCCTGGACTTTTGGAATGCTGACCAGTTCTCAAGTCTGAGGAGTTCAAGAAAGCTTGGAAATCATAAATCATAATCATAATCATCATCATTCGCCATGGGGGCACAGAAGCTGTAGTATAATGCACCGTTGTAACAACGTCAAACGTCCCACCGCTGGTTTGGTTTCATATCATTGTCAACGCTGAAGAGATCGCACCCATAGCTGCGATAGTAACTATCCAACGACTTGCGGTACCCGCTACCAAGGTCTATCCCCTCGACGCCTTCGTGCCCAGTCCGCCTCGTCCCTCTCACACGAAAAGCATTCCACGGCGATCGGTCCTGGCACTGGAGATCGAACTCTACAAGCCTATCAGCATTCCCTCGCTCTGCATCATCGACAGCATCATCGCGCAGAAGCGGTTTCAAGAACCCGAGGCAGGATACCGAGTACGGGGGACACCCTCTGCCTCACCGACACCACTTCAGCCCCTGCCCGACTCCCTACCAGCCCTCAGCTTCCCGCCCCTCCGGGTGGGGGAGGAGTGGATGCGGGGAAACGTCGCTCATCATCGCCCGCCCTCTTCGCCCCTCCATACCCTCCGGCGCTGCAGCTGGCTCAGCAGAAAGCTTCTGCCTCTGTCTCCATCGCGTCCATCTGCTCTTCGCTTGACGTGTTCGGAAGGGCGGAGATGTCCGTGCGACTGGAAAGAAGCTCTTGGGGCCGAGCTTTGCCCTCCGGTGGGAACAGCTGTCTCTGGGCTGGGGCTGGTAGAGGTTGATTCCAAAGCCAAAGCTGCTGCCTTTGCCTTGCGCGCCGCTTCCTCTTCTTCCAACTTTTCACGCTGTTCCTCCCAGAGGTCCGCGCCACGATGTAATTGCCAGGATCTGAATTGCTTGATACGACCGCCGACGGGACACTTGTCGCATGTGCACCGAATCAGGGTCCTCTGCGACTACAGTAGATACAAGTACAAGCGTCAATGGGTTGAGCTTGTGGGTTTTGGTTTTGGATTTGACTCACGATTTTACGAGCATCTTTGAGTGTTATACTTTCGCCCTGCAGTGCATTCTCTATCGCCCGTTGACGTCTGGCGAATGGGGATATACAGATTAAGCCACGTATTCCAGACAGGAGGCCAATGTAACTGTAGACTCACTTTTGCATCTCCCACTTTCTCATCTCCTTTTGCACAGATGAGAGCGGCGGTCGCGAAGGGGTGGGCGCTGAGGGACCCGTATTCGAGGATGTTCTGCTCGCTGCGGCTGAGATTGGTTGTTGAGACGGGTCCGAGAAGGGATTGACTGCTGGAGATATGGACCGGCGTTGAGATGTGGATGGAACTTTCTAGAGGAAAGATATCGTCGCCTAAACGATCTCATGAGATGAGAGCGGACGTCACCGCTACATAGGAGAAAAAGCAAGCGTGTGGCATACAGGGCTAGATACTCTCAGGCTATGAGGGAACATCAAGCCGCCCATAGTCTGGCTCAGGTACCGAGGGGGCTAGAGCCAAAGACTCAAGGCGGACCAAACACCACGCTGCCCGACGGATTCTCCGGCCCAGCTATCAGGAACACGCGCGCGAGATTTGGTTCCCGTTTCGGTTCCGTCTCGGGCTTCCGGCTCTGATCACTCTGATCTAGCACCAGCGCACTTTATATATAGCAGAGATGAGTTGCCTTATCCCCCCCTAATCACTCTAATCAATCTGAGTATCATGCAAGCCCCGCCCCCATACCAGCCTTCCCCCGCCCTCGCCACCTCCGCCCCCCTCGTCCCAGCCGATAACGGTCAGCCTCTCCTCTCCCTCTTCGCCCACAGCTGACACCACAAAAGACCCCCACGGCTTCATCAACAACGGCCCAGGCCTCAGTGCCCGCACCACCCTCTCCCAGAGCGCCAAGGTCAACGTCTGGCTCGACGTCAAAGACAGCCTGCCCCAGTTGCCCGTCACCTTTGCGCCGGGGGTCAAAGAGTATGCTGTAGAGCCCGAGGGGGAGGGGGATGTGCCTGGGATGGATGTTTTGGTGTTTGCTGTTGGGAGTGCTGGTGAGCGTGGCCTCAGCGAAGGCCGAAGGGACGAGGTGCTGATGGGTTTTCAGATGATGTGCGACGTTTGACTGCGCTCGCAAAGCAGCTCGTCGTTGCACATGGCCATCGAGTCAGGATTGCCACCCAGGATGAGCATGAGCATTTTGTCGTACAAGCTAAAGCATCGTTGGCTGGTAAAACTGGCAAGGACGGTGAGAGACTGGACGACAAGATCGAGTTTTATGCTGTTGCATCATCCAACTCGAATCTCCAGACCTGGATCCAAAGTGCGTTCCCTCGCTACAAGTATTCCCCTTTTGCTCAACCTCTGACCGGCTCCAGACCCTTCTACTCTCGAGCAAACCCTCCGCTCGCTCTTCCAAGCCACCTTCAGCCCTTCCCCCACCACCGCCCGACCTTTCGCCGCAGACGTGATCGTCGCCCAGCCAGATGTGCCCGGTGCCGTCTCTATCGCCGAGCTGCTTGGTCTGCCGCTTCATCTTGTATCTGGTACGCTCTTCTACCCCAGATAAGGGTAGTGATGATGCTGATATGCGCACAGCGGCACCCTACTCGCCCACCGTCACTCTCCCTCACCCGGGTACCCAGATCCAACGATCCAACACCCCATCATCCGTGACAAACTACCTCTCTTTCCCTCTCTACGACGCCCAGTACGTCCCCCCTCCCCTCCCTCTTTTCCTTCTTCTCCCTCGCTTACCCCCTGCCTTGCTTAGAATCTGGCGCTCCCTCGGCCCAACGCTCAACACCTTCCGAATCTCCTCCCTCGGCCTCCCAGCCCTCCAGCGCGCCGACGCCCCGGGCCTACTCGATCGTCTCAAAGTGCCTTTTAGTTATACTTGGAGCCCGGTTCTGATGGGAAAACCGGGTGATTGGAAAGAGCATCTTGGTGAGTTTTCTATTTTGGGATATGCCTGCGCATGATAACTTGAGAATTTGAGAAGGGGCAGAGCTGATGGATGGGTGGTGACAAAGATGTGACTGGGTTTGTGCTCGACAAGCCGGAGGAGGGGTATCGCCCAAGGGACGAGTTGTTGTATTTCGTCAAGGGCGGAAGGGCGCCCATCTATGTCAAGTGAGTCTAATTTTTCTATAACTAGAGTATGATGCTTAACGTGGGTAGGCTGGATTCTATCGCTGAGGACGAGGCGGGCGAGATAGCCGGTGCGTCTTTCACGTCTTTTGTTTGGTTCCTCTCTGATGACTTTGCCTCTCAGCACTTCTTATCAGCGCAGCCCTCAAATCCAACAAACGACTCATAATAGATATCAAAAACTACTACAACAAGAACGGCGAGAATCCAGACATCTACATAGTCTCCCGCAAGTCTCTTCCCTCCCACCCTTTCTTCCATAAGATCCCTCGAGCTGACATGACATGTTTTTCTACAGCGCAAGAAGCGAGTCCGTTTGAATGGTTATTGGAACAAGGTATCCTCGGTGCGGTCTGTCATGAAGGTGGGGAGGGGGTTGGTAGTAGGGCGGTCGTTGCTGGTCTGCCGAGCATCATCATTGCGAACGATGCTTCTTCCAGGCAAGTTTTACCTTTCCACTCTTTTGCTTGCAAAAAACCTAACCATCACAGCAGCTTTTACACAGCCCAGATGCGCCAGCTCAACATCTCCACCTCCCCCATCCCCCTCCCTGCGCTCAGCCTCGAAGGCCTCATGGACGCCTTCACCGAAGCCGAGGCTCTGTCCGCGGGGGCGAGAGAGTTGGGGTACATTCTCAGTCGGGAGGATGGGTTGCTGGGGGCTGTGGCGAGCTTGCATAGGCATTTGCCTTTGGCCAACATGCGGTAAGGCTTCAAAATACTATCCAGGGGGGAATGAAGGAGGAAGGAGGAAGGGGCTGATGAAGGAGGACAGGTGCGATATCATCCCCGCAAGAGTCGCTGTATGGCACCACCCCGCGCTGGACTTGCATCTCTCTGCTGTAGCAGCGGGGGTGTTGGTCGAAGCTGGGAAGATCAGCTTCAAGGACCTATCTCCTAACCGTACGTTCCTCCTCCTTTACTGTTAGGGGAGGGACAAAATTTGATGTGAGAACGAACAGGAGCTAAAGAATACCCCACGACCCAATCCGACCCGAACCCCCTGACAGCCGGCGCCGGCTCCTTCCTCTCCTCCCTAACCGACTCCGCCCTCTCCGTCCTCCCCTTCTTCCACCCCTCCTCCTCATCTTCTTCTTCTTCCAACCCTGCTGTCATCGACCTCCCCTCCCTCCAACCCCTCCTCATCTCGCAGACCCAGACCCCCGCTGGCACCTGGTCCTGGGAGTACCAACAGGCGTCCCGCACGCGCCGGCCTATCACGGGGTGGAAGAGCGGGCTGAGGGAGGCGAGGGATGAAGCGTGGACGGGGATGAAGGATGGGGCGAAGGGGTTTGTGAAGGCGCCGGTGGATGGGCTGGTGAATCGTGGACCTATTGGTGGGGTGTTTGGTCTCGTTGCAGGGAGTGAGCAATCTTTCCCTCTTCTTCTTTTGTGGAAGCTGACTAGGAGAAAAGCGGTGGGAGCAGTAACCCGTCCCCTCGGCGGCGCCATCACAGCCGTAACCTACACCGCCCAAGGCGCTCTCCGCGAATTCGACGCCTCCGCCAAACAAGCCAAACTCGCCGCCTCATCCCCTGCCGAATCCCTCCGTCCTCCCCGTCGAGAGATCAGCAAACTCCAAGCTGCTTCCCTCTCTTCCGAGGACAAGCGACGGGTGCTGGAAGAGTTCAAGAGGGCGAAAGGGGAGGAAGGGGTGAGGGAGAGGAAGGGGAGGAGTGAGGCGGTTGCGGGTGGGGTGCAGGTGGAGAGGAGGAGGGGTGGGGTGGTAATAGGGCCTTTGGGGCTGAGCGCGAGCATGTCGAATCTTGATATCGGGGGCGGGGGCGGAGAAGGCAAAAAGTGGTGGAAAGGGAAAGGAAAGGGGAAGGAGAGGGTGGATGGGCTTTCGCCTCAGATCAGTTCTGGCTCTGGGTCGGTTCTTTCGCCCTCGTCTTCGGCTGTTTCCCCTTTGCCTGAAAAGAATTGAATAGCTGAGAGAAACATGTGATATATATGTGATCGTAGGGTGTATGCAGATGTCAATTTCTTGCATGAGGCCACACATAAAATAGTGGACAAGACACGGTTTTCATTCATGATCAGGGATATAGGGTTCGTAATTATGCTGAGCGAACCAAGTCAGTTCAATTCCATCGGAGCTGCATCCTACTCACCCTTATCCAGGTACCTTCCTTGCAGGTCCACCACCAAGTATCCTCCAGTTCCACATACCTCGTCCACCCCACCTTTTCCATATCAACCCTCATCTGCGTTCCCGTCATTGGCGACGGTTCCATCTCTCCCAATACAAACGTCTCCCTGACCTCTTTCATGACCATCTCCTTCATCGCCGCACTTTGGGTGATGTAGACGCAAGATACATATCTCTTCTCGCCGTTAGCCACAATGCGAGGTGACCACCCCTCGCCGTTATCCTCGGTAATGCGAGGTGACCACTCCTCGCCGTTAACCACGGTAATGCGAGGTAAATACCTGGTCTTTTCAGCTTCGCTGAGGCGCCAGTACCAGCCCTGATGGATAGGTGGTGCGAGGTCGCGGTATTCAAAGTGTCGTGCGAGGCAGGATGCAACGTTTTGCAATAGATCAGGCGAAGGGTCGGAGGGAGGGAGGATCAGGAAGTCGAGCTGGGCAATGTGGGAGAGCGAGTGAATTGCCGTCGGGAGTCTGCTCAGCGTCTCTTTGCAAACCTCGCTCTCTGAGAGCGGGATGATGATCCTCCCCGTCTTGTGCCGCCAATCGTCAGGCATGGGGCCTTCGGGGAATGGGAACCCCAGGATCTTGGCAAGTTCTTCTGAGCAGTAGGCATGCCCCGGGAGGAAGTTGTCGTGCACTGGTTCGGGTGGGATGAGGGGATGGTCGACGCGGATGTCGAGGTGACCAAAGTTGTGGCCTATGTTTCGGGCGAGGGCGGTGGAAGAAATGGAGGGGCATTCGCGGGTCTTTTGGAGTGAAGAGAATATTTGGGGGAGGGTGGTGAATGGTAAAAAAGGGATCTCCATGGTGACGAGACCCGCAAAGAGGCATTCGGGGTAGTACCGAGAGGAAGCCTTTGTCTCCAGCACCCCTAGAGACACCGCCAGACCGGCAAGCACTTCGAGGTCGTCAAACCTCACGTGGTAGGTGTTGTGAAGCCGCGAGAGGAGATGAGAGTCAGGAGGAGCATCGCGACTGATGGTGTCCCATATCTGTCGCTCGAGCTCGCGGTCTATGAGGACAGGCTGGGAGATCGCTTCGAACTCCGCTTCCTCGCGCTGTTGCTGAGAGAGGCGGGGGTTCCTGAAGGGGACGAGGTAGAGGAGACAAGTGAGGATGGTGAGCAGCACGGGGGCAAGCCGGGCGATGGAGAACATGGGCAATGGAGAAAAAACGACGAGATGCAAGACACTTTTGAGACAATTGGCAAATGTCAAGCGACTTGAGAGCGGCTCTCGGCAACCAACTCGGCGGCCGGCGACTCGCCCATCCGATCGGCTATCTCCGGGTGGTATCATAACGCCTTGTATTCTGAATCTTGTGGACGATGCATCTCATCCCACCATGGCCCCCCTCGACCACGCACGCCTCCATCCCGCCCACCAGCCACAGTTCGCCCACTTTCCCTCCCGCCGCTCCACCGTCTTCTCCACCAAGGGCATCGTCGCCACGAGCCAGGTTCTCGCCGCCCAGGCGGGGCTCGAGATCCTCAACAAAGGCGGTAATGCTGGTGAGTGCAGATCATAGTATAAAAACGATGCTGATGATGGTATAGCGGATGCTGCTGTTGCTACCGCCGCCGCTTTGAATGTCACGGAGCCTACTTGTACCGGTATCGGGGGCGATATCTTTTGTCTCTTCTATCGCGGCAAGACGAAGCAGGTCAAAGCCGTGAACGGCTCGGGTCGAGCACCCAAAGCACTTACCTTGGAACACCTGAGAGAGCAAGGTATCACTGGTGATAGCGTGAGTACATCTCACCCGTAATGAGCGGCGGAAGCTCATGTTTAGCAGATCCCACTGACCAACCTCAACTCTGTCACCGTCCCGGGCGCTGCCGCCGGCTGGCTCACTACCATCCAAGAATTCGGGTCTGGAAAGCTCTCCATGCGCGATATCCTTGATCCCGCGATAAGGATGGCGAGGGAAGGTGTGCCGGAGGGAGAGCTGAATGCAAAGCAGTGGCAGATTGCAGAGGGACTGTTGAAGGGTGCTTCGGACAATTGGGACGAGTGAGTGGCTTGGCCTTCAAGGGTGGGACAGCGCTGATAGGGGGGGAGGATGACGATGCCGGATGGCCATGCCCCGAGACCGTCAGACGTCATGACCCACGCTACCTTGGCAGATACATTCGAAGCTGTAGCCGAGCACGGCCATGCCGGATTCTACAAAGGCCGCATCGCCCAAGGTACGTCCCTATTCTTGCTCATAAGACTTGGCTGATGACATGCACCAAGCTATCGTCGACCTCGTCCAATCTGGTGGTGGCGTCATGTCTCTCGACGACCTCGCAGAGTGCCAAGCCGATCTCGTCCAGCCCATCTCATACACATACAAACCCCATCACCCTCCCGCGCCATCATCATCTTCCGAGAAAGACCCCGGCGTCACACTCTGGGAATGTCCACCCAACGGTCAAGGTCTTACGGCTCTTGTCGCATTGGGTATAGTGGAAGCTGTAGAGGAGGTACATGGGATTGATGTTCTGGAGCTGGAACATAACGGGGTGCAATATCTGCACATCCTCATTGAAGCTTTACGTCTCGCCTTTGCAGACAGTGCGCATTTCACCATCCCCTTCAATGCACCACTGACTGTTTCATAGCTCGGTACTATGTCACCGATCCCGCTTTCAACCCCACCCCTGTCGACGAGCTGCTCTCCAAACCATACCTCCTCTCCCGCGCCAAACTCATTGACCTGGCTAAAGTCGTCCCCGTCAAGCACGGCAGCCCCGTCAACAGCTCCGATACTGTCTATCTCGCAACGGCGGATAATGAAGGGAACAGCTGTAGTTTCATAGCCAGCAACTATGCCGGTACGCCAACCTTCTTCCCCTTCTTCTTCACTCTTGTACCAGATGCTGATAGGGTTGAGGCAGGTTTTGGTACGGGCGCCATCCCGAAATCATGTGGTTTTACCCTGCAAAACAGGGGCACAGGCTTCACCCTCATCCCGGGCCATCCCAACTGCGTAGCCGGCGGAAAACGACCGTATCACACCATCATCCCCGGTATGGTCACCCAAGGCGACGATCTGTTGATGAGTTTCGGGGTCATGGGAGGGCACGTCACTCTTTCTTCCTCTTTTTAAACTTTCGTGGCGGGAGCTGATGGGATGAGGTAGGTTTATGCAGCCGCAAGGTCATATCCAAGTCTTGCTCAACAAACTCCGCGGGTTTGGAACGCAAGCGTCTCTGGACGCTCCTCGGTTCTGTATCTCGGCAGGTTTGCCGGATAATGGGACGTCTGGCGCAGAACAGGGAGCAGGAGATATTGATAGTGAGATCTGGTTTGAAGAAGGTATCTCTCCCAAAGTCATTGACGAGCTCAAACGTACGTCCCTTCCTCTCCTTATCACTTCACTTCCCTTCCCTTTCCTCGCCTAGAAGTTAAGAGCTGATGTGTGGACGGACAGGTATGGGCCACCAATGCGAGATTGCATCCGGCTACGCGAGAAAGATTGCGGGGAAGGGACAGGTGGTGCAGAGGGTTCTGGATCCGAATGGGCGGAGGGTGTGGGCTGCGGGCTCGGATTTGAGGGGCGATGGGTGTGCTGTGGGGCAGATTTAGATCCCTCGTTAATTCATTAGAAAGATGTATCAGGACGATAATTTGTATGGATTCCTGACACAAAGTCTAACACCCGACTACTCACACTCCATTACCTTCGGTCTCGCTGAGGACATCGACCGTGTGGCTCTCGGAAGCACCAATACTTTTTGGTTTGAGACCGCGGCCGTGTATGAGAGAGTCTTGACGACGAAGGTGGCCATGATATGCCTGACAGAGATGGGGGGGACATAGGCAAAGGGACGGCTGTAGATGGAGGTCTCTGGCATCCTGGCAACGACCAAGGGAATGATAGATAGATGGACGATGCAACGAGTCTCGACGCCTTAGTAATCGATTCCTCGTGCTGATCCCGCATTCCTCTCCTCTTTCTCCACTCTCAACGAACACTTGCTCAGCGGGTTCTATGTAGGTCATGGTTTTTTCATGAATGCTATGTAATGGATTTGTTCTTGTTGCTATGCTACAAATGTCCTTGATTGAATCTACTCTCATAGATTGACTCTTCTCACGTCCCGTCCTGCCCCGTCTTCACCAACAGCATCCTCACCTGCAGATCCTCCAGCTCCATCCCATGCTCCGACTTCAAATGCCTCCTCACATCATACACTCTCCAGAACCGCGAGATACACCGCCCCTGCTCGCCCTCAGTCTCGCCTTCAACCCCGGATATACCGGCACCCTCGCCCTGGATGGGCGAAAGGATAGAAAGGAGCTGCTCGTTTCCATGCTTGTCTTCTTGCAGGGTTGGGTCGATATTGGGATCGAGCGCCGTCTGCGATGCAGTCTCCAAAGCCGGGGGAGCACTCCCCAATGCCCACGCGGGGCAGACAAACCGCCTGAGCTCCCTCACAGCCCCCGTCAACATGGTCCCCTCACTCTGCGAACCCCTCCTCGACGCAGGACGCGATGACGGGCCGGACGTTCCGCCATTGCTCTCTCCATCGACGCCAGGGGGAGAAGCGGTATCGTGTTTGGAGAGGTGCTGCATGAGGGTAGCTTTGTGGGCGTAGGCTTTGTCGCAGTCGGCGTGGGGGCAGGTGTGAGAGCGGATCTTGAGGTGCACGACGTTGCGGTGGGTTTCCATAGCGTATTTCTGTAACAAAGTCAGCAGCAACTCCAACGCAACGCAAAGATGACTGACGGTCTTGAACCGTTTCTCGCACTCCATCCAGTCACAAGCATGGTCCTTCCCAGCATCTCCCTCGGCCTTTTTCAACTTCTTCGGCTTGTCATCATCGGCAGCCGTACTCTCCCTCTTCCTCTTCCGTCTGCTCTTCATCATACCCTCCAACACCAACTGCGGTATCGGCTCTTTCTGTCCATTCACAGCCACAGCCTCCCTCGCCTCCTTGGCCACCCTGTCTGCCTCCTGCTCAGCGTGCACTTTGAGGTGGTCGCGTAAACGCGCGTTGCTCTTGAACGTCCGGTTGTTACATTCTGGGTGAGGACAGGTGGGGGGGTGAGCGTCGGTCATGTGTTTTTGGAATTCGGACCATTTTGAAAAGATGGGGAGGTCGTCGGTGTGGGATGGATGAGCGCAAGTGAACCGTTTGGCTGGGCTTTTGTCAGTTTGAGGTGTGACGGAGAGTAGCAAAGCTCACGATCGTGGGTTTTCTCATGGGTTTTGAGATGAGCCTTCAAGCTGAAAGACGCCGAGCAATCTTCATGACTGCAGATGAAAGGTTTGGTACCCGCAGGCATATGGACAACAACGACATGTTCGCGCAAAAGGATGTGCTTGTTGAACATGGCATCGCAATGGTCGCACTGTACCAACATTAGTCTTGATTTTTGCAGGTTCAAAGGTGACGTACCTTGTATGTTCTCTCTTTGTCATGGACCTCCAGATGCCTCTTCAACTTGGATGGTGTCCAGAATGACTGCGTGCAGCCCTGTTCGGTACAGGGAAAGGGCTTGACCTCAACTTTGAGATGCGTGCGAGCATGAGCCTTAAGGTGGTCCTCTCGGGAGTAAGCCTGGTCGCATTGGACACATTTGTATGGGCGCTATAGATACCATCAGCCCTCCTCCCAATGTTGACAAGTGAAAAAAGACTCACTTCGCCCCGATGGGTCATCTCGTGCTCGGCCAACCTCGAGGGCTTGGTATACGCCTTCTCGCACCCTTCATGCGTACACTTGAACCTCTTTTGCGTCCTACTGGGATAGTTGCGCTTCGTCTCTTCCGAGGAAGGCGGCTTGGAGGAAGAGGCTTCAGCAGAGACCGCCACACTGGCCCTCTTTCTAGGGATTGCGCGGACCACAGAGGGACCTGCTTCCGCAGAGGCCTCGCTAAGCGCAGGAGGCGGGGGAACGAGCGCTCTCAGCTCCTCTTCGCCGCCGCTCATTCCATGCAGCACATCGACCGCCACTGCCTTGTTGACCTCTGGTTCGAACTCGGATGCGCCGTCAGAGACCGAAGCGTCCGAGGCGTCTTCCGGCACAAGATCCGCATAGTTGAGTACCGATTTCGCCCTGGAGGGGCGTTGAGGAGAGTCCTCGGGGATGATGGCTGGGTGTACCAGGGCCATGGCCATGCTGGTTGTGGGATGGCGATTGGATACCCGTTGTTGTTGTGAATTCGCGATATCTCGACAAATTTAAAGCCTGGCCCGCCGCGGCCGCCGAGAAAGGTGCAAAGTGGGGGGCACATAAACGAGCAGTGGCTTGACGCGCTCAGCTGCGATTTCCTAATTCATAAACAAAACCATCAATTCATTTCCTAAGCACTCGTATAGCTCTACAGCCCCACCAAAGATCATCAAATCATGTCCGTAAGTGTTGATATCATCTTTTGCGCTTGGAAGAGAGGATACGAGGTGAAAGAGGCAGGACACGGCTGATCACTTCTTTCGCGCACAGGCCTATGACAATGCCGCTCCAGCGCGACGACCCGATATCAAGAAGAAGCTCGTAGTCGTTGGAGATGGAGGTACGTGAACTACCCCCAAGACAACCATGCGAAGGCTGATAAGCTATGCAGGTTGTGGAAAGACTTGTCTCTTAACGGTCTATGCCGAGAACCGGTTCCCCGTGGTACGTGCCATGGACCTGATAATGAGATGCCCAGCAACTGACAGCTATGATCAGGAATACGTTCCCACCGTTTTCGAAAACCTCATGACCATGATCCCCTCCCCCACCGACCCTTCAAAAATCATCGAACTCGCCCTTTGGGATACCGCCGGTCAAGAAGACTTTGACAGACTACGGCCGTTGAGCTATAACGACACGGACGTGATCCTTATTGTGTTTGCTTGCAACCACCGCCCAAGCTTGTTGAACGTACAAGATAAGGTGCGTTATCACAGATGGGGCTTGAGCGCGCTGATTGATATTGAACATTAGTGGTTCCCAGAAATGGCCCATTTCTGCGAAAACGTCCCCCTCGTCCTTGTCTGCACCAAGACAGATCTCCGTACCGAACAGCAAACACAATCCCTCATGGCTGCTCAAGGAACAACGCCCATCACTACGCAAGAGGGCGAGCGCGTGGCGAAAGAGATTGGGGCGAGACGGTATATGGAGTGTTCGGCCAAGGAAGGGCTGGGAGTGAGAGATGTCTTTGATGCTGCTGTGAGAGAAAGCTTGAAGAAGGGTGGACTGAAGAAGATGAAGGGGAAGAAGTGCGTTGTGCTGTAAGGCGCTGCTAGGATGGAGAGGAGAGTGAGAGCGTATTTTGGTGGGATTTGACGACGAGCATGCTTCGCCCATGACCACGAAGTTGTACTGTAATGATTACGAGCTTATATACCACAGTTCCCGATTGATTAGATCTATATATCTACACGATGGATTCCACATAACCATGACCGGAATGGGTTGTCAAGCAAGCTGAGGGTCCAAATACCCCATCAACGACGTTGAATGGCTTCAGTCCGTGGTGACTACATAGTCTAGTACAAGCACTACCCGAGATCCTATGTCATACAGCTACAACAGTCCCATCTATGATCCAAGAAGCCCTGCTCCAACGTCTACAGCTTCAGCTGGGTCTTGATAGCTTCTTCCAAGTCTTCCGTCCCTTCGTCCTCGACAGCTTTGGCAGCCTTCTTCGACTTCTTCTCAGCCTCCTTCGTACCCTGCCCCGCCACTTCACCCCCTTCTTCCTTCATCCACTTCCTCTCCAACCCCTTTCTCCCATCCCTCACCAGCTCTTCCAATTCCTCCCCCCACCCCAGCTGCTCCGCCAACCGCCGAGCCCCATCATCTGCATTCCCCTCATAAAACAGATCTCTGGAAGATGGGGATGTGCTCTTGTAGGACGTGAATGGGCCCACGGGTTCGCGGTTGATGAGGAGTCGAGGACAGGTGGGGGGAACGTAGTTGACGAGGGAGGCGAAGGGTTGGACTTGGAGGGAAGTACCGATGACGACCAGGAGATCGCACTTTCGTAGTTCCTTACTCACAGGGTCAGTTTTGGTGATAGTCAATGGGTGCTTACTGGTATGAGCTCAAAGAATCTGTCAGGCAGACCTTCTCCAAAGAAGACGATATCAGGCTTCACCAGCCCACCGCACGTCTGACTCTTCCCCTTCCCTTTCCCTTTCCCCTTCCCACCCGCATCCTTAATCGTAGCATCACACTTCACAACCTCTCCCCTCCTCACACCCGCCCTCAAAACCTCTTCCCGGTCCACTTCGCGTCTACATCTAAGACAATGGGCGGTAGCGAATGATCCGTGGGCTTCGACAATCATGTCGGAAGGGAGGCCGGCGATGGATTCGAGAGTGTCGATGTTTTGGGTGAAGACGCGTTTGAGGACGTTGTGTTTGCGGAAGAGCTTGAGGAGGTAGTGCGTTGGAGTAGGCTAGCATCCATAAGTTTCCGTGTCTTGGTGTCAATGTATGGGAGATGTACGCACAAAATGCCTTCCAGGATAGATTTCCTTCGCCAACGCCCAAAACGGCTCCGGCCTCTTCTGAAAGAAACCTAGCTCAAAGACAGCTTCGGGGAAAGGCAAGTTGAGAGCTTGGAGATTGTGATACAAGCCTGTCTCGGGGGATCTGAAGTCGGGAATACCGGCAGAGGTGGAGATGCCGGCACCGAGAAGGAAGACGACGTTCTTGGCTGGTTTGGCAGGTCAGTGATGCCGTCCTAGTAATTGAGGATGAAAATGGCTTGCCCTTGCCCGACTTGATGAATTTGGCAGCTCTCCGAAGAGGGTCAAGGCTATCATCCCCGAAAGATTGCTCTTCTTCATAGGGACTGGAAGCGTCTGACGCCTGCAGATACGTCAGCTTCGTCTAGACCATCTGATAGTGAGGTACCTCAGAAGAGCTCTCCGTATCGCTGTCGACCCCTGTCAGACCTTGTTTAGGTTCTTTGTTCAGCCCATTGCTATCTAAAGAGCCTTGTGACAAACTTGATTCCTTGTTGTCGGCTTTGGAAGATTGTCCAAACCTAGACAAAGGGATGAGCTCAGTCGCCTAGATGTAGAGTTTCTCGCGCCCTACATGTCTGATGTTTTGAAATATGTCGAAGAATTGATTGATGTTGGAGTTGAAGTTCTGACTTGGGTGAGCTACAGTCTCGAATACCATCTCATCGTCATTCCAAGCTCTGCTGAATGGAGTGGAGGCTTGTTACATACGTAGATCGGCGACCGCCGACCGCTCTCGAGCTCGAGCTTGAATTGTGTTTTCATTTGGTTTTCATTCAACATCTATCACTTCTCCCAATATCGCCCTATCAACACCATGGCTCACGTCATGTCCCTCGTCCCGCCCCATATCCACCCCATTCCGGTTCCCGCCATCACTGCCAGCCTCACACCAAAGGCGCTTGACTACGGTCCTGGAGGCGGAGATGGAGACAATGGTTGTAACGAGAAATCAGGGATTAGCACGTTATCATGATGACGTTGCTATCGAAACTGTCATAGTTTGTGCATATATATATCAAACACCTTCAACGTCCAAGATGAAAGCGCTCCCTTCTCCTTCAAACCCGTTCGCCTGCTCGCCCTTGCCAACCTGCGAGAGAATGTAGTCTAGCGAGAAGGTGTTGTCATCGGATCTGGACCCTAGTCAGCTTGAAGTATACGATGATGAACAGAGAGACTCACATTTTGGATACACTGGCCTCGAGCCCGTTCAGTCCCTTGACCAACCCTCTCAACGTCGCCGCCATCTCACCCTTCCTCTCTCTCAGATATCTTCCATGGCTCGTCAACATCGCCGCCGTCCACATCAAGTCAAACTCCACATGGGGCGTAGCCTCAATATGGTCACTGACAAACTTGGTAAATTGCGCCACATACACCTCTGGCAGCTGCCTCGCCAACAGTCGAATAGATGATGGCGACACAGCCTCATACACACGCTGGATGAGGGGCTTTTCGTTGAGACGGAGAGCCATGATGAGGGCGATGAGGTAGTCGCCTTGGGCAGCGGTCTGGAGGGTGGATTCGGGAGTGAGGTCGAGGGAGAGGTCGAAGGGGTCGAAAGTGGTGGATTCATCGAGAGAGTAGATGAGAAGACCCTCGGTACTGGCAGCGGCCCAGCTTCGGCCAGTAGCAGAGAAGCGCACGCAGTTGGTACGCGCATCCCGCCTATACCGTCTCTTGGAGAGGTCACCCTTGGAAGCACCGGGCAAAGTGGAATCCAGCCTATCCTCGAGGTCCTCCTCCTCACCCTGCCTGTCAAACGTGTCCATAGCTCCCGCCTCTGTCATCTTTCTCGAATCCAACATCTCTTGCGTCCCGTCCAAACTCAAGTTTTCGCTGATCTGGAATTTCTTGATCATGACGCCCTCAGCACGGTCGTAAATGACGACGTACTTGCTGCTTCCTCCAGCGAGGACACAAGCACCGTCGGCGGTGTAGGTGACGCTGTTAAAGTATTTGCTCGCAGCGTTGTTGGCGGCAGTCAGGCGATCGTCGATCTTGCGCCCGCCTGAAATGTCTCGGCGACCTTCTATGACCGACTTGATCTCGCCCTCCTCAATGTCAATGAACGACAGCTCTCCATTCAACGTAGCAACACAAATCTCCTTTCCATCAGGCCTGAACGCCAGCGCCGTAGCCTCCCCAGACAACTCTATCGGCTCCGTCGCCCTCGAACGGCCAAACACGGACCACAACCGCACCGACCTGTCCCAAGAAGACGATGCCAGCTGGTTACCAGAAGGCGAGAAGGCGAGGTTGGATATGGGGGCGGTATGGCCTGTGAGGATATCGAGGAGTTTACCGGTTTGGACGGACCACATGTAGATCTCGAAAGAGTCTTGCGAGCCTGCGCAGACGACGTCCCCCGAGGGGTCGACGGCGAGGGCGGAGAATTGGACGGGGGAAGGGGATGTGAAGGTTCGGAAATTTCTGTATCGCACGAGGTCGTAGGCCCTTACTGTGCCATCGAGGGAGGCAGAGAAGAGGACCTGGCCTTGCTTGGAGAATTCGACGGTAGAGACAGCTGCAGTGTGCTCGGGGAAAGTGACGAAGCAGTACCCGCTGGTAGCATTCCACAGCTTGACTTTGCCGTCTTCACCACCAGTGGCGATGTTCTGAGCGTCTGGGCTGAATGCGAGGGTGTTCATGTCGTAGTAGTGTCCCTGCTGTTTGAGCACGTAGCTTTCACTTTGCCATTCCCAGACAAGCAGCTGGCCAAGCTTGGATGCCCCGAAGGCCAACCATTCGCCGGAAGGCGATACAGCGACACTCGAGATCTTTTCGTTGGAGATCGACAAGGTGTGGACTGGCGAAAAGTCGGGCATCTCCCACAGACCAAAGACACCAGACGAGAACCCGACGATGAGGAGGGAGGTTTTGGGGTGGAATGTGGCGCAGACAGTCTTGGTGCCCGGCTGGTTGAAAAAGTGTCGGGAATGGACACCCCAGCGAGAGTAGGCGACGGTGTGCTCGAGGGCGAGGTTGGCGGCGGATGTGGATGTGGTGGGGGCGTCAAGGATGTCGAGCTCGACATCGGAATCTTCGTCAGAGACACCCTTCTTAGCTTTCCAGACAAAGACCGCGCCATCTCGGGAGATTGTGTAGATCTATCTAGACATCAGCAGCGGTCACAGCTTTCCAATGGTATGACTCACAGTCTTCTCGTCCAAAGAAAAGTAAGCACCGATGACCATATCCCTATGTCCCGCAAACTGTTTTGGCGTGAAGCCCTCCAGGGGGTGGACAGTATACAATCTCGCAGTCATATCTCTCGACGTCGAGACAAAGTAGCGAGATGTCTTGGACCAACACACGCTGACCACATCATCGTGGTGTCCAGTGTACTCTCTATGCAGGGTGAAGGGCGCAAACTCTCGGACGAGGTGGCTGGGGGTGTTCCAGATCTGCACCTTGTGGCCGTGGGTGATGGCGATGTATTTTCCGTCGGGAGAGAAGGAGACGTGGTTGACGTGGCGCTTGAAGTTGATGTGGTGGAGGACGGTTCCTTTTCTGAAGTTGATGAAAAGAGCTCGACCATCTGCATGATATTAGCTTGAGAAGACACCGAGCTTGGGAGGGCGCACCTTCATCGACAGAGATGAGCACGTTGCCATCTGGCGAAAGCGCGATCGTAGCAATGTTCTTCCTGTTCTCAAAACCAAGTGTTCTCGATTTGTTGCTATCATGCGTCAGCTATGATCGGACAAAGATACGTCTACTTACTTGACCAAGTCAAAGACAGACACCCTATTGCCAACCGGACTCAAAACCGAGTTTCCATCTGGCGTGAAAGCAACGTTGCCCTGTCGGTAGACGGTACCGCACAGGTTTTGGAATTGGAAGTTGGACTTCATGGCGAAGTCTTCTAGGTTGTGACGGGAGTCGATGCGAGACTGAAAATGTATATCCTCGAATGCCAATGAATTGCAAGTGAAAGACTCGTCGAAGATTTCTGGCGGGATCAAATCTCAGGTACGATCCCGGAGTGGAGGTCCCACCGCGGCCTGCGCCGAGCCAAACATGTCAACAAGAGTACATAATTGTCTTTCCTGAACATCTATAAATTGAAATAACTATAATCAGCAACAGCAAGATGTCTGTCAATCAGCCGAGTCGCACGGTGCTCGTGGCCAAACCCATCGTCAATGTCAAGCCCGATAACAACGACCCCAGGTGCGTCTCGCTACACGTCTAGCTTAGTGCCCTTGCTGATATCCGATGTGGTCCACAGCCAAACAGTAAAGTATCGGCACCGTTCGCCTGAGAAAAATAGTCAAGATGTGCATAGATTTTCTGGGACTTGACGGGTGCTGACTTTGGATGAAGCTCGGCAAAGCCAAAAGCAAGATTGAGCGCCGGGACGCCACCATCAAGCAGCTTCAAAGCCAGATACAGGCTCTCCCAAACCCCAGTATCATTGACAGCCTTCAAAAACAGCTGAAGGACCTTGAAGCTCGCCATCAAGCATCTAAAGGCCACGAATCCAAAAGACACGAAGTAGGCAGGCGTTTGTCGGCGTTGGGCAGGCGTCGCTGACGATCGACACAGTGGGAACAGTATGCGAAAAAGGTCAAGCAAGAGAGAGACAGCCTCCGAATTCGACTTGAGGAGAAGGACAAGAAGATGGAGGAGGTGCGTTGTCCAATGTGTCCTTCCGGGAAGGTGGGCTGACACATGTCTGAAGGATGCACGAGCAACGAGCATCGCCAATGCGGAAGCACAAAGATTGAAAGACGAGAACAAATCCCTCAAACCCCAGCTTAGTCACAACCGTTCCTCCCAACCAGCTCAGTCCATCACCTTCTCCAACTTCACCAAACGTTCCAACGACTACCGCGCCCAACTCTCTATGGCAGAAGCGGAGCTTCGTGAGACATATGCCAAACTGTCCGACAGGTACCAGGCAGTCTACGAAAGAGACGTTGAGTTCAAGAAGTTCAGGATCAAGATGGACGGTCAAGTGGAAAGCTTGAAGAGGGATCTGGAAGAGGTGAAGCGGGAGAGGGATGAGAGGGCTAAGGAGGTGGAGAGACTTGAGGAAGATAAGAAGCGGGTTGAGGCTCAGCTGGCAGAGGAAGAAGGGCGTTGCGAAAATCTAGAAGATCTGCTGGACGCCTCTGCTCGGGCGTACGCTCTCCACCATATGGCGACAGTGCCCAAGGCTTCTTTCGACACCCTCCAATACGAACATCTCCGGGCGAAACATGAAGCTGCCGACTGGAGACTCAAGGCGGAGACTCGCGGGGTAGAGCTACAGATGAAGAAGGATGAGATCAAGGAATTGGAACAAAGACTTGAAGTCGGTGAAGAGGAGAAGAATGTCCTTGGCGAGGCATTCGACACGATGAGAGAGGATGGAGCAGTTTTGCGAGAAGAGATAGACCGTCTCATCGGCGCTTCCATCTCTGGGCAACGAAGCGACTTCTCATACCCCACTCTCGACCCTCTTCCCAGCGTCTCACCAGCTTTCCAACTCGCTCTATCCCACTCTGACCTCATCACATCCCACTTCCTCCCTCAAGTCACCTCTCTTACCTCCGACATATCGTCCCTCCAATCCAAACTATCCACCACTACTTCAAACCTCACTTCCTCCCAAACATCTCTCGCAGACCTCAAACGCGAGCACGCTTCTCTCCACGCCGCCCACACCTCCCTCAAAACAGCACATGAGCCTTGTGCGAGCATCAAGCTCGAGTTGGAAAAGTCTGAGTTGGAGTGTGCGCTGAATGCAAAGAGTATTGAAGGGCTGAGGGAAGAGGTAGCCATGTTGAAGATGAAAGCGAAAGAGGATAGTGAGGGGATGAAAAGGGCGAATGATTGTGTTATGAGGGCGAAGGTTGCTGAGCAGAGCTTGGTGGAAGAAATTGATTAGTAAGTTTGTCGCACGTCAAGCAAGGGTTTAGCTGACAGCCGATAGCTTGCGAGAAGTATACCTCGAGGCATCGAAATACGAGTCTCTCTACACTGCTTTGCAGGAGGAACATGAGATTCTCATAGCACGTGAGCAAGCAGCTGTTCAAGAAGCAGAAGATATTGCGAGGCAGAATGCCGAGCTGGCGGGGCATACAAATGAAGTGCAAAAGATCAGCTATGTGGAAGGGTTGAGGAGAGAGATGGTCGAAGTCAAGCAGGTACGCCCCTTCTCAACCGCTCCCTTGAGCAAAACGCTGATGGGATGAACAGGAATTGGCCGGCACAAGGCAGATGCTCAACATCTCTTACGACAAGATCAACGCCCTCGAAGCCGAGATCGGTGCCTACAAGTCACTCGACTCTGGCGTGCAAGGTCTTAATTTGGGCGCTTCGGGGCGGATGAAGGTGCAGAGAAGACAGCCGGAGGGCGGGAGGTTGACGGTGTCGAGGTTGTCAAAGAGCGTTGCGGGCTCGAGGAGCAGTCGAAACTGAGTCGTTTCTTTCTGATGGGGTTGTATATTGGTCTTTTGGTCGGTTATTGGCGTGGATATAGTGTACATGTATACTAGTAATAGTGCTCGTAAGCGTTGTTATCTTGAATTCTGTTCCAACCGGATGTTGAGGCCTGGGTCTGAGAGTATGTGCACAGTATCGCCAAAGATTTCGCGCAAGAGGTAGATGGTGGATATGGTGGCAGTATTTGTAACGGAGATGGAGGGCTGGTAGACGAAAGCTCTGGGGGTGAGGTGGGCGGTGATGCCGCGGATGGGTGTGCAAGGAGGGTTGGAGAGAGGGGGTATCTGATCAGCCATGCTTTTGAGAGCCGTGCTGTTGAGAGGCATGATGTCGAGATAGGCGCATTCTACATTCACTTGGAGGATACAGATAAGTAGCAATGTGACATTGAGTATATTCCCTCCCGCCCTCGTTCCGGAGCGCAGTGGCGGCGAGTACGACAGTAGTTGGCTATCGTCGTCGGTTGATGGTGGTCTATTGGTAGGTGATTGTCGTGAATGTAGTATACATGTATACAGATAGTGTTCGTGAATCATAACGTCTTGACTTTCGTTCTTCGCTTCGTCAACCCCCAGAGCTTCCACATAATCCAAGCCCATCCCAACCAGATCACAACCGGCGTGACTAGCTCCACAAGTTCTTGGTGTGCGTGTTTGCCGGTTGGTAATGTCAGGGATATGGGCGTAGGATGAACGAGTGGGAGTTCTAGAGCCTTTTCGTTGTCTGTACCGGTTGTCAGTCAAGAAGAGCATGCGTGGTGATACCCACCAGACAATGACTCTGCGCAGACCCACCCCGCCGCGAGCTCACTCCCGTCCTCGCCGGGAAACACGAGCGTCCGCTCCCCTTGATCACTCGGAGTAAGATACCTCGCATGTAGTGGGACTTCGAGCACCTCTTGCTCTTTGATATTCGCAGATGGATTCAGCCGAATGTGGAGGGTGTGGTGCGTAGAGTTCCCCAGATAGGGCCGCTCGATATCCACAGAGGACGGTTCAAGTGCCCATGTCCACACATCAGATCCACTCTCATCCTCCTCTGCTGCTATAGGCCACTTCCCTCCAAGCTCATCGGGGTCGATAAAGAGCGCGTCTGGAAAAGTAAGGGCGAATGATGCGGCGGGGGTACAGCTGTCGGTGGGTGGGGGCAGGGCGTAGGCGATGGTGAGAATGGGGTGGAGGGAGGGCTGGGAGAAGGAGAGTGATGTGTCGATGGGGGAGATGGCCATCATGTGCAGGCGTGGAGAACAACTCGAAAACACGACTTGAACAGCCGCAGCAATCGACGGATTGATGTGCCTTGTCCCTGGATTTGGTTCCGCTGATAACGGTGGCCTCGATGACGGCATCCCAGATCCAATCGCATCTCGGTCCACCACGGGCTCAAAACTATCCAGGGACTGAGGGACTCGTTGGCAGGTATAAACACGCCCTATCCATCTCTTCTCCTTCTTCCCCATCTCACGAAGGATCCACGACTCAAGATGGCCCACCATGCGAACGAGGAACATCACGGCAAGCCAGGTATGTTCTTGGACACGTGTATGGCCCATGTCACTGACTTGTTTGCCAGGGAACTTTACCATGATGCAGTACTTTGAGTGAGCATCCTCCTTGCCACTTTCTGACAAGCGCTGACAGGATTGCAGGTGGTACGCCCCCGGAGGCGGCGTACACTGGAAAAAGTACGAAGACGAGAGCGACCGACTCGCCAGTATGGGTATCACTGCCTGCTGGATCCCTCGTACGTTCCTCCATCTCCCCGAAAAGCTTCATAGCTGACGCGCTGGCACAGCTCCCACAAAGGGCTCCAGCCCCGAGGGTACCGGCTACGACATCTACGACGTCTGGGATCTCGGAGAGTTTGACCAGAAGGGTTCTGTGGGCACCAAGTGGGGCAAGAAGGAGGATCTTCTCAAAGCTATCAAAACAGCTTCTGACAAGGGCATCATCACCTACATTGATGCTGTCATGAACCACAAGTACGTCCATCATTCGTTCCTAGGGTGCTACTGACGCGAATGAAGAGCTGGTGCGGACGATAAAGAAGAGTTCCTCGCTACCATGGTCGACCAGAATAACCGAAACAAAGAAGTCGGGGAGATGCACAATATCCAAGGATGGACCAAATTCGATTTTCCAGGGAGGGGCGACAAGTATAGTGACATGAAGTGGAACTTTAACCACTTTACTGGTGTCGACTATGATGCTGCGACCGAGACTAATGCGATCTTCAAGGTGGGTCTTGTATGGATGAGAAGAGGTTTGAGCTGATGGAGAGGTAGATCCAAGGTGAGGGCAAGCACTGGGCTACGGATGTCGATAAGGAGAACGGGTCGTTCGACTATCTCATGTTTGTGAGTCGCAACAGTCAACAGCGCCGAGAGCAAACGCTGACCACTCATCAAGGCCGACATCGACCACTCTCACCCCGAAGCCGAAGCCGAACTCAAGTACGCCCCCCTGCCCCCTCCCTCCCCCTACCCCACCAAGCTGACTTTGTGTGTCTCCCAGCAAATGGGGCAAATGGGTCCTCCAAGAAACCGGCGCCCACGGCTTCCGCTTCGATGCCGTCAAACACATCTCCCAATCCTTCATCGCCCAATTCGTCAAACACATCCGCTCCGGCGAAGGCGCCAAAAGCAAGGCCTTTTGTGTGGGCGAGTTTTGGCATGATGATGTGGATGCGCTGGAGAGTTATTTGGAGGGGCTTGGGACGCAGTTTTCGTGTTTTGATTCGTGTTTGCAGGACAACTTTTATGTGAGTTCTTCTTCTCTCAAGGATGGGAGTAGGAAGGTTGGTAGGGTGGAAGGAGGGTGGAAGCTAAAGGGAGGTGTAGCAAGCTGGAGAAGCTGGAGAGGGCTACGATCTGCGCAAGATCTTTGACGGCTCTCTCGTCCAGAGGAGACCTATCGATGCCGTGTAAGTCTCCTACCTCCCCACCTTGACCTGATCACCAACTAACCCATTTCAGTACCCTCGTCGACAACGTACGCTCCTCCCTTCCCTTCCCTCATTCTTCCCCACTAACCCCCAACCCTCTATAGCACGACACCCAAAAAGGCCAATCCCTCCAACGCTGGGTCTCCCCAACTTTCAAACCCCTCGCCTACGCGCTCATCCTCCTCCGCCCGGACGGCTACCCCTGTGTCTTTTACGGCGATCTCTACGGCTGTGGCGGGGAAGACCCGCAGGAGGGGGTGGGGCAGTTGGAGGATTTGGTTAGGTGTAGGAAGATGTTTGCTTATGGGGAGATTAGGGATTATTGGGATCATCGTGCGTCCTCCTTTCTTTCTCCCATCTCTGTGGTCTCCTATGTTGGGGATTTGTGAAGTGACGAGAGCTGATTGGGGGTGATATAGCCAACTGCCTAGCCTGGCTCCGCACAGGCGACGCCGAGCACGACGGCTGCGTCACCGTCATCTGCAACGGCAACGAACCCGGCTCCAAGCGCGTCGAGGTCGGGCAAGAGCACAAGGGCGAGAAATGGACGGATGTCTTAGGGTGGTATCAGGGGGAGGTCGTTATTGGTGATGGTGAGTCTCTTTTTGCATCCCACCTTTCTCCTCTTGTCTGTCGTCCGTGCACGGATGATGCACGAAGGGAGGAGGGAGGAGGGAGGAGGGAGGAGGGAGAGTGCATGGGGAAAGAGGAAAAAGCTGATGGGTGGTGATAGACGGCTGGGCCGAGTTCTTCTCGCCCCCTCAAAGTATCTCCATCTGGACCAAGACCGATGCCCGAGGCAGGGAAGAGTTTAAGAAAGAGTAGATCTAGAGCTGTTAGATATTGTAGACGTCTTGTTGGTGGTAGTCTTGTTGAAAATGTTTGTTGGGTAAGGTTTTTGAAATTGAATGTGAATCATCTTGTGTTTTCTTTGTTGGGGAAATGAATATATATGCTTGTTGTTGGCTTGATCGTATGTGATAGATTCTCAAGGTCATTTGAATACATAGACTACATACACGACCCAACCCCCCAACCACTCTCCCCAGGCCCCACTCCACAGCAACAAAATCAATACTCATAAAACCCCCTCCCCCCCTTCTTCCCAACCCACCCAGCATCCACCATCCGAACCAACAGCCCCGCCGGCCTATACTTGCTGTCCCCCGTCTCCTGCGCCAGCACGCGCTGGATGTGGAGGCAGGTGTCGAGGCCGATGAGGTCGGCGAGGGCGAGGGGGCCCATGGGGTGGGCGAGGCCGAGGCGGAAGGTGAGGTCGATGTCTGGGGCGGAGGCGATTCCCTGGGGGTGGGGTTGGTTAGGAGGGAAACAGATGGAGGGAGAAGGGGAGGGGAGAAGGGGAGGGGAGAAGGGGAGGGGAGAAGGGGAGGGGAGGGAAGGGGAGGGGGACGTACTTTTTCGAGGAGCATGATAGCTTCGTTGATCATGGGCATCAAAACGGCATTGGCGATGAAACCGGGCGAATCTTTAGACGTTGTGACCTCTACCCTCTCCCTGTCAGACCCATCTTTCGGGAAAATGGATAACGAGGAAAGAGGAAATACGGGTAGCGCACCTTTCTTGCACGCTTTGCCGAAGGACGTGGCTCGGTCTATGGTCTCCTGGGATGTTTGAAGACCGGGAATAATCTCGACGAGCTTCATAACCGGAACCGGGTTAAAGTAATGTATCCTGGATCATCAGCTTTGTGACCAAGCCGAACCCTGTAAAACTTGGCTCACCCGATGACTCTCTCAGCACTGCCTTTACCGACTTGTCCGCCCATACTACCAGCACTTGCAGCGAGCTTGGTCAGGGAGATCGAGCTGGTATTGCTGCCGAGAACAGCGGTGGGCGGTAAGAGCTCGCCGAGGCGCTTGAAGAGGCCGAGTTTGAGATCAGGAATCTCTGGTATCGCCTTCATCTTTCATCAGACACATCACCTCTGTATTGAATAAGGGAGACTCGCTTCAATAACAAGATCAGTATCACTCGCAATCTCCTCCCCACTGTTGCCCGAACCATCGCCTTTGACGAGCTTGACCCTGTCCCACGCTGCATCCGCCTCATTCTGCGTCATGCGTTCTTTCCCAACGTCCTTGTTGAGGAGAGATTGGATGGCGGATTCTGCTCTGGAGAGCACGGCTGGGGAGGGGTCGTGCAGGGTGAGGGGTACGCGGGCGTGGACGGCAGTTACATAGCTGATTTCGCCTCGAGGTCAGCTGATCCGGCGTCAAGTAGATGTTGGATGATGAAAGATTCACGCGATTCCCAAGCCCATCTGGCCTGCGCCGATGATAGCTGCCTTCCGAATAGGCTGGAGTGCCATAGTAACTAGAAGTATAGATAGATGCAAGAGACAACAGATGGTGGATCTGTGGTGGACAGTCCGGCTTTCCGAGTGACCGAGGGTGTGCCTGGCGGCGATATCCGCCGCTACTACTGCGGGAGTTCTTTTTGTTCCCGAGGCACAGCTTCGTTGTGAGACGCGAAGACGCGTGAAACATCCATCGCTTGCATCTCTTCCATCTCCTCTCGTCAGCCACAGGGGGTATATATTCTCTCCACGTCGCCAGCGCTACCCGCAGCCCCCGTCCCTTGCCCGCCCGCCCGACAAACACCCCGCGCGACAGCCAGATCCCGTCCCTTTCAACGACAACGTTCCTACACAGCGGGTGATTGCGCATTTCAAACACCGCAACGTCATACTCCCGCCCACTTTTCTCTCCCCCCCTCCCTCCGCCCCTCTCACACCACCATGTCCTCCTCAATATCAGCATCTTCCACCGCCTCCTCCACCGCCTCGGCAACCTCCAGCTCGTCCTCAATAGTCGGCAACACCAACAGCTCCTCCTTCAAGATCGTCGGTATCTGCCTCGCAGTCGGCAGTGGTCTCCTCATCGGTACCAGCTTTGTAATCAAGAAGAAGGGCCTGATCAACTCTACGAAAAAGTATGGGAACCAAGCGGGAGAAGGTCATGCGTATTTGAAGAGCTGGATGTGGTGGCTGGGGATGATCACGATGATCGTCGGGGAGATATGCAACTTTGTGGCATAGTAAGTCGACCGTGATATGTGATGCGGGGGCGCTGACAAGCGCGCAGTGCGTTCACCGAGGCTATCTTGGTCACTCCCATGGGCGCGCTATCCGTCGTCGTCGCAGCTATCCTCTCCCATTTTCTGCTCAAAGAAAAGCTCACCTTCTTTGTATGTCACCTCACGCCTCGGCACTCCCAGCTGACTCGTGCATAGGGCTGGATCGGATGCACGCTCTGTATAATGGGCGCCGTCATCCTCGCCCTAAACGCCCCCGAAGAACAATCCGTAACCACCATAGCCGCATTCAAGAAACTCTTTCTCTCCGCCGGCTTTCTCGCCTGGGCAGGTATCCTCATCGTAGGCAGTCTGGTCATGGTCTTTTACGTGGCTCCCAGGTGGGGCAAGAAGAGCATGTTGCCGTATATCAGTATTTGTTCGTTGATCGGGGGACTTAGTGTGAGCTGTACGCAGGGGTTGGGGTCGAGTATCGTGACGAGTATCCAGGGGTGAGTTTGGGTTTATGACAAGGGGAGTGTTGCTGATGAATGCGCAGAGATAATCAGGTCAAGAACTGGTTCTTCTGGTTCTTGTTCGTCTTTGTGGTAATCACTTTGCTCACAGAGTGAGTCTTAATTCCATACCAAAACGCCCCCTAACAATACCCAGGATCAACTACCTCAACAAAGCTCTCGAGCTATTCAAGTAAGCCCTTCCCCATCTCTCCAACCCACCCCCTAACACAAATACAGCACATCCATGGTCGTCCCCGTCTACTTCTGCTTCTTCTCCTCCGCCACCCTCATCACCTCCTTCATCCTCTACCAAGGCCTCAAAGCCTCCGCCGTAACACTCATCACCATGGTCCTCGGCTTCCTCGTCACATGCCTCGGCATCACCCTCCTCCAACTATCCAAAGTCGACCCCGAAGCCCTCGAATCCAAACTCGACCGCCGGTCCACGATGCTCATGGAAGCGTCGCGACACCAGACGGGGGATGTGGAGAAGGGCGATGTGGTGGGGATGGAGGATCCTGGGATGGATGCGCTCCGGGGCGGGTTCGGCGCGGTGGGGAGCATCATTAGGGCGAGGAGTGTTAGTCGGAGGTTGAGTAGTGGGAGTACGTTGAGTAATGGGGGAAAGTATGGGGCGGGGGGGTTGTCGACGCATGGGATGGGGCATATGCCGAGGTATCAGCGTGAGTACTTTTTCTGCCTTTTGCTGCCCTTTGGTGGGAGAGGGCTGATGAGAAGGGTAGTGTCGGACAACCCGATGCCGTCGGATGCGATGAGCCAGATCTCGATGCACAGTGCCAAATCACCGTCATCGAGGAGCTTTATGAGCGGCCACGCACACTTTTTGAGCCCCAACAGGACTGGAAACTCGAGAGTATGTCTTCCTTCCCTTCATTCATGTGAGAGGTGGGCTGATTGGGATGCAGGACGACGGCGATATCGTCAACATGTACCAATACGACCGCGAAGACTCGCACAACCTGCACGCCCCTCCCCCTCCGCTCCGCTCATACTCAACCGAAAACCATCATCACACATACCACCCCAACCCGCTCTACCCGCCTGTGCTCGAAGAAGACGAACAAGGGTACGAGAAGGAAGTGGATGCGAAGGGCCGGTATGGGTCGAGTAGGACAAAGATATATGTGGATGATGCGCCTGATCAGGTGCAGAGCGCGCCTGTAAAGGGCTCAGGAGGGTATAAGAACCCGTATGATGTTTACCCCGCGAGGGCGAATGAGCCAAAACCGCACAAGTCTATCGGCAACATCTTCCATTTCCCCTCCGGCCCCGACCTCTCGCTCGACATACCCAATCATCAGCGCAGCAGGCAAGATTCCAGCCGCTCTTCTCGGAGAGAAAAGGATCATCAGTATCCGACATTGTCAAAGAAGGATAGGAACGATGCGCAGGAGAAGGAAGAGCGCCGGGGGCTTGTGAGGAGTGATAGTGATGGGTCTGCAGAGATGATCAACTCTAGCCCCGAGGGCGAGGGTGGGGAGGGGGAGGTGAGCGATGATGATAGCGTGTCGAGGCAGAGCGAACCGCCGAGTGCGATATCGACGCGGGCGACGATAGGGATGGGCACGAGGGTCAACCTTTCGCAGGCGGATTTGAGGAGCGAGCGGAGTGGAGGGTCGGGTGGGGAGCCGGTGAGGAAGGGGACGAAGAGTAGTAGGAGCCAGGCCCAGATCCAGCAGCAGCAGGGAAGCAAGGCGCCGAGGAGGTTACCGGATGTCCCTGGGTTTGCGGCTGGACCGCCTTACGGATCTTGAGGTCTTCTTCTACTTCTTCTTCTTCTCGCACCGCGCTCTCTTTCTTTGGTTATGGTTGTACAAGTACCTGTATCATCTTTCCCTTCTACTCTTTCTCGGCCTGACTCGAGAGATTCACGTTATACGCACGACGTTTCTTGACATGATATAGACAATTTGACTACATAGAAAGGACTTTTTTTTTCTCACGTTTCTCTCTCGTTTAGGGCCATTTACGTTCGTTATATCATGCAGCTATCACAAGTCATAGCTGCGCTGTCGTGCTGAAGGCATGTTTGATCGATGTGCATGTGGTTACTGTAGAGTCGAATGGGCAACCTCCATGTAATCCGCGACGATACGGGCGATCGCATCAGTCATCCCTGCGGGAAAACGGCTTTGATCGCTATCGCTAACGTATTGTCCGCAGGGGGATCGATGAAAGATGATGATCTCTTGGCGGAAGCCGTTAGAACCTTTTTGTATGACCTGAGGAAGAGCAGAGAGTATTTTGGAGATGGGCTGATTGGGAAAGTTGGCACGGAGGGACAAAACAACTATGGCCTCGACCTTTCGATCAGTGTGTTGAGTGACGCATCGATGCACCCTGATTCAAGCTTCAAATCATCGATTGAATGTTCTTATGAGGTCCACGTACGTTCGCTGTGATTTGAAGAAAGTGAAAGCATACGCGCTGATTTGCTTTGAGAGAGATCAAGATTGAATGGGAAAGAGAGGCTGCACGGATATACATCATTGAGTTTGCTGAGAGAATAATATCAACAGCGAAAAGTGACATTGCGTAGCAGAGTCTACGACACCCGATATATCAGCCCAGATCTTTGGTAAAAGTGTGACCGCTACAAACCTTCGCCTTGCCTTTGTTGGCGAAGAATGATGTCGTCGTGTTACAGAGTAGTGCTGATGGGACAGATTACTTGAGGGTGATGATGGTGATGTAAGAGGTGTCGCATTAGGGATTTCATACTCTACGAGACTATCAGCCTTGTACGCGCAAGATCAATGCTGGTCTCTGCCGGAAGCAACGTACCGCAATAGGTCATCATACCGATATGTTTACTGTCTTTCTGCTCAAACCGACTCCCCGCCTCTCAATCTCTCCCCATCCACGTCAACAAGCGTCCCTAGAAGATCCACATCCACCATTTCACATACTGTGCTCTCAATGAGGTGCGCCTTGACCCAAGGATCAATGTTCCCACGAGCTTCTCCTTCGATCGGAGATCTGACCTTCCCCAACACCTTCTCTTTGACTAGCTCAAAATGATCCAGCTGTACTCGGATAGGAGGTAAATTCATGATAGCCATAGACCCACGTTAAGCAAAAGCGATATCGCACAATGCTGACGATAACATCGGAAATCTTGTCGAGAACCTTCGGCGTAAAACTCTTGTCGCTCCCTGACGAAAGATTGCAGAAAACCAACGCAAGCTGGCGAAAGTCGACAAAGTAGTCGAGGGCGGCAAGCAGGAGATCAAGTTGCGTCTGAGATCGTTCGGGTGGAGACGATGGCTGCAGGGCAACCACAATGACTGCCTCAACTTTCTTTCCAACTTCGAAAGCTACCTCTGCTGCTTCGACATCTTCGCCCAGCAAAATCTTCATCCACTTCGTATGGTACTCAAGCTCCGGATCCTGATCCTCATAAAAGCTCGAAAAGTCGAACAGAGGTTGAGACAAGGGCTGGACCATGAAGGTCACTTGTGAAAAGTGGTCACCAAGCTGATAGCCGAGATAGCTCTGCCGAAGACGTCTGCACTTCCCGTCCTCCGATTGTACTTGTGTCGCGTCTAGGCAGGTATTGTAGGCAAAAAGGAAGGGCTCCATAGGAAGCTGGATGCGTCTGACATGCTCGAAAAGCCGAGCAGGATGAAAGGGATAGGGAGAGCCGGGCCTCTTTCTCAATCGTTTGGCCCGCTCAACGATAGACATGTCGGCAGCAAGCAAGCCAAATGTGGTCATCGAGTCGAAAGCGATCGTGTGAGCGAAGAAGATGGGAATCAGGAAAGCGACGTCGATTGGCTTCTTAGGCCGAGCATCAGTGGTATCCCGAAGTCGTTCCCGGAGGTCACTGCTGAAGACGGCCGCCTGGGACATTCGTCGAAGGGCGTATGCGCGATGCGTTTTGGATAAGCGCATGAAGACAAAAGGCTTCATGTTTAGGAAAAGGTCGAGTAGGATATGGTGGACGGGGTACAGAGCTTCGAGAGAGGTGGGGCCCATAGGGGCTGGGGGAGGATGGGGGGCCGCTTCTGCGGCGGGCTGTTTCTTCGCACGACGACGAGGGGGCATGGCGCTGAGGTGGTGCTTGTGGACGTATGTGTGCGAGGGCCAGTCTCGAGATATGAGGGCTGGGGATAGATGAGAAGAAGAAAAGGATCAGAGGTGAGATTGATGGGAAGGACGCGAAGACGGTTGACGTGGATGGCGCGACGTGCAAAGAAGGTCTGTGCGTTGAGTGACGCGTGGACGTGTTTGTGCGCGACGTTGGATGATCCGAAACGGACCGCTTCGTCGATTATTTGGACACCTAAAGGTTATATGATACCTGATCACATGCTAGAGACTGCTCTCCATATGCTTATGCAAGGGACTGTCATATACACGGCGGCGGATAGGATGATATCATTCTGCTATGAGTTGATCAGCTTCCAGCTGATGGTAATGAGAACAGCCGCGTACCAGGCTCAGAGCGAGTATAAGGGCAACTCTTCGAGCGGAGATGGTGGCAGCAGCACAATCTATCCTCTGTCTTCAAGTGATTACGGCTTCCAGGTTCGACGAAGGATAAAGTACTGCAGACGCTCGTTGTGATGGTGTGCGTGATGGTTTGTCGTCGAAGCGGCGAGAACAGATAACAGGATTGGGTCTTATGATGAAAGGGCGATGCTCGTGATCTGCAGAATCGTCAGCTTCCTCCATACTTCCTCCATACGATCGCCTTCGCCCCCGTGGCACAAATACACATACCCGGAGTTTGACCAAATATTGACCGTCCCCTGCTATACACATCTCTCGAATCACCTCGTCCACATCCCCAAAGTGTATCCCTTTGATTGAATCCATATCCACAGTCACCGCGACAGGCGGCCGATGGAAGACGTCCACCTCCACCGAAGGCTTGACCTTTGTCATCATCTCTTCTCTCAGCGCTTCCCAATTATCGGCCTGTATCGTCATTGCAGGCAAGGTGTAAGCAGGTCGAAACGGCTTCCGACGAGGTGTCACAAAGTGATTCTCCAGGATGCGCGCAATGGCGTCAGGCAGTGTCACGCTTGGGGAATGCCCTTGCCGTGCTGAAGAGAGTTTTGATATAAGGGGCAAAAACCTTTTCGTTATTGTCGCATACAAAGAAGAAGAACTATGAAAGACAACTCTGCTAAGTGTATCTACGGAGAGCACGGTCCACGAAACACACAACTAATCTACTAAATGAACAAAGTACACAGGTGCCTCCTATAACCATGACAGGCAGCTCGTAGAATCGGGTCGTTCTTACTGCCGTCATCTTTCGCGGGGTTGCGTCGAGAGAGGTGAGGTCGGTAGCCGGAGGAGCGGGCATCTTGGTGGAAGGAACGGCCTCACTGGAGCGGGGGGTTTGTCTGTCGGGAGACCAGGGTGAGAGAGGAGTGATGGATATGTGAAAAAGAAGCTGGGAGCAATGTTCGGTGCTTCAAGTGGAGAGGAATAGGATTGATGTGATGAACAACTACGTGGCGTCGTGTCGCCTGTCCTGGAGGGTTGTGGGTTGTGTGCCTTGTGTATGTCGGGAACTGGTAGGCTTTTCGCCCTCCTCTTATCCTCCATATCAATGTTGAACGGATTCAAGGGCTTGTGGATGTTCTTCCGGCTTACTGTATATCGCTCTCTTCTCTTTTGAGTACCAAAAGACAGCTGGAGCTCCGAGAAAGAGGCAAAATCAAGAGCAGATTTACATGAAGCTACGACTGTATGTATCAGTAGCGAGCGTGCATAAGTATGGAAGTGGGAAACCTACCAATCTTTCTGTGACTATGAGTACAGACCATGGAGGCGAAGCCATGTCGACGTTTATTGTGGTGAAGTGTCGTCAAAAGACGGCGGACAGGAGGGCAAGACGTGGTGGTCACGAGCTGGAGAGTCGGGCATGATGATGATAGGTATGCTGCACGCACCGAATCTCGTCTCGTCCCTATAAGCAAGTCAGCGTCCGCCTCCAAGAAACGCCTTCAGCTATTGGAAAGAACGACGTACCGCGATGCTGCTCATATCAGACACGACCCTGTCAACAGCAACTCTCGGACTCTTCATCCAGCATCTCTCGAAACTCTATATTAAGAATCTCCTGAAACTCTTCATCACATCTCCAAAAGGTACACCTCTGATAAGGTCCATGTCCACTGTCACCGAGACGGGTGGATTGGAATAAGGCTCCACCATCACTGAAGGCCTGACTTTCTCCATCACCTGGTCTCTCAGTTTCCTCCAACTGTTCACCTGTACATTGATAGGAGGTATGTCGGGCCCGCGAAGCGGCCTCCTGATCAGCGTAACAGCGTGATCTTCCAGGATGCGGGCGATAGCATCCGCGAGTCCTTCCGGGAACTCGGCGCTACTACTCTCCCCATCGGTTCGGGGATTGGCCAAGACGACGGTAGTCTGGCGAAAGTCGAGAAAGTCTTCGATAGCAGAAGGGAGGAGAGACAGCGTGGTCGAGATAGGCTGCCCGGAGAGAGTCGGTTGCAGGGGGACAACGATGACAGCCTCAACCGTCTTCTTGAAGGGGTACATGAAGTTGTTTACCCCTTCATCCTCTCCTCCGAGCATATCTCACAACTGCACAGAAGTATAGTGAGGAATGGGGTTGAGTCGCATGGCAGTGGTGTCGATCAAGGGCTGGTCAACCAAAAAGACGACTTGCCCAAATGAGGCGCCCAAATGAGGGCCAATGGCGGATGCTCGTCCACCCCTACACTTTCGACCTCTAAACCGAAAGACGACTGAAGATGCCTCGAAGAAGGGCTCCACCGAAAATTGAATGCGCCTGGCATGCTCAAAGAGTCGAGCCGGAAGGGAGGGATATGGCGAGCCGGGCTCCTTTCTGTACCTTTTGGCTCTCTCTAAGTGAGACAGGTCGGTAGCAAGCAGAGAGAAGGTTTCGAGTGAGTCGAAGCTGATTGAATGAGAGAAGGCGATGGATATAAGGAGTGTGGGATTGATAGGCTTTTTGCGACGAGCGTCGATGGTCTCTCGAAATCTCTTTTGGAGGGCGCTGTCAATGATGACCGGCTCGGAAAGTCGACGGAGAGCGTGGTCACGATGAGTCTTTGAGAGACGCATGTAAGTGAGTGGCCTCGTATCGAGAAGGTGGCCAATAATCTGGTAATGAACCGGGGCAAGGGCGTCGAGTGAGGTGAGGACGATGGGAGGACGGCTCTCAATGGCCGCTTTGGCGGGCATTTTGGCGGACGGAAGGGAGCGTGGGGTGGACAGACTGTCGGGAGACCGGGCTGAGGGATGTGTGATGGATATGAGAAGAAGGAAGAAGATGGGGGCGACGATGGTTCATTTGGACGATACCTAGAGTCGTATGGTGTTGTCCGCGTTGTCCTTCGTTGTCATGCTGTCTGTGCAAAGTTGGTGCCTTATATGTGTCGTCGAGAACTGTTTGCCTTTTCAGTCCTCACCCTCGTCCCTCTATCTCAAGGCTGAACGACTGTAAGGGCTAAACACAGGCTTCTTGTTCATATCGCTCCCTTCCCTAGCTAGTTCCCATGAGACAACTGGAGTTCCGAGAAAGCAAACTCGGACATATTTGAATGGAGCTTCGACTAGATGTACCTGCACGAAACGGTCTCCAGTGTCAAGAATTTAAGCAGGAGGGAAAACTCAGACGCAAAACGTTGCGCCTCGTTGGCCCAGATACTCCACCAACCGTTCTCCGACCGCTCAATCAACTCCACGAAGGCATCACGAAGGTGGGAGACTAGTCGACATTTGTGATGTTGCAGAAGACGACGACAACGGGCATGATGGCAGGCCGGGATGCTGATATTGATAGTTGCAGCGGGTAGAGTCACTCGACTTTGAGTCAATCAGCCAACCTCACCATCATGGTGAAACAACTGTGTACCGAGATGTGAAGAGTAATTATGTAGTCATCAAAGTCTATAAGCTTTGTTCTTGTACCCTAACTAAACCTTCGGCGATTATCCGTTCTCGCCAACTTACCCTTTTGGAGGGGTATGCATAATGATCCAGTACTCGTACAGAAATGTGCTACAATTATAAGACCATATCGAAACCGCCCCGATATATGCAATAGTATCGTCCATGTAAAATTAATGCTCACGCCTTGCGCCTGGCGCCCATCACGCCCATCCCCAGTACCCATCCCAAAACTCTGGCAGCGCCACACCCCTCTCCCTCCCATTCTTCTTCCTCGCCAACCACCTCCAGTATCGAATGATCGTCACCATGGTACAAGCAACAAGAAAGATGGCGACGACGATACAGCCAAAGTAGTTGAAGGGAGACATTGAGCCGTCTGGTTCCTTGAGTTGGTCGGATGCGTTGTCGCCATTGTGAGGGGTGTTGACGTTGATGGACATCAGACCTGATTGGGGGTCAGCATGTCAAAGGCACAAAGTCGAACAAGTGTGAAACGTACTCGTGATGAACTGCATGGGAAGGACGGAGATGGCGACAGTGGACAGCGCCAAAATGGATTGAGATATCCTGCCTCGCGTAAAGGCAAGAGAGATCCTCAGATGAGAGAGATAGGCAGGTTGACAGTGGGATAAGATGTATTCGTAATGCAACAGACTCGTCTGTAAAAGCAGAATGTGGTCTGAGATATCGATCAGCAAGTCGCTCTCTCGCAAACGCTTAAGACTCACCTTCCACGTCGCCGATATAAGCCTCGACGTTATTGTCTTCGTTCCTCGCTCGTTTTCTCAATTTTCCAATCACCACACCCTTCGCACCCAAAAGCCTTGTCAGGCCTGTCACAAGCTTTCGCACGTCGGTAATGTTTTTGAGCATCGTAGAGCGATCAAAGACGGTCTTGGGCGGATTTCGTTCGTGGTTACGCTTGACGGCGGAAGTGATGGGAAGGAAGAACAGGCGGACGTATATGAGCGCTTTCGGAAGGTGGATCTTGGGTGGAGACAAGAGCTGGTGGAAGAACGGTCTCTTCACAAGTGTTGTTGACTTTGCGCCGAAACTGTGTTTGCGCCCCTGCGCTGGATCCGGCCTCCCACTGACAGACGGGTCGCCGTCGACAGCAGCTTCAACACTTTCCAATATCTCCGCCGTCTTCCGCGGGTCGGTCGTTGGATCAATCGTCAGTGAATCGATATCGTCCACGGCGCCGTCCACATATCGGATGAGAGGGAAGAAGGCGTCGATGATCGAGTCGATGAGACCGTGGGCGATCCAGTCGGCGCCGTGAGTGGGGTTGTGAAGAGTCAGGACGCGGTCGAGGACACGGCGAGTGTGCTTTGAGATGTCATCGTAGTGGAACTGAAGCAAGTCAACATCGCCCTGAGCTAAAACAAAGAGCGACTCACGCTGACGATCCCATCGGCGAAAACCACCAAGTACACGTTCACTGCACCCACACCAACACCCTCAAGACCTTCTTTTCCCGGTCGATCTTCGATGATCTCCACCTTCTCCCCAGTCTTGCTCGCCATTTTTCCTTGTGCTCTCCCCATACCCCATCCTCGTCTCCTTCCTTCTTTCTTAAGCTCAAAATCCTCCATATCGGGCGTAGCAAGCCTCTCCTCAGCCGTAGCCTTTTCATTGAAAGTCTTTTCTTCGGGAGACATGGGTTTCTCAGAGACTTTGGCCGTGGTGGGTTGGGGTACTGTAGAGCCGGGGGTGTATTTGAAGTAGCTTTCGTCCAGAGCTCGGATGACGATGAGATAGTAGCCGAGTTTGTCGAAAGTGTCTAGCTTTTCGCGGGGATCTTGATGAAGCACATCTTCAAGGGTAAGAGGATGGAGACCGAGTAGCTATATATTCGTCAATCTGGATTCGTCGAAGTAATGGGGCAAGGATAAACTAACCTCTCCGATATCCCTCAGATCTTCCCAAGTCGGACACGAAACGTCCAACCACCAACACCCATTCTGCTTCGCCTTCGCCTTGAGCCCGGACAAATCTCTCTCCACTATCGGCGTTCCAGCCGTGGTAGGCGCCGGAGACGCAAGTCCACCCGTCGGCGATCCCGGACGGCTCATACCAAGCAGATCTGATACAGACTTTGGTCGAACGGGTGGGGTGTCGGCGCCCCGAAGAGCGTGCAGTCTAGATTGTGTCACACGAGAGGGAAGAGGGGGATTGACAAAGGCTGGAGCTCCTTTAGGCGCGCGAGTGTGTCCTGGGGCAGATCCACCTCGACGTACAGGCACTTTCGGACCAAGCCCAGGTGTGGCGGGCGGCGTCCCTTCAAGAGGCGCAAGACCGTTGGAGAGACGGACATTGCGAATATGGTCGAGGACAGTAGGGAGAGAGGGTGTCGTCACAACCCGGTCTGGCGGGTATTTCAGCTCGCCTGACAGCTTGGGGCTCTTATCGCTCCCTGCCAGCGTTATCGCGTCCTTGACGGAGGAAGCGGCGCTGGTGATATCGGCGTCTTTGGGGTTTGGCGGAAGGAGGAGGGTGAATTGTCGTTTCTTGGGTACCTGTTCGCGCTTTGGACGTTCTGGGCTGTGGGAGGTCGTCCGGCTCAAGTTGGATACAGTCCTGCTGAGCCGGGTGCTGCCTCGCCGCCTTCTCCTGCGCCTGGTCACCTGGGACCGATTGTCGTCCTCGCTCTCAGAGTCACTCGAGCTCGACGACGACGACGTGCTTCCCCTCCTCACACCCAGCGCTTCTCCCACTCTCTCAATAACTGCTAGGGCACGATCGAAATTGCCAGAGCCCCATGACCATGTCGAGCTCGAGCTCGCGATACTCGCAGTACCAAGCGAGACAGCATCATCTTCGACTGGCGAAGCTTCAGGTTGGGTGGGATCTCGTGCTGCCCCACGGTACAAGTCTCCCTCTAGAGTATAGTACCCTAAGCGGGAAGGCCCGGCGACAGGAGGGATCGAAGTCGGCTGTTGATCTGCGCGAGGGCGGAGCTTGCGCCTTCTGAATTTGAGTGGCGTGAGGAGCTCTGCAAACTCTGGCTGTGCCGGATCAATTGAAGGAGCCACAGGGTTCTTGTAGTTGAGTATGGGGGAGAGACGGGGGGTGGGCGTGCTGTTGGGGTTTTGAGCGGAGGGGCGGATGGGAGTGTGGGCGGCGTGGTCTACCGAATGCACCGCTGAGGAGGGCATTGTGGCGAGGGATTCATAAGTTGTGGGCTTGCTGAGGGTTGACGGCGTTGGGACCGCAAAGTTGGATATTGGTTGTGGTCATTCGGCGGCGCTGGCGATGGATACTTGTGAAGAGGCAAAAATAGCGACAACAAAAAGTGAAGGGAAACGTGCGTCAATTAGGAACGGGCGGGTGAAGTAGCTTGGATTTTGCTTCCGCTAATCTAATCTGTTTCTTCAATTGCAATTCGGCCTATTGGAAGGTTGACTCCTGCTGGAAAAGTCGTTGGCAAAAGGCGCTTGGGTGGTCTCGGGAGTGTAGGAAGGATATCTGGGCGTAGCTTTTCATGCGGACTGCGGCATGACAGGCAGATCTGACGCTTCTTGGCGTATTTTGCTTCTCCCAGATCAGATCCTCCTTCAACACAGATCTCTGGGGCGATTGTTTCAAATTGGCTCTTCTTTACAGCTGATAATACAGCACAAAGTCTGATGAAGCTTTGCATAGGTGAATAAGTCACAGTCCAGGGCTGATTTTGTGGTTCCGTTAGGCGCGATATGTGTGATGGTTGGAAGGCGTGATTTCGAAGCATGATAGTTCTTGAAGTAAAGAGCTGACCACCGATTAGCATCGTATGTCGAGACAGATAAAGCTGAGCTAGACTTACCCTGCTATGATGATTCATTAGCTACTGGTACTGGCACCGCCAACCTCCCTGCCCCAACGATTCTCCTTTTCATCTTAATAAAACTTGTAGATAGACCTGAGCACTCTCATGAGGTCTTTGCCATAACGCCTTTCCTCAACCTTTCTCCACACTCTACCATATAGCTCATACCTCCCGGTCATCTCAAATCTCATCATCTTCGCTTGCGAAAGAAAACCGCAATCAGCCATCATCGAGATGTATTCGGCGATAGCTTCAACAACAGCTTGGCGGAGCGAGATGTGGGTAGGGCCGGAGATGTCTATTATGATTTTGCTGGGCTTCTTGGAAGTCAAAGAACGAAGAAGGGAGGTGAGAGAGGCGGATAAGGTGGAAGGTTCGGGGAAACGCGAGTCGGAAATGGACAGTTTCACTGTCGTTGTCAGGATCGGGGAGGTATACAAACAGAGGCATGTGCTTATTTCGCAAATTATAGTCGTTTGAGTCGCAGTCTCTGATGAGGGTGGAGAGAGCGCTCTCGCTGATGTGATGCAGGACCAACTTTCGAAAGCGAGGGCCCATGTGTGAGGTCATGTCCGAATAAGCATATTCAGCGTTTTTCAGCTGAAGCTGGGCGTTGATCTGCTGAAACAGACTGTGTAATGGGACTGCCTCGTCTAGTCTGATCTCCTTACTCTTGGCTCTTGCAAAGAGAGGCGTCGGATGATGCTGACAGAGATAGCTTGCTCCCGCCTTGCGCTTGCGCCTCTTTTGTCGCTCAACTTGGCTGAGAAAGCAGACCATCATCGCAAAGAGGCGGTAGCTCGGGAATCTGATGGTACGCGATTGCGTGATGGGAAACAGCCATCTGATGTCTTGCTGCTTCTTGACAGATTCGTGAAAGCGCGAGACCAGCTGCTCGTCAAAGTCGACAGGAGCTGAGAGACGCGCGGTGCCATAGTCGTGAAGGCCCTTCGAGAGACGAAGGTATGTAGCAGGGGCCAGGTGGAAAAGGTGGTCAAGGATGATGTAGTGAACTGGGTGGAGAGGCTCGAGGGTGGTGAGCTCTATACGCGACGAGGAATCGCGAGGATGCCGGGATCGACGGGGTCGATGAGTGGGCTTGGAGGGGCGTGGTAGCGCCATGTCGAGTCTCGTAGTAGGCGGTCTGGGCTGTGAGAGCGTTGGAAAATTGAGAGAAAAGAGAAAAGAGGGATGTAGATGACAATTTGGATTGTACAACACACGTCAACCGGGGGACGGAGCGCAGGCACAAATCACCCAACGCGACGCGTCGACGCGTCACATCCCTGTCCGTAAGTTGAACTATGAAAGTCGCATAAGTGACCTGTATGAGCATGTACTCTTCGAGATGGTTGCGATCATTTCATCATATCTGTAAAAGAGGCGTTGGATACTAGTCTGCATACGTACTGTGTATTCTTAATCTTGAAGGGATCTATCACTCTAGTCTGTCAAGGTTGTGCAAACCTCTTTCAGTCCTCATCTGTGTTGCTGGCCGTACTATCGGCAGGAACTCACACAGCTAAACAGCGTTACTAACTCTCTGCGTCCTACGGTCGGCCTCCGCGAGAAACTCCAATGCTTGGCAAAAAGCCTTTTTTGCCAGGCCTTTGAATATCTCGAAGCTGACCTCGCATACTCTCACACCCTTCACCCGAAGCACAGCGCAAGCACCCAGCGTCTGCAATTTCTCCTCTATCTCTTCCTTACTGGCTTTCTTCTCATCCCAAGAAAGATTTTCCTCTTCCTCAATTCCTCAATGTCAGGGAAGTCGTACTCCAGCCACTCAACCTTCCATAGTCCTACTCCACTGCCGGCCGGTCGAGCATCATCATGAGCGTCATTCGGTCCAGAATCCCTGCCAGATCTACCTCCTTCGCTGAACCCTTCCTTAAACCGGCGACACGCTCTGTTTCGACAAGAGGAGTAGTAGGCAGATATCATCACAAACGAGACGGCCCGACTTATGTACTTGTATCTATGATCTAGCAGCTCTCTGGCATCTAAACACTATACATACATTCAGCGGAGTGCAGAGACCAGTCAAGTCAATCGTTTGCGCCCCTTAAATCACAGCGGCCGTTTGCCTTTGCAAGGCGCAGTCGGGGCGCGTCGGTCCCTCCCCCTCTATATCTATACGAGTACAGTTTAAGTCACCAATTGATTTTCGACCCACCCTAAAGCTGCCTTACAATCCTTGCAAGCATCCCCACCGAACGGCGCCTTTCATTCTACATGCATCCTCCACGTTCGTTTTCCCACAAATCGAGGCCAACTCTGTCACTTGGTTGGCTCTCTCCTCCCCCCCGGAGATGACACACCCTTCGTTTTCCTTCAGTTTGACCTTTCTAACGATTGAGAGGGCGACAAGATTCGCCAACGATCTCAGACGGGAGGTGATTTCTCCCTCAATATCAACACCGTCTCCACCCTATCCCGTATGTTGAACAGGGAGAACCTTTGGGTACAGGCTTTCCTGGGTACCCTTACTTGCCTAGAGAATACGACACGACTCCTAGCTTTCTTATCAAAGTGGTGGAACCCTTGGTGAGGGACGTTCGTCGGTACAATCGACTTTGGGCATCTGAGGTTGACGTCATCATCCCCACAGGCCAAGGCTCAGTTGATAAGCGCGATATCATCCAAGGGGCGACTGGCTCTATCCCTCGTGTTTCGGATGCGCATGGTGCCTACCTCCCAATGTACTATGTCTAATCTTTGCCAATGGGCAATTCGGTTGGTCCGATGGTATGCCCTACGGCCCTCTTCACAACTGTCTGAACTCTCTTCGACCCCTCAGTGAGCTGCTTTTCTCTATCGTTACCCATGTCTTTCTTTTGCTTACTATCTTTTCAGCACCTCGATAAGAGAAAGATAGCATGTTTCCCAGGGAATGGCACTCCTTCCACCTACACGTCCGCGCTGACCACTACCCAACTCTTCACCGCTCTGCTCGCCTGGTCTTCTTCTCCAAACATGGGCTGTGGATGCAGGAAGCTGTGATCGAGAACCGAGCCCTGAACTATCTGCGTAATCATCGAACTGAGATTCGTGGTGAAGCTCGGGAGGCTCTGCAAAGGGGATTGAAGGACGGTCTGGCACCTAACAGCATTCCGCGTTTCCAAAAAAAAAAAAAGTTACCGAATTGTTAAGCTATGTTAGAGAATTGTTACACACCTCCACCTTGCCTCCACTTTCTTTTGTCCACCCCAGCCACTCTAGTGGAGACGGCCGGATGGCAATGGCGTAATATGATGTATATATGTATAGTCGATATTTTTGCTGATTTATGGACTGATAATCCAATAGTCCGCGCGGCTCAAAAAGCAGCGCGATAAATGCTAGTCTCTTTTCAGTCTCTTTCTATTCTCTTCATCTGCACCTGTATATCCAGTCAAACGAAATGCCCGCCAATGTTGCCCTCCTCGGCTCTGGTGTCTTTGCCCAAGAGTCGTACCTGCCCGCCCTCATCAACCTCTCCAAGTCGAATACCCTCAATCTCCACACCATCTGGTCCAGGTCAGAGTCGTCCGCCCAGACTCTTCACTCCAAGTACACCCCGCCCCAGGGGTCGTCCGCTCCTACGCTCCGGTATGGGGATGACGGTCTCGCTGCCGTACTTGCCGATGCCGAGATTGACGCGGTGCTGTTCGTCTTGCCGATCACAAAGCAGCCGGACCTCGTCAGGAGGGCTTGGAAGGCCGGCAAACATGTATTGAGCGAGAAACCCCTGGGCAGGGACGTCAGGGAAGCTAAGGAGCTTGTGGAAGAGTATGAAAAGGTTTATAAACCAAAGGATCTGATTTGGCGGGTTGCCGAGAGTAAGTCACATTGTACATTGTGATCTCTGTTAATGAGATGCAGACTATGCCCACGAGCCTGTCCTTCGCTGGGCTGCAGACCTATTGAAGAGCACCCCAGAGGCCGGCCCGATCCTGTACTGGGATCTCAAGTTTATCGCTTTTGTTGAGGATGGTAGCAAATACCACGCTACCAGCTGGCGCACTATCCCCGACTATCAAGGTGGCAAGTTTTCTTGACATCCCTCGCCGATTGTGTATGCTAAACCGGGATTGCAGGATTCTTGCTCGATGGTGGCATCCACTGGGCCGCCTTCCTCCGTACCGTCCTCCCGCCCGCCGCCCGCCCTGCCTCCGTAGTAGCCTTCTCTTCCCTCCACCGCGCCTTCCTCCTCCCCCACGACACCATCCAAGCCATCGCCCTCCCCGCTCCTTCTTCCACCATTCCCCCCAACGGCCCCAAGACCAAGCTTTCGTCGGCCAACATCACTGAATCCGAAGTCCCTACCCAGCCTGGGCAATCGATTCCTAGGGGTCAAGTCACCATGTCGCTCGCCAAGCCCGACCTTCCTTCTTCCGCTCAGACCCCCAACGGTCTTTATATCACCCTCCTGAATGGCTTCTTGTCTATTGAGTCGAGCCCCACTCTAGAGTCTTCAGAGTGGGTTGCAAAGTTCGCCCCTGCTCAGGGTAGCGGGCTGGAGGCAAAGGAGAAGACGAGTCAGATGGAAGGGGTGGAGGTGGAGATCGGCATGTTTGCCAACGCTGTGGCAGCGCAGAAGGAAGGGAAGGAGAATGGGGAACAGAACTTTGGCGAGCCGAGGGGTGCGCTTTGGGATTTGGGAATGTTGGAGGCTATGCTCAATAGCAATGGTGCCGAGACCAAGATCGAACAGTAGAATACTTTCGAAGGAAAAGAATGAATGAACCTCGTCAGAAGCACTTCAGATGTTGCATCGGGCCTCTAGGACTCTAGCTTCGACATCGGATATTTTGGGGGGCATTATGTGGAAACGGTGAGAAATTGGCATAAAACAAAAAGATATATGAAAAAGTGTCCTGGTGGTGTCAAACGAGAAAATCCTTGAGTATAGTAGGAAGGATAGACAGTGTGGTGGATATAGGCTGGCCGGAAATAGTTGTCCGAAGGGACACCAGGATGGTGGCTTCGACCTTCTTTGAGACTTTGAAATTAGGGGACTTGAGCCGCTTCTTAGCCCAGCGAACTTCGCCGAGCCGACTCGTCAAGCACCCACAGCTGTACCTTATACCTGGACAAACCAATCATCAGAGGTTTGTCCAACAAGAAAACCACTTGGGAGAACTGCTCGCCCAGATGTTGGCTGAGATCGGTATCTTGCACGTCTTGATACATCCGATCAATTTCGATCGCAGGCATGCCCTCTGCTTAGATCGTGAAACGTCTCCAAGGAGAGCTGCATGCGTCTGGCGTGCTCGGAAAGCCGAGCCGGGTGGAAGGGATGAGCGACCCAGGCTTCATCAACTCCTTATGATCGGACGGACCTTCTTCTGCTGCCGCTCTCAACGATAGAGGTGTCGTTGGAAAAGAGACCGAAGGTTTTCAGCGAGCCGAATTCAATTGTACGAGAAAAGATGACGGGAATCAGGAATGTGAGGTTGATGGTGAGACTGGGGAAGACGTGAGGGATCAGCATAATGGGTTGGGTGGACTTGTGGTGCTCATGGTTGTACTTGCTGGTGCCGCGCTCGACGTGATGCTTGAGGGGTACCAAATGCCCCAACCGACAGCCCCGCAGAGCTGTAGAAAGAAAGAAGAGGAAAGAGAGATGAATGATAAGTTGTTTTGTTGATTTGATCGCAAACCATTGTTGTTGTTGTGTGTGTGGCAGATGTTGTGGTGGCGGACGGTGCAGAAAGAGGTGAGTGTGCCGCTCTAATAAGAACTGCGAGAGTGCTTTACTCTCGTATACGTCCATGGTCCCAAAGCATCCCCTCGTCATAGCCGTTATACGCTATCATCCCAGACAAATCTTGGGGCAAGCTAGAGTCCGCCAGTGTCGTTACACCTCGGGAATCAGATAGTGCGGGACTGAGTGACGGAGAAGAGCCATTTAACATCTTGCCTTTTCCTGACTGATTTGTGAGAGTGGGAGACCAGCTGGTCGTCAAAGTCGACAGGAGCTGACAGGCGCGCAGTGCCGTAGGTGCAGAGACCTTTTGAGAGACGGATGTAGGTGGCAGGGACCATTTGGAGAAGGTGGTCTAGGATGATGTAGTGAACAGGGTGGAGAGGATCGAGGGGGGTAAGCTCTATACGCGACGAGGAATCGCGGGGATGTCGGGATCGACGGGCTCGATGAGTGGGCTTGGAGGGGCGTGGTGGCGCCATGTCGAGTCTCGCAGTAGGCGGACTGAGGTGATCGCTTTGGTATATTGTAGTTGAGATGAAAGAGAAAAGAGAACAAGATGACCGTTCGAGAATACAACAACGTCAACCGGAGGACCGAGCGCAGGCACAAATCACCCAACGCGTTACGCGACGCGCGTTTCTCCATCGCTGTTGTGTTTGGCTCTCCTCTTGATGATGGCCATCTATCTAGAACCCCCGATACTGACGATAGAGCAGAATGACCCAAGAACAGCTGGAAAGCCTCCCTTCCATACCTCTCGACTCCTTGATATGTGTCACTCAACAGAGCCATATTACTGTAGAGCTGTCTGACGTCGTCACAATCCCAGATCTTCAAGAAGGCTGTCATCATACCATACTGCATGCACTCGGAAAGCCATATACAGTAGAGAAACACCAGGGTGAAAGGACGTGAAGAGTAATATACATGCAACATACCTAAGCTTTGCCTGATCACTGGTCACGATGTTTAGCTACTGGAGAGGAAAGCGAAACACAGCAAGACTTACCAGTACGACTGCCCCTTCGACCCAGGCCTCAAAGCCCTCTTTTCCTTTCAATCCTCAATCCTTGAAGCAAAACATGTCCTTCAGCCTGGCAAGCCTGCGCGCAGACACCCGCGGGCTGACCGCTTCCCATACCTCATCGCCAACCCCCTCTCCCACCTGCAATGTGACCTGTACCCCTGGCCCATGATCAGGATGACCAGGGGTGCCCGCGACAAGTTGAACGATAGCCCCAATAGCAACCCGACGAAGATCGCCGCTGGTAGGGATATCGATGCTGATGACATCGTCGACAGTATGCGAGGCGTCGCAAGCAGATTCAAGAAGCTGGAGGAGGAGGATAGGAGAGAGGGAGGAAGGATTTGGGAAATTGATATCGGAGATGGCGAGTAGAAATGTTACCTTGTAGGTATGAAAAACGTACTTCATGCAGACGTGGGTGTCAAAGCAGTGAAAGCCCGTGAAGCCGTCTCCGATTTTGTCGTCGTTGTTGGCACGGAGAAGATTGTCTGACAAGCAGATGGCCAAGTCTTGCCAGTCTGAGCCCAAGTGCAAGCCGATGTCATTGATGCCGCTGACAGAGTTTGATGGGTCGAGTTCGGCGCTGATCTGCTGATACAACAAAGAGAGAGAAGCGTTTTCGTCGATAGTGATCTCGATGCAGGTGGCTCGCGCAAAGAGGGAAGTTGGAAAATCTCGACAGGGATACCTCGCTTCAGCAGGTTGACGCTGGCCCCATCTTTGTCGTTCCGCCTGACCGAGAAGGCAGGCTGTCATTGCGAACAGGCGGTAGGTTGGGAAACGAACGGTATGAGACCAAGTGACGCGGTAGAGCCATCTGACGTCCTGGCGCCCCTGGATCGTATCGTAAAGGCGAGAGAGAAGCGGACCGTCAAAGTCGATCGGAGCTGACAGGCGGGCTTTACCGTCTTCCCGTATTGTCCGGGAGAGAGAGAGGTAGGTCCAAGGAGCTATCTCGAGGAGGCAGTCCAAGATGTCATCATGTACTGCTTGGAGAGGCAAGAGAGTGGTGAGACTGGCCGATGTAGGAGGAGGATGAGATGGTTGTGTTTGGTGGAGATGCGCGAGGTGGATGGCGGAGGAGGGGGTGGGGAGTGCCATGCTGATGCTGTCTTGTGTGAATGGTCGGAGATCGTCGACAGAGGGAAAACTGTCACACGTATTACAGTAATGCCCTGAAGTGGCATGGGCGCTGAGTTGTGTGGATGGTTGGAAGACGCGCGGTGTGCATACTCAAATTATATCTCTCTATCTACTCTTTCTCTATGCGATATCACCCAGAAGGTCTTTTCCCCTCCAAAAGCACCTTTTCCAGTCACCTCCCTGCTGCGTCCCAGCTAGGTCGTGACAAAAACACGCACACACGCAAGACGCCACACTTTCCCGCCAAGCTGTAGAGCTGTGTGGCACTGTCCATGCGCGGGCAGGAGTGTGCGACATATATCTTGCGTTGCATGGGCAAATGCGATCATCGTGCAAGACAAGGCGCTCAGACGGGGTGCGCGCGTGCAACGGCGAGATATCCATGAAGGGCTGAAATATGAAGGGAGGTCTGATTAGCACTACGAGAGTACTTTACTCTAGAGTACTCGAGTATACGTCCATGGTCCCAAAGCAACCCCTCGTCACAGCCGTTATAGGCCATCATTCCAGACAATCAATGTTGGGGGCAAGATAGAGTTCGCCAGTTGTCGTTACACAAATCCATAATCTCATCAAACCAAAACCAAAAGTTCAACATGATGTCCATAAGCCGGAGACTGTGTCGCGTTATGCACATGCGTACCAGAAAGGGGGGTCGTAAGATTATCGTATAAAACATGAATGCTGGGAGGAAAGCTGTAGACAGACAGAAAACCGAAACAGAAACAGAACAAAAGGTCCGTGAAGAAGAAGAACAGTCCAGCCTCGTCTCCCACGCCAAACCCGACCTAAGACGTTCCACGCGTCACTCTTATCCTCCCCCTCACCTCGATCTACCCGAGCTTCCTCGTACCACTTCGCTTCGATGAACCTCCATTACGTCCACCCTTCTTCACCCTCGACAGCCCCAACCCGAAAAAGACACCGCAAGAAAAGCCCCAAGGTCTATCTATCGCCGGAGGATACCCCAAGCCGAGAGGAGCGTGATGAGCAGTGTGCAGAGCATCGCGAGATGCGCTGGCTGGGTGAGTGTATGGAATGCGTTCGAGTATTCCCATCCGTCTATACGATATACAAGGGTCAGCGCCATCCCGCCCAGTCCCGATCGGCCAATCGGAAGAATAAGAAGGAAGAAGGAAGAAGGAAGAAGAGAGAGAGAGAGAGAGAGAGAGAGAGAGAGGGAGGGAGAGAGAGAGGGGTAGCTTACTTCGGTCGTTTACCCCCAAACAGCTGGATATCCGTCCCAAAAAAGTAGACAGGAAGAAGGAAGAAGGAAGAAGGAAGAAGGAAGAAGGAAGAAAGAAGCGACAAAACTCACCAGCAATACTCGTATACCCCGCGGGCCTATACATCATAAAATCCGTCCCCGAATACGGACTCATATACCCCGCCGTCTCGCCCGCGTCCTCCCCCCGCTCATCCCAGATCTTGAGCACATACGTCGCCTCCGCAAACGCCACCTGCGTCGGGTTCTGCTCCCATTGCCACGGGTTCCACTCGATCTGGGTGGTGTTGCCCGGGTAGACGTTGTAGGGGGAGGTGGTGGGGCCGACGGAGTAGGTGTAGCCGTTGGCGGAGCAGGAGGCGATGACTGTGAGGGAGGTGGGTGTGACGCTGGGCAGGGAGTTAGCTCGTATTGAAGAGGGGGAGGGGAGGGGGAGGGGGAGGGGGAGAGGGGACGTACTAGAGACTAGTAAAGTTCCAGCCAAAAGTGACCCAGCTATCCTCGGCGATCTTGTAGTAACTCGCGCTTGCAGAGCTCGGGGGCTGGGTCACGGTGACACCGCCGTTGGCCGCTGTCTGGGGGATGGAGACGGACGAGGTCGCGGCGGTGGAGGCAGAGTTGGAGGCGCTGCCAGAGCCAGAGGCGGTCTTGCTGTGAGAGGCAGAGTTGGTGTTTGAAGCCGAAGCAGTGGTCGAGGAGGACATGATGGGGGGTGTCGGTGTGTCGTCGGGGGGTGTCGTGCTCTTCTACGTGCCGTATCTTGAGTCTATACCCTCTTGAAGAACTTGTGTGTTGATGAAGTGATAGATGGAGATGAGATTGAGTAGACAAAGGGATCTGAAAAACAGAGAGGGGGTGGGTGGGAACTAGGAGCGGAGGGGCAGGAGGGGGCGTGCACAGCCCTGGATGCCGCACATGGCCCTGCCTTTTGTCCAACGGAGTCCAACGGGGCTTGCTGGGTCGCTCGTTCGGGTGGCTATGCATGTCAGTGGGACAAGGAGAGAGGGCGACCTGGGGGCAGCATGCAGGGGAAGAGGGGGATGAAGAGGGGCAAGAAGAGAGAGATCTCAGGTCTCCGACGCGTCGCTCCGAGCTCGAGGTTCCTGCCGCTTTGTCACGATCTCATCTTGCGCTTTACTGGCCATGTACTCGTACAGTACATACTGATTGCATGCACACTCTAATACAACTGCAATTGTGATGACCCACCTTCAAACCCCTCCATCATCACAGCCTCAATCTCCGTCACTACATACTACCCGGGCCGATGGTTAATAACGCTGTTATCAAGGCTGTTATTAAGAGTCATCCTCCGTCAAAATCGCTCCGACGGCTCATCATATCTCTCTACGTTGATCCCAACATAACCGACCCCCCCTGTTCGGTTCGACGAGGCTATCGGCGTCACTTGGGCCTCCGTCGTCCACGGCGGCAAACCCTAATCTGCCATCCGTGTGTACCCCGCGGAAGCGGAAGTGGAGAGGTTCACGTCTTGGGCGACAACCTGATAGTGTGTCACCCCTTTTCCTCTCGTATGATGTTCTGAAGCTGACACTTCTGGCTAGCCGACGCGTACTACGGTATAGTTCCTGTCCATCGTCCCCAGCAGCATAATGTGCCATACGTTCCGCACATTGTGCTCTATGCGGTACACTGCGAAACTGGGGCAAGCTCTTGGCCAAGATACGTCAGCTCATTGTCAAGCTAAGGTGAGTTTGGCGGATCTCTTCATGACAAACCACCGCTGACATGGTCGTTACTGTCCTTCCGTCAGCTTTTCCAACATGTCTTCGGCCAGGGTACCTGCCCCCGCCGCCAATTGGGTCGTCGGGCACATCAACTCGACGCTCGCACCCCGTCTCACGGCACCCCGCCGCCCTGAGCGACGTCCCCCTACCCCACCCGTCCCCTCTCCTCGGCCTCCAACTCCGGATGTACCGATGCGCTCCCCCTCTCCGCGTTATGGTTCGTCCCGCTCGCGCTCACCGACGCTCACCCACGCGCTCTCCGACCCCGCCCCCCCGTCGACGTGCCCGTCGCGACTCGCCCCGTCGTGTCCGTTATGACTCGCAATCACATTCTCGATCCCCATCGCGCCAACCCTACAGGACCCACACCCTTCTCGACCCCGGTCACACTCGATATCGACCTTCTTCTCAACGCCGGGAGCAGGACCCCAACCATGAGTCGGACTTTTTCAATCAATTGAAGTTGAGATGCCACCAACAGCTGGACGAGTACTTGCGAGGTTCCCAAGGAAGGCGGGTGGCTAAGGGTATGTATGTTTTGGGCCTGGCATCAAGAGGCATGGACGAAGACTGCCACCGATAGGCAGGAGTAGAGCCAGAAGCCTTCGGTTCGGACAGTCGCAACGGGACCCCGTCTACTGCGCACAGTGCTTCGATTCGAGACATCTCGTTCTTCACTACTGAGAAAAAGGAATCAACCCGTACCTCTACCAAGGACTGGGCAACGGATCTCGCCAGAGATGGTAGGTCTGCCGAACTCATCCTGATCGAGTTCCTGTCCCAGTGGAAGGCCCCGACACCGGTGTAAGTGGACCTCTCATATGAGTTTGTTTAGCTATTGTCGCTGATGCTGACGGTGACCTCAGAGTATGGTCGGCGGCACGCCAGGCCTCGGTTACCACACTCTCGACCCGTCGAGCGACAGCGTGCAATTCGTCGATGTGACGGGCTTGACGACCGAGATTTCAACGTGAGTCACTGTTTATGTTCTCTCGTGAACTGCGCACTAATCAATATGCCGTATCTCCTCGCCTGCAGTCGGTTCCCCCGTCATTTCCCCTCCGCCAAGTATACAATGTCCGTCACCCCCATCGACGAGCCGACCTTGGGCCGATACCTCCGGGCCTACAAGGCCCACAACCTCGCCTTGGCGGGGAAGTTGGAGGACCTCAAGCCAGGCATTGAGGTTAACGAGAGCGGAATAGGGTATACCCAGGACCGCATCGAGTTGCGGTCCAAGACCTTCTGCTTCAAGGGCGCGGAGAAACGGGTGGGTTGTCTTTACAGTATAAGATTGGTAGCCTCGGTGCACATCGCTGACATCTTTGACAGATCTCTGGCGTGTCTCTGACCAACCCCGAAGATGAGCATCCGGTCATTGCGACCTTCCTCGGCCAAAAGGACGGCAGCCGCTTCCGACGTCGCCCTTGGCCCAAGGCCTTCATGCGTACGCCATCTGGTGGTGCGCTTCCTGTATCTTTTCATTCCCTCGGCGCGTTGCCCGACACTGCGATCCTGATATGCGGCTTTGCATTGGAAGTGCGTATTCCCTGTTCCTCAACTCATGGATTTCAAGTAAACTAACGGTTTATCTCTAGGGGTACGTGATGTCTGGTGACTCGAAGGCTGGTATCGAGTGGGTGACGGAGATAGTCATCATTGAGGGACTTGTGAGTTTACCGCACCGTAAGGTTACCACCGACTGACAACATGTTTACAGCTGGAGGAGAAGGTTTCCGTCGGCACAGGCCCGAAGACCCCTTCGAAAAGGAAGGCGGACGTCGATATGGACGTCTTGCTCGGGCTGACTTCTGGCAAGAAGGGTGAGTTTGACATGTTTCCAGGAGGCAATGAGGGTGAAGCTGATTTAACAAACGACGTAGCCGCTGCTGTTGCTGTGGATTCCGCCCCCAACACTCCGACCAAGTCCTCAGCTGTTGCGGCTGCCACTGCCCTGGTTGCTGGGTGCTGGTTCTCAGACCTGTAAGTCGCCTCCATATCTCCATGGACGATAGCTGATTTTGCTGCATCTTGCCAGGCCATAGACCACTTCACCAGCACCGCAGACAAGGCTCGCGGCGTTCCCAAGGCCGGGCCCAAATGTGGCAAGTGCGATCATAACGATCTAACTGCAGGACTCCCCGCGTCAGGAAGGTCCAGGCTGTGGCATATTCATGCCCCAAACGATCGAGATGGTGATGCGCGGCCGCGATCCAGTGGCAAAGGGCTCTGAGTTTGAAGCTGAGCACATGGAATCCTTCCGGAGCCTCATGCGGTACGAGATTGCGACCGAGGGCTTGCGAGTAGAGATGAGTGGGCTGAAGTTGGTGAGGACTATAGACAGTCAGTAGAGAGGGTTAGTGGGTAGCTATCATGGTTCCATGCGACTATTACTCAAACATGGCATGAAAACATTTTATGGAGTGTTGTATAGACGAGGGAAAGGTCCATGAAATGAACAGAGTGACTGGACAGTGGGCGTAATGTGACAGAGAAAACTCTGGGCTGACTTTGATGAACTCTGGTGGAGCATTGATGGAAAGGGGATACATGCCTACATACCGAAAGCACTACAGGAAGATATTTGATAGAATAATTGCATGGACGACGGAAAGTTCGATCAAATGTACAGTGTGGCTGGTGAAATTCCGCCCGCGTAGCAACAATGCGCGCAATGTGTAGGAGGTCAATCTCGGCGCATCTTGATCAATTTCATAATTCTGGTAATGCAGACTGGATACAAGTAGGCATACCTTCAAGGTTGCTGCAGGATATTTGATGAATTTGATGTATAGACGACGAAAAGCCGGAATGGGTGAATTGAGTGACTGAATAGTGCGCATATTGATGTATTTCTAGGCAAACATCGATCAATTCTGATAAACCAAAGAGCCCGAACGGGTACACCAGGGTATCGCTTGAAGTTGGCCATAAAACATGCGACGGTTTCGATGCATGAACGACGGAAAGCCCGATTCAATGAACACGGTAGTTGGATGACTCCATGGCGGAGGTCGCCGCTTTCTGCCGACGGGGCGCGCTTCAATGATGGTAGGATACGGCAAGTGTTATAACTTGAGCGTCGCATCTCTGATCGCTTCAAAAAAGTACAAGGTGCCTGGGAGGGATATGTAGCATGCATACAAGAAATATGGAGGGGATAGCATTCCATTTTGGAGACTAAACTCCACACGCCATATGGTGGCACAAAATGGGAGGTATGATCACCTTTGGCAGCCATATCTCACCTCCTAATGCATGTAAGCATACCATGTTTGGAATACAGCATCCTACCACACGTATCTACCACCCTGTCTAGTTACAGAGCATATCACGTTGCGGTTGTAAAGTTAGTGAAAACCGCCAATTGGTCTGAAAAAGTTGGGGAAAACCGCGGGAAAGTTACGCCACCTGGACGCGGCCAATATATAGGACGTCACTACGAGGCGGGCTTCCACTTTCTGCAGTATCTTCCCGACGACGTCGTCCGCTCGGTAGCCTTCAATATCGAAGTGAGTAGAACCATATCTCGTCCTGCATGACTTGCCCCGCTGGCCATTTTGCCTTCTCCCGCAGGGCTATCGCATGGACAGAGGTGGCAAGCGTGCGGGTCTGGAGTGACGCCGTCCACCATAATCGTCCACGGCAGGGTATGTTCTCTATTCTTCATGCATCTCCTCCCAATCCGATCCTGACGACGCTGTACCAGGTTTCCGACGGTGACTCTGTTACGTCGCAATCTTAGTCACCAACTGACTCCTCTGTTGACCCCACGCTTCCCCGTCCTCTTCCAACAGCCGCTGGCCTCGCAGCAATCCACTCTCAACATGCCAGCCCACGCTGCTAACAAGTCGAAGGGCAAAGCAACCACCCGGCGCCGCTCCTATGACACCAGCCAAGGCGCCTCGCCCGCCCCCAAGCGGGCCCGTACTGCCAACTGGAGCAAGGATCTTGGCACAGATGGGAACTCTGCCGAGTACCATCTTGTGCAGTGGCTCATCATGCGCAGTGGGGCTTCCATGAGAAGTAATTGGGACAGCTGCGAAGTACTCCCTGACGCAGAAATTCAATTGTGTGGACGAGCTGATTGCCCTGAATGATCTTCGAGACGCTGAAGACCCCACCATCTTATACCAGCAGTGGCAGGATCACCCAGAGGACTCGGGGCGCATACAAAGTATCAAAGTCCTTCAAAGATACGTTAAGGGAGGACTGTCTCACTGTGCGTACTGTACTGTCTATTGCAGAATCACATCATTGACGGGCATCTCTTAGCGCCCCCTACATCCCCAAACGCTGCCACCTCTCGAAGTCACCCAGATCATTCACCTGAACGAATCCCTCCTCTCACCACGCTGGAAGATACTTTCAAAAATGCTGTGTGGACGCCGACGCTCGTCAGCTCGTTCTCCTGCCCTTTTGTAAGACATACTCCGCCTCCAGCTTCGGATGCCCAGGTATGTCTTCTCTCGCTCTTACATACCAACAACGTACTGACAAGTCACTGCCATCATAGGAGTCTGCCGTGGACATTTACTCTGGCGTCTCGAGTGATGGGAAGACACTGATAACTGACTGGATTGATTTCATGGAGTGCAAGTACGTCTTTTTGTTTGATCATGACTGTTGATGCAAGTATTGACAGGGGGGCACAGGAACCGGGACAAGCCCAAAAGCCAATCAGATCATGTTCATTCTCTCCGATGTACCATCAGTCGACCAGGCAGATAAGACTGACCTGGAGAGGCGTTATGTCCTCATGATGGAATACTACCAGGAGATGACTGACACGCAGCGCGAGGTTATCTGCAACTTCTATAGATCGTACGTGCATCCCATGACTTGAATATCTATCAACTGTATCATGGCTGACACCCATTTACTCATCAGACGCGTGATCCCGGATAGCTCCGCCCAGCGACAAAAGTCTCAAAAGACCCTTTGGAAGAGCGCGGAGGAGAGGTTCAGATCCAATCACGCCGGCGTCTTGGGGGAGTAATGAGATGATGTCGGTGAGTTATCTTTAGTTGGATGATATGTCGGATCTTCACTCATACATGTTCTCCAGTATCTGGCTCTGACTCCGATAATGAAGTTGAAATCCTTGGCTCCAGCTGGAGTCGCTTCAAAGGAGATAGGCGGAAACCTATCAAAAACTCTTCTGGAAGGTATCAGTGCCAAGGTCTCTGGTGGGAGTATCCCTGTGGGCCTGTAGCAACCACATTCCCATGGGGCCGGATTAGCCCCAAAGAAGCATCTGCAGTGCTTCCTTTTCGAGCGGATCAGATCATCGTACGCCTCCAACCAATTGCTCTCTTCATGTATCGCTGCTGACTCTTGGATCAGGTTCCGAAAAATGCATTGGTCATCTTTGATCGAGACTGCCAAAAGGACTTTCAGCTTGGTTCCAATTCCTAGCCCTACGACCTCCCTCACAACACGTTCCACCTGTCACTCACTTTACCTCGACACGGCAATGCAAAGGCTCCAAGGCATGGCAAAGGCTGCCAAGCGTAGATGCGGGCTCGCCGATTTTGTTTGTGATGAAGAAAGATGGATCGTTACGACTGTGTGTCGATTATCGCCGTTTGAACGAAATCACCATCAAAAACCGATACCCCATCCCTCCCCTTCTTGATCTTCTAGATCGTCTAGGTGCTGCCCGCATCTATTCCAAGATTGATCTCCGCGGTGCTTACAACCTCCTCCGGGTTGCTCCTGGAGATGAGTGGAAGACCGCTTTTCCTACTCGTTACGGTTTATTCGAATATCGAGTCATGCCATTTGGCTTGACCAGCGCCCCTGCTTCTTTCCAACACTTCATGAACCACATCTTCCGTCAAGCTCTTGACGTCTTTGTCATCATCTATCTTGACGATATCCTCGTCACCTTTATCCATCCTACCGCCATCCGCCTATCCCAGGTCGGCATCTAGCGCCCATAGCTAGATCCACCGCGTAACCGCCCCTAGGTCACGCCCTCCTATCCGAACTCCTACGGAAGTGACCAACAGTCAGCTTGCTGAGCGTCTCTGAAAAGCCATCGCAGATCTAAGTGATGTCAATCTCCGGAGCTTGAACATGATCAGGAAAGTTGCTCGCCTTTCCAAGTCTGTCACACATTACAAACGACTGGTGCATGCAATAGCATCGACCGACTACCCCCGTGCCAATTCTATCATCTCCACTGCTCTCTGACAAGGCCACTCTTTTCGACAAATCACCCACATCCTGATGCTGGCTACTAATGGTGCTCGAAAAAGCAACAGTGCTTCGACGAAGAGAGGGATATCGGAATACGAATACTCTACTTGCGATTAGGCGGCCCAACAAGCTTGCCAATGCCATGGCATGTGCCCTCGGCCTTCCTACCATTCGGACAATCCGTCGGAAGGATACCCATCCCGAGCTTTGCACACCTGGGGGGGGGGAGATCGGGGAGCGCCGTGCCGCTCGTATGAGCATGGTGAGTGTTGGGTGTTGCGAGTATCGGGGCGTAGCACACTCACTAACGAGGCGACACTCAGGCGATCACCTTCATCATCAGTGTCGTCCTGTACACTGCCAACACCTCCCTGAACGTCTTCCAAATCCTCGCCGGCCTCTTCCTCTCATCGACCTCCACGTCCGAGTCCACTATCGACGCTCCCAATCGTCTGGGCGTCTGTATAACCTACACCTCGATCTGGCGAGCGTGGATGTCCCTCGACGCCGAGGCCGACAGCGTGGCGAAGAAGCTGTTTCAGCTTGGGAAGGATGGCGTCCAGCGTTTGCGTGCTGTCGTCCAGGTGGACAACATCGACATCTGGAAGCGGAAGACCAACGAGACCATCCTGAATGAGTCCAGCCTCATACACATGGCTGCGTCGTATATCAGGGCGATGCCGAGCTATGTGGACAAGGAGGTCTTTACGCCAGAATTCCAGGAGGAGCTGTTAGCTTGTGAGGGCTCTCTGAAGCACGCTCAGTTCAACCAGTTCAAGCCGAACGAGCGTGATCGGAACCGCCTGGACCAAGCTCGGCGCTTGAACATCGCGCAAATCCTCCTGCTCCATCTCCCCTTCTTTGTTGATCACAAGGACAGAGCCACTGTGGTCAAGGTCTACAACCAACAGATCCTCGATCGATTTGCCAAGCTCTTCCTCGCCCATCATATGCCTGACGAGGAGACTCGCGAGACCAAACTGTACCCCCTCCCAGCCCAGCCGTTCGACATGGGCCACACCTCGCACACAGCGAATTTCAAGGCGTGGATCAAGGGGTGAATCTGTACAGAGGGGCTGCAGGGGACGGAACCATGTTTCATCAATGGTGACTGGTTGACTTGGCGTAATATCTTGGGGGCGATCAGGGATAAGGGGAATGACACGGTGGAAAATCGGCATAACAATGTGCATACCAAGAGTAGTGAGTTCGCCTGTTGTCTTCAGCTTTTGATCGCTGGCTGATCCATGATATCCTAGGCATATTCCACTTTCAGATGAATTTCCATCTGAGGTGACTCGAGGCCTAATATGGATAGGTGCGTCACTACACGGCCCTCCCAAGCTTGCCAAATGCCATGGCATGTGCCCTCGGCCTTCCTACCATTCGGACAATCCGTCGGAAGGATACCCATCCCAAGCTCGTCGCAGATGCAACGCCGTCAGATGGAGATAGTCAATCGGGACGACTCTGTTGTCGCAAAGTCTCGGGAGTACGACCTTATCCGCGAGGCCATCAAGGGCAGTATGTTGAACCCGGTCCTCGTAGCCCACGGGGAAGATCCCAGCTTTGGCACAGCCGATCGGCACGGCTATGACGAGTTTGTCTTGTATGCTGAGATGACGGAGGGGAGGTTTTGGGTGGATGCGGTCAAGCAGCGTTATATGGTTATAATCCCGGAATGGTGGTCTAAATTGGTGAGTGTGTGCCATAGATCCCCAAACCAGACTCCCCGCTGACCGTACTGAACAGGCGAGGCGAATATGGTTCACCTTGTACCAAGAGCAACTCACCATGCTTGCTGGGCGTACAGGCACTCAGAGGCCCAGACGTGTGGTCCTCGGGCCACAAGACCACATACAGGACTTTGATCTCAACTTTCGAGAAGCGGGAGCCGTCGGCAGATGTCTTCGAGGTCCTGGTGCGCCCGGGAGACTTGGGCAGAGGACAGGTACAAGCTGTTGCTTGATGAGGGGGATATGGAGGCGGCGGTCAATGTCCTCACCAGCTCGGACTTCGCAGAGAGCGAGCAGGGGGACGGGACGGGGACGATGTTCACAAAGAGGACAGCGATTCCGACGACGAGTGAGGGTGGGTCAAGTGAGGGGACAAGGGCTGGGGGATCGGGTTTGATGGGTCGTGGGGCGGGTTGTGAGGTATTGTGAGGATACGTTCCGGCCTTCCGGGGTGCGAGGGGGTGCGAGGGAATTACGTACGAGAGGCGGTTGGGATGGTCAAGAGGGAAAGGGATGAGCTGTGCAGCGTCGAGGTCGAGGGGCTTGCGATTTGACGCGCCGACGGGAGCTTAGTGCCTCGTGGGACTTTTTAACGGTGGCCAGGTCTGTCCCAGATGATGAGCTGGAGTGGGAGATGAAAGATGTGAAGGCGCTTCCATATGCATAGGAATTGCTCAGAGGATGCAGAGGGAATGATCATGAGCCTTACTTTTATTCTTTTTAAGATATTCATCTCGTTAACACAAAATCAGGGGGTATATAGTCATGACAAGAATCGTAAGGCAACAGCGCCGCATCGCTGTACCGGTCGTACCCGAGCTTGGCGGTGTGCTCTTCCCGGGTAGGGGAGGCGGGGATGAGGGGCGGGGTGGTGCTTGAGAGGAGGGTGCGGAAGGAGGTGAGGGTGGCTTGTTGGTCGGGGGTGCTGTGGCTTGGTTAGCGCTGGACAAGGGGAGGGGGAGGGGCTTACAGGTGGCCTGGGTGGCCTGACTGGGGGTCTGCTGTGGTCTTTCCTCGTCAGCATCGCCCTCCATACATACCCTGGAATACTCACAGCCATGGTGGTTGAGAGACAAGATAGAGATGCATGGCGCATTACACTGTTCCTAATCCCATTTGCTCCCGCTATCCTCGCAATCTGCTCCCGCTAATCCCTTCCACGCATAAACAATCCCTCTCCATCTCTCCCTCTACAACGACCCAGCAACAATGGCAGACTTCCTAGGCAGGCCCTCAGACGGCGACTCCCCCTTCGCCATCGGCAACAGAGCCATGCGCGACCTCTCCTCCCCCCAGCCACCCCAGCAAAAGAACCCCCTCCCGAGGGGGGCGAGTGTACCGGGTGTGGCGCCGGGCCAGGTGTTTAGGGGACCGTCGCCCCATGGCCAGGGGTATGGCCAGCAGCAGCAACAGGGGGGAGGAGGAGGGGGGAGGGGGTACGCGCCGCCGATCCAGACGGGTGGGCCTGGCTTTGGGCATGGGGGACAGGGTATGAGTAGTCCTCGTAACGGCAACTTTCAACAACAACAAGCCTACGGTGCTCAGGGCTATGCTTCTCAGCCGCAGGTCCAGCATCAGCAGCAAGGGTATAACCCCCCGCCGAGGGGGTACACCTCCCCGCCCCCTCAGCAGCAGCAGCAGGGGTATCAAAACCAACAACTACAGCAACAACAACAACAACCCTACAACCCCCGCCCGGCCTACCCAGCCCAACAGCCGCAATCCCAAGCACCTCTCCAAGGCCAGGGGTACCACCCCAACCCGAACCCTCGTTCACCAATCTCCTCCGGCCCCCCGCAGTCTCAGGGTTTCTACGCTCAACAACCCCCTCAGCAACAGCAACAGCAGCAGCAGCAGCAGCAGTATGGCAGTGCGCAGAACCAGCCGACGTACGCCTCGACGAGAGAAAGGCATTCCCACCAAGGGCAGCAAGGCCAATGGTCTCAGGCGCAGGCGCAGGGGCAGCAGGCGACGTCGCCGCCGCCTGTACCGGCTACGTCGGGGGATGATGTCGAGTTGCGTAATATGTACGTCCTCCCCTCCCTCCCCCTCCCCACCCTGGAGTCGGAGTCTTCCAATCGTCCACTTTTTCTTTGGTCAAGAGCTCCACTTTTTCTTTGGTCAAGAGCTGATGATGGCTGTGTGTGGTGGTAGGTTCAACGCGTTCGACTCGACGCGCACCGGCCAACTCAGCGGTGGTGATCTGCAGAGACTGTTGGCGAAGGATGCTACGATGGACGCTAGGGAGGATAGTGTCAAGATGCTTATGAGTGAGTTTGCCCTCTTCCGTCTTTTGTGGCCTTCTGCCTCTGGAGTGCCAAGGGCTGACGTGGTGGTAAAAGATATCTTCGATACGGACCGCAGCGGGTCGATCAATTTCCAAGAGTTTGAGGGGTTGTATCGATATATCCAAGTACGTTTCTCTCTTTCCTCCTCCCTTCCCTCTTTCCTCCCTCCATCGAAGCTACAGACAAAACCAAGAACTGATCCCTCTCACAGGACTGGCACGGCATATTCCGCCGCTTCGACACCGACGCCTCGGGCCTGATCGACCGTGCCGAGCTCCACTCTGCGCTGCTCGGCTTTGGTTTCTCCCTCCCGCCAGAGATGGTCGATAAGATCGAAAAGCGGTTTGGCCCTCCCCCCACCCCTGCCGGTGGAAGAAAGGTGGAGGGCGATGGGATAAGTTTTGATAGGTTTTTGATGGCGTGCGTGACGGTGAAACATTATAGTGAGGGGTTTAGGGCTGTGGATGTTCGGAATGAGGGGAGGGTTAGTATGGATTATAACAAGTTTGTGAGTTTGCTTCCTTGTTCTGGGTTTGAGATGATGGAGATGGAGATGGAGATGATGAGGACGGGTTTCGTTTGGGTGGAAAGGTACTGACGGGATTTGTAGATGGAGATGATCCTCGACGCTCCTAGCTAAACTTTTCCCCGCCGAGTCTCACATCATTCTTCCGTCAAAAAAATCCCAATCATCATTTCCCATCGCATAAACGCATTCACCACAGTCCCATCACATGTCCCGGCCTCTCATTACCCATTTGTCTTTTCGATATACCCAATTATACCCTTTCCCGTCCTCCTTTGCAGTACGAGCACATCGTACGGAAAAGTACGACGGGGATGCCTTATACCCCTGTTTTTCAATTACTTATATTTGATACCCTATATGCCTTATCTTGTTATGGCGATTTTGATTACCCTATTTGTCATCTGTGTTTCTTGGAGAGGAGATCGGAGAGGAAGGGGAGGAGGAGTGTCGCTTTTTTGGGGATGCAAACCATGTTCTCGACACATATTGTTTTTTTTGTACACGCTCGCCCAGCAAAGTCACGTAAATGGCAGAGCATGACAAGCAAACACAAGCTATGGAAGCATCACGAGTTTCAAGATGCAGAGGGTACCATGCATGACTGATGACTATCTGCTAATAACCACCCCTTCGAGGCAAGCCTTGAATCTCCCAGGCGCCAACGACTATCTTCTGTATGTCTGTATCTCTCGCGTGAACTCGTAACTCGTTAATAATTAAAATCGCAACATGGTAGTATTCAGATCCTGACTGCGCCGAAATGAGCAATGTCCGTTAGACGTTACGAAGGGGAGAAACTTACTCGCATATCCGGATATCCCTCGATCGCAACTCTCACACCCTCGCGATAGCTCGTTTCATCAAAAAACATGCAATTCCTATCACATCGTCAGCATGAAGCAATAAGGGAAGTGAGGGAAGAAAGAGACTCACTCAGAATTGCACAACCTCCATCCTCTCATCCAACTCGCCCAACGCCCTCTCTTGTCCTATCCCCCTGTCCAAAGGTCTCGAATGCGTCGAATGCGCCGGATGCGCCGGTTCTTGAAGCGCAAGCGCAATCTCCCGCTCAACATCCATCTCACCCATGAACCCTCCATCAAAACTCCTCGACAGTCCTTCTCCTCTCGACATCCTTACCCCACCCGCCCCGTCCGACCCGCCCGGCCCGTCTTTGGGTCCAGATCCGATACTGATCGTGATAGCTCTCTCCCTCCCATGCCCCGACGCGTGGGGCTGCATGTCGTTGAAATGCGGGTGGACGGTGGAAGTCGACGAGGGGGAGAGGATGGACGTCGTCCCTGGCCCTGTCCCTATCCCTGTATACGTGGATGATGAAGAGGCAGGGATGGGTGAACGTTGGGCAAAGTCGGATGCGCTGCGGAGGATACCACCGCTCGGTAACGGCAAGCTCGCTTTGCGCGGGGGTGCTGTGGATGTGGAGATGGTGGTGGTGGAGAGGCGTGGGACGGCGGGGGCGGTGGTGGAAGGAGGTAATGAAGGTCGTTTGTTGTTGACTATACCCAAACCCGTGGACGTACTCGAACCCACGCCCATTGCCGTACCCGAAACAGACCCCGAACCTCTTCTCGACGCCGCCGCCCCAGACGCAAAAGGCAAAGCAAAAGAAGACGGAGGAGGCGAAGGAAACTGCTCCCTCCTCGTCTCGATGACACTCGCCGATTGCGGTTCTTTTCGACAAGGATAAAACGCCGAGTCGTCGGATTTCCAGCCTTTCGTCTGGATCTGCGGTTGGGGCAGTCGTATTTTCGAGGGCGAGCCACCGGGGTAAGGAGCAGCGGACATGGGCGCGGCATTGCTGCCTCTTCGCCTACAGAGTTCGGCGGCAGAGGGTGATCTAGCAGCGGGCGGCGCTTTTTGCAGGCCGCCGCCTTCTCTTGTTGCGGCTGTGGTGGACGAAGGAGGGGGAGGTGATCGATGTCTCGTACACCGCGCGGTGGATGGTTTGTCGGTGACGATCGATATTGAACGCTTCTTTCTCCCCGCAAACGGAGCAGAAACGTCGGCATTGTCGCAGTCGTCCGTACTCGGCGGACAAGGGGGCAAAGTGCGACCGCGTCGGCGGGGGGTAGAGTTGCCTTGAAAAGTAGATTGTGATGAAGTATGCGCGTGACCCGAGCTGGATGCTGTCGGCTGGGCAAAAGGCGTGGGGCGATTGGAAAACTTGGGAAAGAGGGTAAAGGTATTCGTGCTGGGATCTTCTTCGTCGGAGGTGAAGCCGTCTTCTTCGTCTTCGACGTACCCTTCGTCAGAGTCGGATTCGTGCCCCGGGATGGCTATCGGTGACTCGACAAACTCTTCCTCTTCCTCATCTTCATCCTCCTCCTCGTCTTCGTCCTGATCGTCGTCTTCATCGTACTCGTCGTCAAAGGCGGAGCCCAAAACGCGAGGAGGCGCAGGGGACCGTCCGCCATACGCCTGGCCGCCGGAAGAAAGACCCGAAAAAGAGGTCGATGTCGAGCGTGATCTAGAGCGCGGTGATGATGGGGCATAGGGGCTTTTCGAAGTCGGCGAGGGAGGGAGATACGGCTTGACGGCGAATTTGAGCACCGACGGTCTTTTTTTCACCACCCTCCCCGCGCCCTCGTGCCCTTCTTCCAACACTTTCGGCGGCACACTCAGATCAAACCCCTGGAAAAAGTCTCGCGCGCCCTCCTCGCCGCTCGTGGAGAAGGTATCTCGTCGCAAGATGGGTTTAGTGGGTTTTTCCGAGGCGCTGAAAACGCCGCCGGTCGTAGAAGGCGTAATGGGCGTAGGCCAGCCGGATGTCGATGCCGTCGAAGACGTTTGCCTGGACCTCCCCGTCGAGAAGAGCGTACTGATCAGGCTTGGGCTCTGTGCATCGCTCCTGCCAGCTGCATTCTCGCCAGGGCAAGGGCTGTGCCAGTCTGAAGAAAACGCGCCCGCCTCGGAATCTGTTGACACGGTCGTCGACGTGGGTATGGGCACTTTGGGGAAGGAGAGGGTGCCGGGTTCGATAGGAGAGCAGGTGTACGAGTGGGGGGAGGTGGGGGATGGGTTGGAAGAGGCGATGGGGGAGAAGCCGTGGATGTACTGGGGCGAGTGGGCAGACATGATGGCTATATGGGCATATCTTTTTGCGCCGAGATGACTGGAGAAGGTGAGCCAGTGCCCCGATACGCCCGGGATACTCACTACCTGTGTTACGCTCTCTCTTTGTGGAATAGATGGAGATGGAGAAAAGATACAAACACCCCCCCCGAAAGGACCCCTCCCCTCAAACTGTCCCTGCGGCAACAGGCGACATCCTCCTCAGGCACCCCTCCACTTTTTCACTCCCCTCCCTGATTCCCGCCCCCCTGGATGACGTTGCCGCCTTTTTCCGAGCCGCCGCCTCTATCCATCTCCTACTTCTTCCACCTTCCTCTCGGCGTGTATTCCGCGCTAGGGGGGATGTATTATGCAACTCTGACGGCGCTGTTTGTACGTCTCCGCTATCGCTCTTGCTCTTTTTTGTGGAGTCGAATCTTGTCGAATCCCGAGTCGGTATCGCCGAACAACCCATGGCAACGTAAAAAGAAGCGCGCTATCATCGCTGTGCAAACAGTCTACGGCTTTACTACGGATGTGAATGGAAGATACATGGCCAAGTTGTACGGCACAGCGGCACGGTATCCACCCCTATCTGTTTACATCCCGCATATGACAAGTGTCAATCGCATCTCACAAGGGCAAGCTGCGGCGCAGGAGTATAGGGCGGACGGGCGGATACTACTCCGGCGCGGTCCAATCGTCTATCGCGAATGTGCATCGCGTTAGAAGATGATGACCTAAGACAATTGAGATAAAGTAGAAGAAGTGCGTGGAAGGGCGTCGACGCGCTTGGCCTTGCGTCCTTCATCATCTCTCCATCATACAACGGTCTTCTTTGCGTCATTGTCTTATATATTTATTCTTCCCTCTTCTTCCCCATAGTGTGGCCCCGTACTCCCCGCCTCTTCAGAGATCAAATATTGGGTACGGATTAGCCAATCACGCTGGAGGATAGAGATGAAACAGCACCACCACGTACGACGTTGGCCACGTTCTTCTTTTCTTCTTACCAGGAACTCTTCTTCATTTCGATACAAGAGTTCCAAGACCCCATGGGAAGCCTTTCTGGCAAGACGAGACAGGTGGAGCGAGCGAGGTACATATAAATGCTTCTATGGGTCTACAAAAGAGAACAGTTGCTCTGGACTTTGGACCCTTTGGACTCTGGGACCTGGGGTGGTCCGTCGACCGTCGAGTGCCTCTTCATACATTCCACTTCCGTCGTTGCAGCGAACATGCTTGGTGGGATGTGCAATAAGAATCAAGAACATCAGCGGTGCCAACTTCTGAGGATGAGCCGCTGGCCCCACTGGCCGCTGGTTGCTGATGAGTTTCATCTGCTGGTCTCACGTTCGTCACCCACCACCCCACCCGCCATCCGCCATTCAGCAGGATCAGCAAGAAAAGCTTCCCGAGATCTGCGGATCTACGGTCTGCGGGTACACCCAAGAAGGAACCAGAAGGACCTGCATACTACTAGTGAGAATGCGGGGAAGATGCATGAAAGCATGAAAGGTGGGATGGTGTGCCATAAATTAGGGCGGGCTGCTTGGTTACATTTTATTCTGTTTTTTTCTGATTCAGGTCAGCAACCAACTCGGCAGGCCCGAGGAGGTCCGAGGTCCGGTGCCAGAAGTTGAAAAAAAAAAAAAGAAAAAAGAAAAAATGATGTGCTCGCAACAACAACAGCAGAGATCCAACAATAAAGAAGCACCTATTTGGTGCTATCCTTGATCACAAAATGCATCTACATTCTCTGGCATAACAGCTATGCCCGGATCGCCGCTCGAATAAGATCAAACTCTTGATTGCCGTCCACTTCAACTTCACCTCCCTCCTCAATCTCAGTCGGCAGCATGTCAACAATCATCGTATGACCAGTGCGCACGGTCCACTCAACGCCTGTCATTGGACGGTCCGACTGGCAGTTGTGGAAGCGAGTCACAAAGCTCTTTCTTGCATGGGATCTGAAAGCCGGGAAGATCTCGTAAAATTCGCTGATATCGTCTGATAATGCTGAGTGGAGAGGATAAGGAAGACGAAAACAGACATGGGAAAGGTTATCGGTGGACAAGGCGGGATATCGGGCATTCGACGAGCGAATCCCATAGCGGCTGACTCCCTCGTCCATAGGTAGTCTGTCGTTATCCTCTAGTTGACAATAGTCCACGATAGCATCGGCTTCATACCCAAGTTGAGTAACACCGTCCATTGCATACCGCGCCACTCTGATAGCGCTCAAACATTTTCCTGCACGCGTCCTCGATAGTTAGGGACGCGAAAACCAGCGATTCACAGGTCCCAAGAAGTTTCCTCTTGCTCAGTAGACGCTCCTCCCCAGCTCCAGTCCCGGCTTGATCAAACTCAGCCTGAAGACCCTCGTACAAACCCAGATCGATGGCTTCGTCGGTCACGACAATACACTTGTACAGACGAGGGATGAGATTCGCATAGTGGTGTTTCGAAAGCCGAGCGAGCGCGATAGTGTGGGTAGGGCAGGTGTCGGCGGTCAAGAAGTCGAAGACAAGGTTTCGGAGCTCGGCAGGGAGAAGGGAGAGAGATGTGATGTCGTAGATAGGGAGTGATAGATTGGCGTTGGGGCAAGAGCAGGGCTTGGGGTCTGATTGGGACGAGTCGGGGGTGGATGGGGACAACATGGCGGGGCTCTGAGAGTACCCTTCTGCAATGTACAAATCCAAAGAGAACAAGAAGACCGGAACTGACAAACAATTCGGCGGAGCTCGGCGCTGAAGAGACGTTCAAGTACTGGATCGGGCTGATTCCATCATCGTCTACTCGTATATACCATGGGAAGCTCTTTTCTGGATTAGTGGCACGCGCATAGTACTTTACGTTCCAGTGCATAGCATTACATCTTTCAAAAAAACCCCATACACCACCAGCAAAGATCCCAACCGCTCAAACCTTTACAACCGTCCCATCTTCCAAGATTGTCTTGATCACCCTCGCCGGATTCCCCACCGCCACACTCCTCGGTGGGATACTCCTCGTCACCACCGACCCAGCTCCGATTGTACTGCCCTTCCCTATAGTGACGCCCGGCAAAAGAATCGCTCCGCCGTCAATCCAGCAGTCGTCTTCGATGACTATAGGTTTGCCCCACTCTTTGCCTGAGAGACCCGAACGTTCTTCGGGGGAGAGAGGGTGGTCGGCGGTGTAGATTTTGACGTCGGGACCGACCATGGAGTGGAGACCTATGGTGACTGCAAAGGTGTCAGTATATGTAGGGCACGTGTTTGTCTGGAGAAGCGACGGACGTACTGGGACAGACATCGAGGAACGTGCAGTTTTCTCCAATAAAGTTGTCCCCCTTGAAATGCACATTGAACCCCTATACCCAGCTGTCAGCTCATCCCTTGATCCACCCGCAGAAAGACAGCGCACATATATACAAAAGAACCGCTGCACAACCAACACATCCTCCCCCACATTCCCATACTCCCTCCACAACGTCATTCTCTCATCCATATCCGTTACTTTGACAATTTGATCAAGCTTGATAGCTCCCCGGCTTCGCAGACGGTCGATATACTTGTCGTTGGCTTGTTGGTAGGGTTCGCCGGCGATCATGAGGGCGAGCTGGGTGGGGTCTTCGTTCCCTTCGGGAGGAGGGATGAGGAGGTTGGAGAGGTGGGGGGCGGGGAGGGACATTGTGAAAGGTATTTGAGGGGTAGGATAGTAAGTAAAGTCGAGATATGGATGCAAAAGCAAGTGAAAAGCAACAAGTCGAGTCACGCGAAGTCAAGAGCGTGATACAGCCCGTCGGCGTCAGCCGCCCACCCCGGCCTTCCGAGCGCACGAATTTCAGAGCGTTCGTTCAGTTTGAACAGTCGCTGCAGAGTCATTGAAAGACTCACAAAGCAAACCACAGGGTGCTCTCCTTCCATGCCACGGTATTGACACAGCATTCATCTCGCAAGCGAACTTGCAAAGAACGTCGTCGCTTCGTACATGGGTGGCTAAAGGATTAGCCGGAATTATTGAGTGGAGATGGGTGTGGCAGGTCGTTCAGTTAAGAAGCTAAATGCCTGGCTCCTGTCTGGGGACATCCGCGTGCTGAAATGCCCCGGGACATGATTTTCCTTCCTCAACTCCATCTTCCTCTTCCTTACTCCTGCCTTTGGAGCGGGTATCTGTTATGCATGTTATCTCCGGCGCTGGGCGGGATTCTTGGGAGGGGGAAATTGGCGCAGAAGACGAGTTAGGAAATGATGGATCCTATTCTCCATCCCAACTTTCGCCGGCGCTTTGATAGCCAAAATCGCTCGTAACCTCCGTCTTATTGTTTTCTGGACCAGATCAAGAGAGCCCCCTTATGTATGGTAGGGGGGATTTGGAAGCTTTGAGACACACCAGGGGCTAGCAGCATGTCATAGTTGGTAAAAAGAGCGGGGGTGTGGGGAACTGATGGTTCGTTTCGTTGTTCTGATGGGTGATCTGTTGTAGAGGTATGGTGACCAGGGGCAAGAGGGGAGCGAGTGCTGGCAGACTCCGGATGCCCAATTTGGCGTTCGCCCATGCTGCTCGAGGACAAGTGGTGTGAAGAATGAAAGAAACAGAAGATCTACAAACATTCGCGTCCAATTTTGTTGCCGCACCGGGACCAAACGCACCGAGCAGGGTCACTCAACATGTGAGGGTATATCTCTCCTCTCAACGACATGCCATCACCGAGAAACTTTGCAGGCATACTCTGGAAGAAACCCGCTCAATACGAGCTACCCTCGTACTATGATTCAGTCAGTCATGCGTCGGCAAAGAACATATTTTTTGTCCCGTCGACCACTGGAGACTCACCGGACGCTGACCGCAGGCAGCCTTGTTTCCACCGCAGTCGTTCATATACCCCTGTAGTAGCAGCTACCCTACGCCTTGACACATTTGATCCAGAAGACGACCTTCGCAGAGGACAAAACCTGCACTTCTCGTAGCCTCGTACATGGAAATTGGCCTCCAGCCCACGACCTGCCGGCAATGACCGCCCGAAGCATCACGTCCACGAGACATTTGCGGCACCCCATACGGATTCTTCCCAAAATTCGTATCAATCCTCGGCCTCACCGCTCCTCCTCCCCCCGGAACGGGTGCAACACTCCCCGAGATCCAACCGGGATAAGTCGAACTCGTCGGTGGAGGAGGTACATCACCCACCACACTCCCCGGCCTCGAGTAAAATTGCGAATGCCCCGTATGATCCGTCATCATACTCATCCTTCCTAGCCCTCCCGCGCTCTGCTCGCAGATTGGCAGATTGATTGATTGGTAGATAAGATGGTGACAAAAATCCCCCGACTGACCGAGCATCGACGAGACGACGATCTTGATGACAACAAATAATTGGTTCGAACACTACGCCGCGGCCTACTGTTCTCTTGGACGAGTCTTGGAGTGTCTTTTGGGCTTGGTTTCCTTCACAACGTCACAGATTCACATATGCTTCAGTGCGCATCAGCAGTCAGCCTACGATGAGGGGTTTTTGAACTGCTGTTCGCTGTCAAGACGAGGCCCAGCTGTGCCAGTTGACTGGTTTATAGAATGATGGAAGAGAGAGTCTGCCACTTGACGATGCCCTCATCTCATCTCCAGTCCTTCCTCCTCTTCTGATGTGGTCAGAATCAGCCACCCAGAAGATTGGTGCAAGTGCCACGGCGACCGCAAAGGAGCAGGGATATCGACGTTGCTCGGGTAGTCCAAGGCGACATCGACCCCGCACCACATTCGCTGGCGAGCAGATTGTAGCCTCTTGCCTCATCGTTTTTTGATAGAAGCATATTCGTCTCGGTCGGTGTCTCGGTCGGTGCTGCGCGGGTAATGCGGAGCTGGCGTAGGGGATGAGGGAGGTGGAGAATGTGCTGGGACTGGATTTCGAACGAAGAGTGACGAGAGGATGGCGATGGCATAGCGATGTACTATAGACAGGCAAGTTTTGATATGCATATAAGCTATGCAAAAGCGTATCGACTCTATGGTCTAAAAAGGGGGTGTTTTTGTGATACAAGATTGTTTAGTGATGACTTATTTCCGACTTCCTCCTCCCAAGACACCCTTTTGGCATCTCCAGACACATCCTTCCCAGTGTCAAATGTTAATGAGGCTAGACAGCCGCCAAACTCCAAGCACCCACAACCCTCCTCGCCAACGCCCCCACATTCGCCTCCGCCAATACCACATCCGCATCCAACTCTACCCCAAAGGCGTACTTGGCGAGTGTGGCGATGCGTTTGGCTTGGGTTTCGGTCATGATTGTGAAATCGTCCGCCTCGGGTTCGGAATCGCTGTCGGAATCGACAGAGCGGTCTATACCGGGGTCGCGAGTAGATTCGTCGTCGGCCAAGCCTAGGATGGAAGGTTGGGGGACGACAGACCGGTCAGCGAGAGAGGCCAGGTGGTCGAGAGTTTGTGGATTGTCGGCAGACGCAAGATTGCCAGGCGAGAAGGTGTCCTTGGTGGGCGTCACCTCGTCTTCGATCCCGACTCCACCCTTTTTCCCTTTCGCCTTCTTATCCGCCTTTCCAGCCTTGCCAGCTCGCTTATCTCCTCCGGCTACACCAGAGCCCAAGAGGGAACCTTGGTCCTCAACCTCGGCATCGGCTTCAACGCCGTCTTCGCCCTCGTCGAGCTCGGGCGTGTAAGACAGAGTGGGCTTGTTGAGAGCCTTGCCGGGCGAGACCTGAGATGCGGCAGTGGGTACAGCCGCAAGCCTCATGACAGCCTTGCCCTTTGCCGCCTTGGGAACTAGCTCGTCCTCGCCCTCCAAAGCCAGACAAACGAGCTTCATCATCGTCTCCCTCACCTCCTTCACGCCGACTTCCTCCCTGATCTCGGCCGTCTTCACCGACTTGGAAGGGGAGGAAGACAGAGATGCGGAAGAACGACGGGGAGAAGACACGCGGGAAGAGCGAGAAGCACGAGGTTTGTCGACGTAGAGCTCAATCGGGGCGAGACGGGACATGACGTTGTGTTTCCCATCGTGGTGGTACCGAATTTCGTACTGTCCCGGCTGCCAAGGCAATTGCTTGCCCTTCAAGACAACCATCCCAGCGTCCGCCTTCTGACCCTCACTCTCCGGCGTGACGTGCTCATTACCCTCCCATTCCTCCTCATAAACTCCAACCCACTTGCCAACACTCGAGATCTTGGTGACGATCTCGCTCTTGCAGCTGCCGAGTCGGTAGATACCGATCCAGTCTTTGGAAGAGTGGTTCGAAGGGGCAGTCCAGGAGATGGGAATGGGCTGGCCGACGTGGAACGCGGGGTAGGGCGTAGGAGACGAGGAAGAGGTCGGGATCTGGAGAGAGTAGGAAGACGGGTCGTAAGAAGTGAGGTCTTTAGGCTTGGCCACGCGACTACACTACTGTCAACTTATGCAAAGAAGACAAGAAGACAAACTCACGTGATGATCATCCTCTCCCTAGACTGCTGCAACAGCCCCCTAGCATCGTCCACAACCCCATCCAACATCGGCCTCGCATGATCCAAAAAGTCTTCCACCCCGCCCCTGACTCGTTCTTCCACCTTTTCAATGCCCCTATTGACTTCCGAAACGACTCGCGACACTCTAGGGTGCTTGGATACGGCTTGGCGGACGGCCGTAGAGTTGGGAAGGTTGGATTTGAGGGTTTTGGTGAGACCGCCGTCTTTACGGAGACGGTTGCCGTAGAGTTTCTGCATATGCGGGCTGTCTTTGAGTCAGCACGGCCCTCCAGAGGTCCAAAGGAAACTCACCCCTCGACGAATTCCAAGAACCACCAATGACTCAAATGACTGACCACACCCAGTACTCCAACTAACCAGCTCCCACCCATCAACCAACATCCCAAAAACGCCGCACCGCCCATAGACCTCTCGGGGTTGTTCAAGAACCGGTATATACCCGTGTATGCCAAGTCTGAGGGGAGGTAGGACGAGAAGAGGAAGAAATCTGAGTAGAACCATCCATAGGCGCCGAGGACTTCATAAGACGAGAGGGCGGACCAGATGTGGAGCGCGATGAGGGAGAGGCCGAGGATGTGCCGGAGGAGAGTGCCGGATACGGTCCAGTCGGAAGGGAGGTGGTACGTCTTCCAGGCGAGGCCGGCGAAAGAGACTACGGGATTTTAGCTGGGTCGGGTGTGGGGCGAGAAACATACCATAGGTCATAACCAGACTGATGTTGTATACCACTTGCCAATTGCCAAAAGCTTCCTCCGTCGCTCGCCTTACAACACCTTCCTTACCCTTACCAGCCTTCTCTCCAGGTTCCAGCTCTTCATCCTCCCACTCATCCAGACGGACATCGGAGGGGTAGTGGTAGTGCTTCAAGTAATGCCTGACCATCCACTTGTCCTTGCTTTGCGCTAGAAGCAAAAGTCCCAGTCCGAGAGAGTGGAAGAGGCGCCAGAAGAGGGCGTGGACGAAGTGTGCAGTGAGGGCGAGGCCTGGGGAGAGAGGAGGGATCAGGGTGACGACAGAGTAGGTGACAAGGAGGACGAGGGCAAAGTCGGTAGCGCTGTGAACTGTCAGTTACTTTCAAACAAAAAGAAGAGCACTTACCGGAACATGTCCAGATGAGAGAAAAGAACGACAGGCTTTCGGAAGAACCGGTTGGTAAGGTCGTGCATCGTCATCTTGTTCCTCTTGCTGAAACTCTTCCTGCTCTTTCCACCAATCGGTGTGGTAACACCAGAACCCATCGCAGAAGCCGGCTGTTTCAGCTCTCGTGGCATCGCCGTTGGAGACGTCGCAGTCAGATTAGAAGTCTCTGAAAAGACGCTGTCTGACCGGGGCTTGACGATCCTGACATCCTTCTCGGGTGACGAATTGGGAGTGGGGTCGGCGAGCTCTGGCTCGGTCTCGGTTTCGCCCTCAGTAGCGGACGGTGTCGGTGCGCCCGTCTCGCCTGGGGTTCTGTGAAGCTCTTCTGCCTTTTCGTCATCCTGCCAATTGACAGGGACGCGAGAAGCGAGGGGTTTCTTGCCGCCACCATAAGTACGCTCGATATCTGTCAACAATGGTCCCGAAAGGAGGGGAACGTCAGCACGAGGCCATGTGTCAAGGCGTGCGAAGACGTACGAGGGTTTTCAAACCAGAGAAGGAAAGCGAATTGAGCGGCGTGGGCGGCGATAGATACGAAGAGGACAGTGTACGAGCCGACGACTACAAGGGGTCAGCGCGAGTACAAACGCAATGTCAAGTACTCACGCATAGACAAGCCATAGTATCCAGCATAACCCACAGAGTACATCGGATGAGGCGCAATCTCATACACGCCGTCAAACACGAGATCGTGCTGCATGACCATCATCCAGAACGCGTCTCCCCAGTACCAGGCATAGTCTTTGACGACTCTGTGGGCGTCAATCTTGACCCAGAGATTGAATAGGATCAAAGACAGGCCAAGTGTCCATCGGAGAATGTGCATGGCGACAGAATGGTTGGCGGGGAAGTGGAGATGGGACCACGCAAAGCAAGTGTATGCCACGAAATCGCTACTTGAGTTCAGTATAGAGCAAAGCAGAAAGAGGAAAAGACGCACTTGAGAAGGACGATATCGACTAGCTGGCGAAACATCAACCAAGCGTTGAATTCTTGTGGCACTGCCTCCCATTCGTATCCCTCATCCATCTTCATCTCGAGCTCACGCTTCCACCATTTCGCCCATGCACGGCCCTCTTCACCGCCCTGGTCCGAATTGACGTCGAGCCAGCCCCAGTTGCGCAAAAGCTTGACGATCCATTTCTTCTCCGACTGCTTTCGCAAAACCCAAGCAAAGCCCCAGTCATAGCTGCCTCGCCAGAAGGCAAAGTAGAGCAGGAAAAAGAGCGAGCGAGTCGTGTGATGGTTGCGCAAGAGGTAAAAGAGCAGCGGCTGGGCCAGGAGCGAGAAAAGTGTGAGCCGGGTAAGAGACGAGCGGTGCGTGGTAGTCAAGAGGGTGTGGACGAAGGAGTGGGTCTCTGGGACTCTGAACACTGCGCCAGAGGCCGTCTTGCCCCAGGTGGCTTGGTCGAAGGCCTTGTCGGAGGCGTCTTGAGCGCCGTGAGCGCCATCTTCAGCGCCGTCGGCCGGAATCTTGGGGGACTTCCTGTGGCGAATAGTGCCCTCCTGTTTGTCCATCGCTGTGATGATGCAAAAGAGAAATGAGATGCATAGCGATAACCGTAAATGCTCGCGTAGATGGTGTCCCACGGGTCCGGTCAGGAAGCCACGTGTCCATAACGGAGTTTCCGACAGCGGGCAGCGCCGCGCACTGCGTCCGGACCCGCTCATTCCCTCCATCTTTCCCATTTGCGCGTATCAGTCTCTATACTCCTCAATGCCAGCCCTCATACAGCTTCCCTCAAGATCCAACGCATTCTCACGGTATACCCCCAGCAAGAATGCCTACAACGACTTTATCAACCCCGCCCTCGCCGCCCAATCCACCGTCCCCACCGTCTCCCTCCACCTGCCTTCCCAGCCCCAGTCCTCTATCCATGCGCAGATAGAACCTCTAGCAGAATCCATCAAGGCCATTTTGACCTTCAAGCCGACGCCAGTGTCGTACCACCACATCTCTACCCTCACACGGAACATTGCACTCAAGCAGCCCGATCTGAACAAAAGAGTGCTCGACACTTTCGAGCAGGAACTCGTACAGACATGCCAGACTATCACCAAGGAGCTGAGGAGAGGATTAATGGCGAGGGACAAAGGCATCTTGGCCAGAATCACACAAGAGTGGCGCTCTCTGAAACATCGCACCGTAAGTCTGCTCAGTCCTTCTCGCCTCGTGCTGACCATTATCAGGACTTGCTGCGTTCATTACTTGTCTACCTTGACCCCCCTGCGGCCACCGAGCCGCTGAACTCGCGTGTGGCCCGCGTCTTCAGGCAGCAAGTATGGGAAGACGACATACTCTCCAGCGCTCGCTGTGCCGAGCTCCTAGACTGGCTTGCCCTAGAGCGCGCCTCTTCTCCCTCGCCATCCAATCCGCAACAAAGACAGACCATCAAGGACAATTTCTCTCTCTCTCGTGACCTCTCCCTTCACTCGTTCGAAGTCGAAACGGAGAAATGGCTCGAAGCCACTCGCGAATACTACCTCAACACTTGTCAGCGGAAGATTGCGGGTATCGCCTCCCATCCCGAAGCGGCGGCATACATCTCCTGGTACCTGCAGTCTCTCAAAGAAGAAGTCTGTCGCGCCCAATGGTGTGTCAGTATGTCTTTTGCCGAAGAAGTCGCCGGCAACATCCTCAAAGAGACGTCTGAAGAAGTCGAAGACGGCGGTATCATCCTCTCTGCCGTCTACCACGCTCTCTCCCTCGCTTCGGACGGCAGTGCACTCGCCGAGGTGTACGAATACACGACGAATGTCATGGCGTTTGACATTCTCGTCTCCTCTGTGGAGAGCTTTTGTAAGGAGAAGGTGGGCGAGATTGCACTCCGAGGCGCGACCGCGAAGGACGAGAAGGAAAAGGAAGCGGTAGATGGCGAGTTGATGGTCTGGGACCTTTTGGCGCTACGACGACGGATTAACGCCCTTATCGACTCACTCTTCCCTCCCTCCATCCCTGACCCCACTGACGGCAAAGGCAAGGCCCCTCTTCTCGACTCTGACGGCGATGCTCTCATGTCCTCTCCACCCACTCACGCCATCGACGAGAAGCTATCCAAGGAACATTACTTTGAGCTTTCTGAGAGTGTAAGGACGGGGTTCAAGGCGGGGTTGGCAAAGAGGGAAGCGGTCCCGGCAGAGTATGTGGCAAAGTATCTCGACAGAGTGATGCGGCGCGGATCGGTCAAGCCGCCTTCTTCAAGCACTGTCCCATCCGACGACGTCCCTTCATTCCAATCTCACCTATCCGAGATCGTGCATCTTTCAGGTTTGCTCCTTGATAAAGACGTGTTCAAAGCGTTTTACGGACGCTCTCTTGCCAAACGTCTACTGCTGAGCAAGAGCGCGAGTGATGATAGTGAAAAGGGCTTGGTGAGAATGTTGCAGAAAGAGATGGGCGAAGAGTTTACGGCGGGCGACATTATGATGAAGGATCTGCAAGTTTCAGAGACGTACGTTCCCTTCTCCTCCGTTTCGATCCAGGTCACTGACGACCCAAGCAGATTGGTAAAAGCATACCAAACCGCCAATCCTTCCTCCAATCTGAATTTCACCACAAACGTTCTCACCGAATCCGCCTGGCCAGCTTCATCCTCTTCCTCTTCCTTCACTTCCACTACCACCACTACAACACCCGTCATCTCGCCCTTCCGCCTCCCACAAGTGTTGCAGAATGACATTGCGTCATTTGAAGCTTGGTATAAGGACAGATACAAGAACCGTGTACTCGCATGGCGCTGGGGCTTGGGCAGTGTTACGATGACGGCGCGGTTTGGACAGGGGACGGAGGGTGGAGAGAAAAGGTATGAGATCGGAGTGAGCTTGTATCAGGCGGTGGTATTGATCATATTCAATGATAATGATCATTTGACCGTGAAAGACATCAGAGAGAGGAGTGGGATCCGTGGGTCTTCTTGCTCTTTGTTGAAAGTACAGAGCTAAGCCAGATATCAGCTGTGAACGAATTGACACCCACACTTCAGTCCCTCGCGCTCGGAAAGAAGGGGACGCGAGTGTTGCTCAAGAAACCGCCAGGGAAAGAGGTCAAGGATAGCGATGTGTTTGGATGGAACAAGTCTTTCTCCGGGGACAAGTTCAAGTTCAGAATCAACGGTATCCAGCAAGACATCAGCGTAAGCCACTTCCACATCTCCCCACACCCTAGTCTTACACTGACGACTTTTACAGGTGGAAGAATCCAAGTCTACCCAAAACCAAATCTCTCTCGACCGCACATCCATTCTCGAAGCCACCCTTGTCCGCCTCATGAAAGCTCGCAAACGTCTTTCCCTCCAGCTGCTCATCGACGCTGTGGTAGGCGAAGTGAGCAAGAGGTTCCCGCCCGATGTAAAGGAGATCAAGAAGAGGGTAGAGAGTCTGATTGAGAGGGAGTTCTTGGAGAGGGATGAGGAGGATCGAGGGGTGCTCAAGTATGTTGCTTAAGGGAGTGGCTCACGCTTCTTCTACGATGTTCATCTTGGAATGCATACATCATACCACTAGGTCTCACGAGCCGCTCATGACACTACACCTCCTGCTTTAGACCCAGCATGGGCCTCACTGTCATCAACTCCTCGGCTAGCTCCTCATCCCCGAGTTCGTCGTCCGAGACAAGTCTGTCGCCCTGAAAGTCTATGAGGCACAGGCTACCGTGGGCGCGCCGACGAATGTGGCATGGCTCAACGTCGCCGTGGACAACCCCAGCACCATGCAGTGCCTCGTAGAGCTCTACGATGAATGTCCGGACTGATTACGCACGGAACCAGATAACACGCGTCAATGTCCGCTATCAGACGGACGGCGCCGGATCTCCTCGCTGCGCTTCCGTCGTCACCATTTCTTCGGATCTCTTGTCACTTCGTTTCGTTTGATCTCACAAATCAGCCCCACCCCCCAACAACACAACCCCCCACGATGGCGCCCAAGAAACCCCAGCCGCCTGCCCTCCCCACATTCTCCATCACCACCCTCGCCCCCCTCTTCCCCGTCCACTATCTCATCTTCCGCGAACTCCTCCACCTCGCGCCCACGAAGTACATGCTCCTCTCCAAAGCGCACAACTCCCACGCAGTCGACCTCTTCTCCCGCCCCCTGCTCATCGACAGAGCCCTCGAAGAGCGCTTCTACCAGACGACCCACAAAGCCCAGTGCCTGGCATTCTTGCTGCCGTTGCACTATGCCCGGTCTATCCGGTTTGACGACCTGCGGACGTGGGTCGGCTTTTCCCTCGATTTCGGGCGGGTGTATATCGAGCAGAGGAGACGGCGGATGCTGGGAGGCAACTTTGCCTCCCAGCACCACCCCATTCGTCTGTTCCACCACGTCCGGAAGATCGAGATCTCCCTCTTACCCTATGTCTCCATCGCCTCCATCACCGAAGAGCTCGCCCGGGAGAAAAAGTATCCAAAAAAAGATAAAGGGTATACACTCGCGATGGACCAGGAGATTGGCATGGATTTCGAAGAACTCGTCATTCACGTCGACCGGCCGTTCACGAGGAATGAAAACCTGCGCTTGTATAGCTTTGGGCAATTCCTCTCGAACGAGGCTTTTACACGGCAAAAGAGGACCACTATTTGCGTCCATTTACCAGCAAAAGATGGTCCTTCCCTAGCCGACCTCCGCTCGCGCCTGCCCCTCATCCTGAGTCGCAATATTGATTACCCATATAACAGAGTCGTCATATACCCCACCGATCCCGCTGAACCTTTCCTTTTTGACGAAGCGACTGAGATAGTCGCAAAGTACCTCGAGGGGCGCGTGCGTTTGCGGGGTGCGGGCTCGGGGTCCGAGACGACGTCTCGCAAGCGGCGCGTAGAGATCCATGTACCGCAGGCTACTGCTCTACGGGATGCGGCGTTTAGGTGGCTTGAGAAGGAGTTGCCAGGGGATAAGCATGATGTGGATCAGAAGGAGATGGAGAAGGTGTTCAAGTTTGTAGAGCTGGATCCTGCCTTGACGGCGGGGGGAGGTCATTTAAGGATCTGTTGAAGCTGGACGCCATAACGTCTGGAGTTTAGGTTATTCATGTTAGTCTTAAATGTGTCTTGACGCTCACATGTCTTTACAGCTCTTTTGCCCCCTTTCATATCACCATCTCAATCGCTCCTGCCTCGATCTCTCACCAACGGACAATTGACCTGTAGCTAGCTGAGGGGCTTTGATCTTGACTGGCCACGGCGTAGTATGAAGCGGGCGGCGTTGATGGCTGTAGAGGTGTATCGGACAGAGGAGATTATCCTTGCAGTCAAGTGAATCTTGTTTTCTGTTACGCCTCATTGACGACTATGCATCGATCCCCGCTTGAGAGAGTAAGATGGAGACAAGGGTGCATATACACTTCTACCGATCCGGTTCTCTATATAATGGGGACAGGGTGTCTGCGATAACTTGGAGATATCGCATCGCCTACGAGATCGGGAAAGTCTGTCGGAAGAACCAAACAAACACGAGATAGATGATCGGCCAGCGCCGACGTCCGCCTCGGCTTCCAATTGTGCTTTTGCATCTATACCACCCTATACAACCCATATCGCCCCCTCGCCATACCTTCCAACCCTGATTCAACCCGGCGCCATGCAGCCTCGTAGCAACCCAGGTCGACCGCCCATCCTCCCCCACACCCTCGCCCCCCTCGCCCCAGTCCACTACGACATCATCGACCACCTCCTCCACCTCGCTCCCACAACCTACATGCGCCTCTCCAAAGCCCACCATCTCCACGCTCTCCACATCTTCTCCCAACCCTTCCTCATCGACCACTCCTTCGAAGATCGCTTCTACAAGACGACCACCGCGGACCAAGCTCAGAGCCTGGCTTTCCTGCTGCCGGCGTTTTATGCGGAGGCTGTGAGGGTGGATGATGTGAGGATCTGGGCGGGGTTGGCTGTTGATTTTGGGAGGGTGTATAATCAGAGGAAGAGACGGAAGGCGGGGAGCGGGTTCGCTTGTGAAAACCACCCAGATCGTCTCTTTCGGCATGTCCGCCAAATCGGCGTTTCCCTCTCCCCTTTCGCGACCATCCCCTCCCTCACAGAGAAAGCCGCTAGGGAGAAGAACTATCAGCTCAAAAACCTCTTTGATCAGAGTGTAGACCACGAAATAGGCAAGCATTTCGAAGAGCTTGCGATCTTTGTGGATAAGCCGTTTCTGGGGGATACGGATTCCAAACAGTACGCTTTTGATCATTTCCTTCCTACAGGTCACTGGGCCCGGCAAAAGATGACTGTCATCTACATCCCATTCTTTGCGAAAGGTGGTCCATCTATCGATGATCTGCGTGTACTCCTACCTACCGTGCTTGCTCAGAACTTGGAGTATCATTCTAGCAAAATCATCATCTACCCCTCCTCCGGCGCTTCCCAATCATGTGCTCCTTCAGACGTCGCTACGATCATAGCGCGCTACCTAGCCGGTAGAGCCCGCCTCCGCGCTGCTCGGCATAATGCTGGCAACAGAACAGTATTCGACATCAAGTACGCCGAGTTTCACGTACCGGAAGCAGAGAGCGTCAGGGGTCTGGTGATGCCTTTTCTCTGCGATGAAGTGAGGGGCAGGTTTGGGTCTTATAGGGCGGAGATGGAGAGGGATGTGAGGATTGTGGAGCTTGATCCTGCGCTGGTGGTGACGAGTGGTTATAGGAGAGTTTGAGTCTACGTGAGTTGAGATTTTGTTCTGGCGGATGGCAAGCCAATGCTGATGCGTACTCCTACAGCTTGGGTACACCTACACTGGTGCATCTATAGCTACAATGTTCTAGTAGTACAGTATATGGACACCAAGCATGCACCATTCCCACAATGTCCTTGAACGCCTCCACCGCGCGCGCCGCTGCTGTTCGTTGTTGTGATTCTCATCATCTCTTGCAATCTCTTGTTTTCCCTTTCATCGTACATTCCGGCGGGCATGGCGGCTGCTCAGCAACCCCTCTACTCCCTCATCATCGCCATCCACTCCCCCCTCGACTCTGAGCAATACCACCACACCATCAAAGACGACTGGCGACTCGGCGACATCTCTGTCGACTGGATAGATTTCACTCGCGAGAAGAGCATCGACAAGCGCGAAATGTCTCGCGGGTCAGCCAAAGACGATCGTCGGGTGGGAGATGCTGCTAGGTCAGCCCAGGGTGGGAGGGCCGTACCGGGTTCGTCGACAAAGACTACAGGGACCAAGAAATCACGCTCTTCGCCACCTCAGGCCCATCCATCTCAGTCATCAGAGACCGACGCGCTGTCTCTCCAGCCCCTCCTTGCCCATTTCCCCTCACCCTCTCCACTATCAGCTTCTTACGCAGAAGGGATATCGTCCCTCGGTACCGGCGTGGTCCACCTATTCCGACATGCTCCGCCCTCCAGCCTCCTCGCGTCTATAGACGCTCATCCATTCGGCTCTTCTTCCAAATCAAACTCGTTCTCAGGAAAAGGGTCCACAAAAGATTCGGCCTGTAGTAAAGAGAACTGGGATGGGGAGAGTGCTGAAGGAGGGGATGGGAGCTTGGTGGCGATTCTGGCAGTACCAGCATGGATGCGGCCCGCCGACTTTTTGGAGTTTATCGGAGGATGGGGCAACTGCCTCGAAGGTGTCCGAATGATCAGGTACGCCCTCCTTCGCCTCCTTCCTACCCTACCTGACGAAAGAGCAGGGAAGCAGCCACCCCGAACAGGTCCATCGTCCTCCTCAAATTCCGCGACCCCCTCCAAGCGCGCGACTTTATGGTCATCTTCACCGGCCGAGCCTTCTCCACCCTCGACTCTCGCGAGACATGCCACCCTATCCGCATACACCATCTCGTCCTCCACAAACTCGATCCCCCCACAGCCGCCTCTACTCCCATTCCGGCGTTTCCACCTTCTGTCTACGCTTCGAGGATGAAAGAGCTCCCCGGGCTGCTGCAGGGTGTTTCAGCAGAAGGCCGGTTTGAGCTACCGTCTTGTCCCGTGTGTTTGGAGAGGCTGGATTCGAACGTAACGGCTCTTGTAACACTTCCCTGTGCGCACACGTTTGATTGCGACTGTCTCCGAAAATGGGGCGACTCGCGCTGTCCCGTCTGCCGCGTATCCCACCTCCTCCTCTCTTCCTCCTCCGCCACCCCAGCCCACCCAGTGCACCCCGACCGCGAGAGAGATATCACAAGGCTGACTGAATGCAACCTCTGCGGGTCGACGGATAACAATTGGATATGTGTCGTCTGCGGCACGGTGGGCTGTGGGCGGTATGAACCGGGGAAGGGACATGCGAGACGGCATTGGGAAGAGAGTGGGCATGTGTTGGCTATGGAGTTGGAGACGCAGAGGGTTTGGGATTACAAAGGTGACAAGTAGGTGTACTCCAGGACCATATAATCGTGTACTGACTAGGTCTACAAGTTATGTTCATCGATTGATACAAACCAAGAATGACGGTAAACTCGTCGAACTCCCCTCGGCCTCATCCCTCATCACCCCTTCCGTCTCCCGGCCCCTTTCTCTAGGCCCGGACCATCACCAGTCTACGACCCCACAATCCCAATCCCAATCGTCCCCCGCTCAAGACGCTCCCTCCTCCCATGCAGGGCCGTCAAGCAACGATATAGACAAAATCTCTTCTATCGAATCCATCACCCTCGAATACTCTTACCTCCTCTCCTCCCAGCTCGAAAGTATGCGACAGCACTACGAAGGGCAGCAGTCGACTCTCCTCTCGCGTTTGACGGCTCTCGAACAAAAAAGCGATGCTTGGGATGAGAGGATGCAAAAGCTAGAGAGGGAGAAGGAGAAGGAGAGGAAAGAAGCGGAAAGGTGGAAGGGCAAGGTGGATGGTGTGAGGGGTCTTGTGGGGGGACTGCAGACGGCGCTGGGGGCTGAAAAGGCCATGAGCCATGGGTTGTCGGAGCGTATCAAAGCGTTGGAGAAGGAGAGGGATGAGGCGGTCAAGAAGGGGGCGGATAAGGAGGACGAGGTGAAGGGGTTGGAAGAGACGGTGAGGGATTTGATGTTCAGCTTGGAGGCAGGGTTGAAGATGCAACAGCTGGGTGGGGAGGGAGGAGAGGGTGGGGATTTGATAGTGCAGCCTGGTAAAGAGACAAAACCCAAGAAGAGGGGCAAGAATTGATCGTTTGTTGTAAAAGCGACCGAGGGGTCTGTTGTATCATGACCATAATGCAATAACGTACAACATGTCTATACCCAAAAGAAGAAACCGAAAACATCAACCTTTTCCCTGTCCACGTCTCCAGCATCTTAGGCATGCCCGGCACCTCCTGTACGCCTCTCTGTCCGCTAGTAGGAGAGTCAGCAACTTGCCGCGTATAAGATTGGTTCTTGCTCACCTCAACGATACTCGTACCATCCCTGAACCTCGCTCTAAACAACACATTGGCATTTGTAAACAATCCTTCTTTCAGCGACACCACAATGAATTGCGAGCCCTTGAAACGGTTTCTGAAAAGTTGACCTATATGTTGCGTGTGTTGTAAATCCAGAGCGGCGTCAATCTCGTCGAGAATGTACATGGGCGCGGGCTTGAATTGAAGCAGAGACATGATGAGTGAGAGGGCGATAAGAGATCTGTGAAGATAGTCAGCACCCAGGTAGATCGGACGCCACGCAAAGACGTACCTTTGACCACCACTCAGTTCCGTCAGACTCGCTTTCCACACAGGCCCCAGTCGGACCTTGACCTCGAGACCTTGCGTAAGATCTTGTCCCTCTGGCGGCTGCAGCTTGGCAAAATTTCCAGGGAGGAGCTCCGCAAAGATCAGACCGAAATCACTGGTTCCCATCAGTCCTATTCTTTGTCGTAAAGCAGATACAACACACCCATTGACCTTTTCCCATGTCTTGGTGAGGGCGTCACGCTTGTATCGGTCAAGCTCCTCGATGGTATCTTGGATCATTCCCTTGTCCTTCAAGACGGTCGCCATCATCTTCTTCAAAGCCTGCTCCTTCTTCTCGACACTGCGGAAAATTCAGCCATTGCCATCATCGGCCGAGTAAGGCGCACCTGTCGATCATGTTCATGACCTTCGTGTTGATCTTCTTGCCCATACCCTTGTGCTGCGACTCCAGCTCCTTGCACTGCTCTCTCGCCTGGGCCAAATTGACCCCCTGGAAGTCGTATGGTGTCCCAGCCTTGCCAAAGAATCTTCATTACCGTCAGCGTCGTCTCCACTAGCTCATAATGGACGTACTGGTTCTCCTCAGTGATCCATGTGAATTGCCTCTCGAGGTTATCCTTATGTCCCTCGGCACTTGATTTTTCTTTCACCACCAAGCCCAAGTCGTGCTCAAGTTTCTTCAACTCCAGCTCGGCGTCAACAATCTCTTGCTTTTTGGCTTTGAGATCACGCTCCAGGTCGGCGAGGTCAGTGTCGAAAGCGACAAGGACAGCGCGCTCTGATTTTAGCTTGGCTTCGGCTGCTTTGTGGTCGGCCTGCGGATTGGTGAGCGGTGCACGTCGACTTCATCGACATGACCTTACCTGTGATTCCTTGAGACTGGCTTCGAGAGCCTTGTACTCGGTCTTTGACTTTTCCTTGGCAGACTGGGCTTCCTCAATCTCCGCCTTTGCACTCGCGATATCGCTCTCCAATTGTTCTAATCCTCGTAAGCTTGTATCAGAACCACGCAAAGGTCCACTTACGAAGCTCCAGCTCGGCGGTCTGCACCTCCTTCTGCCCCAACTTGACCTGCGTTGTCTTTTTGCTCAACTCCTTCTTCATCTCTGCAATCCTCGTCTTGATCTCCTTCAGCTTTGAGTCCTTGTTGTCTCTGAAATCAGCCATCTCCTTCTCAAGACGTTTGCAGTCCGCGGAAGCTTGTTTTTGCTTCTCTTTAGCCTGGTCGATGATCTCCTTGAAGTCGACAAGTGATTTACGAGCTGCTTCGACTTCGGCGATGATCTGATACCAAGTCAGTCGGTTCCCATGCTCCGAGATGGCAGTGGCCTACCTTCGTAGCGTTACTTCCACTAACTTGCTCTTCCAAAAGTCTCACTTCGTGCTCCCTCAACTCCAAATCCTTCTTGTCCTTCCTCCATTGGTCAATCACCTTCTTTGCCCCTTGCAGCGTTCCCCTAATTTCATCAATCGCCCGTCGATGAACCCCAATTTCCTTCTCGATAGCCTTGAGCTCTTGCACCTTGACCAGAATACCTCCACTGCTCGGCGCTGATCCACCAGATAGCGTACCAGAGGGGTCGTAGACGTCGCCCTCGGTGGTGACACTCTTGACGCCGATGGATTTGTCGAAAGTGATGGCTTCGGCTGTACGTTTGTCGGCACAGATGAATGTACGACCGAAGACGTAGGCCATGGCGGATGAGACGTCTTTCGGGTAGCCGACGAGGTCAAGGGCGAGGTCGACTTTGCCCGGGGCGACTTTGTGGGCAGCAGCGAGTTTCTGAAAATTCATCAGCATATAACCAGAAGAAGAGATCCTCAGCCAACCTCAGCAGCAATCCTGGTGGAGTCGATCTTGTTGAGAGGGATGATGGTGACTCGCTTCTTGAGGTTACCATTCTTGAGCAACTTCGAGCCCACCTTCTCGTCGTGCACGACGACGTTGAAGAGCCTACCACCGGCACAAATTTCAAGAGCCGTAGAGCTTTTGAAGTTGTCCTCGTCAAGGTCGACAAGGTTGGCAACAAGACCCTTGACCTTTCCACGGTCAAAGTTGGGCTCGGGGTCAGAGTACGTAAAGTCGATAGCGGCAAGTCGAGATTTGAGCGTGTCTCGTTTCTGATCAAGCGTCAGTATGAACAAGAGAGCAGAATAGCGAACGTACCTCCATGAGGTCGGCCATCTGAGACTGGTGCTCAGCTTGTGACTCCAGCATCTCCCTCTCCTGATCCTCATTCCAACCCGCCTTCCCAACCATCTCTCTCAACTTCTCCACCTGAACCCTTTTGGTCTCCAGCTCCTTGATCAGCCCCGATCCATCCTTCTCCGCCTTCTTCGCTCGGGGCTCCTTGTCTTTGAGCTCCTTCTCCGCCATGCTGATCTTGACCTTGGCCTGCTCGGCTTCAGTTCCGGCAGTGGCAAGGCGCGCTTTGGCCTCGGCGAGCTGACCGAGATAACCACCGGCATTCTCGTCGTCGGTCTTGGAAGACGACAGACCGGTGATGAGGGATTGGAGCAGCTCTTCTTGTTTGTTGAGCTCGGATTGGCCGGCGTCGTAGGCGTCTTTGAGCTGAGTGAACGCGGCAGTCTCTTTCGCTGTCTCAGCTCGACGTTCTTCAAGATTCTTCGAGAGCTACACCCGTGTCAGGACCACCTTGAAGTGCTTGTGCAAATGACTCACATCGTCGGCATTCTTCTTCGCAGACACTACACGCTTCTCGTCGTCCTTCATGGTGCCCTCGGTGATTTCAATCTGCGTCTTGATCTTGACCAGCTCGCGCTCGAGGTTGTTGACAGCGTCGGCAAGCCCTTGAATCTTGCCACCCTTGGCCATTTCCTGTACAGCAGTCAGTTAACGTCCCCGCCAACAAGTGGATCAACCCACCTTCTCCCGTTTTTTGTGGATCTCCGCGAGTTCCTTCTCCATACCCTGACACTCTCTCCCACCTCGCGTGACATCTTCCTTTGCATTCTCAATATCCTTCTTCTTCCTTTTGAGACCGTCCGCCGCTTTCTCAGCCTTCTCAACAGCCAGGACCCATTCATAAGCCTTCACCAGGCGGGTCAGACGCTCAAGCTCTGATGTCGCCTTTTGGTATTCGAGATAAGATCTCTTTTCGGCACGCAGCTTTTCCAATTTCGGGTCAATCTCTTCTTTGAGCAGCTATCCACCGAGTCAGCGCATACCCTCCCTTCTCACAAATAGACTAACACTCTCAATCTCCTCCACCTTCTTATCCTTCTTCGTCATAGTCTTCGTCGCCTTATCCTTCCTCTCTTCGAACATCCTCGTCCCTGCCGCCTCCTCCACCATCCCCAGAATCTCTGCAGGCTTCATGTTGAGCACTTTTGTGATTTTACCCTGCATGATGAGGAAATTGGGGTTGTTGATGTTGAGCTGGACGGATTGGAACATGTTTTGGAGGGCTTGGAGGGTGGATTTGTGGCCGTTCAGGAGGTATTTGGAGATGTTGCCGACAGCAATCTGGGCATAAGTTAATTTGAGCCTACAACACTAGATATCAAGGACATACCTGACGGGTTACTGTTATTTGAGGAGTGTTCTCGAACCCAAGCGGTGACTTTGATCGATCTTGATTGTTGAACACGATAGTCACAGACGCTTTGGTGACACCCGCTTGTCCCCTACGCCTTGTCTTAGCTCGGACTCTTTCTCATACAAAGACAGGCTCACCTCTTGTAGATCAAATCCATTAGGTTATTCGCTCTCACTGACTGCATGTTGGTGATACCGAGAACGAAACAGATCGCATCCAGAACGTTTGACTTGCCCGAACCATTGAGACCGGTGATGGCATTGAAAGATTCGTCAAAACCTGATATAGATCAGCGCCTGATTTGCCGTAGATATATATGACCTACCAGAGATGGTCGTTCGTACTGGATACGACTTAAAGCCTACACACAAGTCAGCACATGCGCAAGCGCCGGGCAAGTGACTTACCGTCCAGGATAAGCTCCTCGATCCTCATGTCGCCGATTATATCGCGTTGGGGATACGATGCTTATCAGAGCGTTGGGCGGAGCAGAGAATTGTCGAACAAATGGGAGGATATGGCAAGAATTGTTGTATATTCAAGTTTGGCGGAGGATCGCGTCGTTGTTGACATCCAGTCGCGTCAAAAACGGGACCAATTCCACGTGCGTTCTTTCTCATCTGCCAATTGTTTGGTTCCCCTTAAAACCTTTGTTATCAATCCACGTCAGAAACTGGCCAGTCTGAGTATCCAACCTTGCCACAAGAATACACAGTATTTCATTCCCAGATCTCTTCCGCTTCTCCCCTTTCAATCCTACCATCAATCGAACAGTCTCTCCTTTCCAAGAAGACCCCGCTCGGCCACGCTTGCTGCTTTTAGAAAAGTCTGGCAGATCAATGGATGATATGTTTCATGCGCTTTATCCTAATCTTTCTTGGAACACCATCTTTTCATATGCCCATCCTTTCCTTCATATCTACGCTCCTTACATAGCTCATGCGGAGAAGCCAGTGTACATGATATATATCAACGTCTGCAGTTCGCAAGATGGAGTGTGCTCAACCTCTGCAGTCGCTGATCTATTCCATTTCACAGCCCCCTCTAAGGACCCTCGATCCCTATATCAGAGAAGCTTCATAATGCCGTCCCAAAAATCCAGGATCATCGCCGGCCGTCGAGCCGCCCACCCCCACAAAACCAACACCCGTAAAACCCAACTCCACAACGACATTACCTCCTTGATCTCTGACATCAACCTCAGAGTCTATGCTGCCGACGATCCTGCCTCGTATACTGCCACCAACACAAAGAGTGATGTGGAAAGAGAGCGTGTCAAAGGAGGAGGCTGGGTGGGCTGGGCGGACGATGTGGACGCTTTACGCCGACCGCATGAAGAATGGACGAGACTGTTAGAAGAAGGCCGCCAGACTCGTCAATCTCTCGACCCCCTCCAAGCTACTCTGGCAAAAACAAAAGAAGCGATCCATACCGAAGCCAACACCCTGTTCAACACCAAAAACATGCCCGAACATCTTACCGAGCTTCCTTCCGTCATCCAATACACTGACGACCTCATCGAGGTTAGAGATCTACAGATGACGCTGGATAGGAACGCAGATGCTTGTAATGGGTTTTATAAAGATGTCTTGGGGGCGTTGGACAAGGATCTGAGAGAGACGTTTGACGGCATGAACGATTTGGAGGTGCCCGCCGAAGCTGCCTGGGCCAGTGTCGTCAGAGGTAGCCTTCTCCTCCAACGCGAGTCGCACCAATTCTAAAACAATCTCGCACTCAGATCCAGACTCCCCACCACCCTCTCTCCCAAAGACGACGAAGAAAGTATTCATTCTCTAGCTGGGCACTGGCACAGAATGCGAGAGTTGGCGCAAGGCGTGAGTGCCTGGAAGGAGAAAGTGTTGGATTCGATCAACGCTGGTCTTTCTGATATCGATCCTCATACATCTTGGCAAGCGTTTGTGTCGAATGGGAACAGACTCAATAGCTTGCAACCTCAAACCGTCAAAGAACTACCAGAAGGGATCATGGACGCTGAGACTGGTCTGCCGGTGGGCCCCAAGGCTTCCTGGGCAGTCGAGATGTTTTCCATAGCCGACGCTTCGGGAGAAGAAGGAACACGACATATCGAACCTCACGTCACATTCACCACCCACCCCAACTCATTTGCTCTTCCCGAGTACCCCACCTTCTCCCACGCCAAGTGGTTCAACAGCAGCCCAATACCGAACGGCGCTACATCCTGCAAAGAGGACACCGGTAACCCTGGCTCCCTGTATATTTATACGGTAGGGCAGGATATATCGCTTGCGATGCAGTATTCTGGTGTCTTGGCTGATCTGGCCGGGGATTGGGGTGAGTCGTTGCTGAAGACCAGAGCGGAGTTGGACACTGGTTTGGGCAAACTTGCGAAAGATGGTCGAGCGTTTGAGCCTGCTCAACTCGATGTTTTGCGAGATCTCGCTGATGAAGAAGGCATACTGGAAGAAGCGAAAGGGCCGATCTATAATGCCATCAAAGATATATGGCTTAGCGTCGAGGACACCCATCGGGAGGATCGACACGAGGGAACAGAACGCATCAGATCGTCTCTCCAAGACATGAGCGAGACATCTCAAGACCTCGCTCAAAGATGGCTCCACACTGCTCAGTTGGTGAATACTTTGGACATTACGCAGTCTCGCAGGGCCATACTTAACAGGCAAATGTTTATGGCTGAATCTGAAGGTGCTTCTTTGGAGATCAGCTCTCAGCTTGACAATGTCGACGAAGAGATCACAAAACGAAGACCCGCTGTAAAGGAGTCCAAAAAGAGTCTGAGGCAGGCGTTTGCCGAATACGGGTCGTTACCCATACCGAACGATGTGGAAAGTCTTATAAGTGCTCTGAGATCTCAAGACGGGAAGGATAGTATCGAGGTAGTAGATCAGATGGGAGAGGAGCAAGACGACCAGCCGCCCATGGAAGAAGACGATATACACGCCATTCTAGAAGCTAGTCGCCTCTATAGGCCTAGAAGTCAGTACATGGGTCGAAGCGTCTTTGATAATCCCACATGGAGTGATTTTAGGATCATAGATGAGAACACTTTTCAGTCTACCGTGAGTCCTGTTCTTATGTCACCCAGAAATCAACTGAGGCTTCATCGCCAGCGCGCCGACGGGTATATTGATCAAACGACCTTTGTCATCGCTCCTCCTGCCGAGCTTGAGCTTGGACGACAGATTGAGATCGATGAAGAATGCCTATCTGATGACTCTTCAGCGGATACATGAGCTAGAGAGAGTGGCAGAGACCGGACCAATGTGAGGAGATAGTGATCGGCTTTGAGAAGGAGGTGCTGCTCGAAGCTTTCATGAAGCTGCCAGATATTGGCCTGAATCAATTATAACATACTTTTGATATTAGGTGAATATATTCTACGATGCATGTGCATATGCAAGAAAGGTCGAAAGACGAATGTTGTTGTATTTGGTACGGCTTTAAGCATCTCGGCGGCGGCCGGCTGTCGGCGTTTTACGAATGACAAATATTGGAGTCGCCATCTTATCCATCTCTTTCATCTTCTCTTTCTTTCTCGATCTTCTCTATCTCTCGAGTACGCCCACCAACACGTCCACTACAAACCGCAACCCTCTCCGTCTGCACTTATCCACCCTCTTTTTCGCCCTCGCTCTCGCCGCCGCCGTACTCTCGCAGTACCCGTCCATGCTCAGAAGCCTGTTCGCCTCTTTCTCTACTACCCCCGCAAAACATACCATGGTCAATTTCAAGACACCCCCAGGACCTACAGTTCCCACCGCCGTCAAGGCGAGGGAAGAGCTCAAATCCGGTGAAGGTGGTGCGTCTGGCTCTATCGTGAAGTCACGCGATCGGAGCTGATCAATATGGGTTTGCAGTGGAACATGCTACATTCGCTTCAGGATGTTTCGTGCGTCTCGTCATCAAGAACAAATGCCCAGGCTGATGTAAGGATCGGGAATAGTGGGGCACAGAACATCTATTTACCAAGCATTTCGGCAACATTCCCAACTTTTCTGCCATATCCGGCTACACCGGTGGTCAATCCGACTCCCCTTGTACGCCCCCATCCTCTCCTCACTTTCACTGAAGTAGAAAACAAATTGACAAACCCTCAGCCTATCGCCAAGTATGCACCGGCGCCACCGGCCACGCCGAAGCCGTCAACCTCACCTATCCCACCGGTTCCATCCCCTACGCCGAACTTGTCGAATTCTTCTACCGCACCCACGACCCCACTACCGTCGACCGTCAAGGACCTGATACTGGTTCGCAGTATAGGAGTGCAATCTTCTATAATAACAAGGAGCAGGAGGACGTGGCGAGGAAGGTTACGGCGGAGGTGCAGGAGAAGTAGTACGTTTCTTCTTTTTTCTTGACATTGGGGAGTGGGTGGGGAGGTGAAGGGCTGAGGTTTGGAGAAGAAGCTTACAGAGAGCTTGAAGTTTGAAAGGCAGACCGATAGTCACCCAAATCGCCCCAGTTGGAAAATGGTTCAAGGCCGAGGACTATCACCAACACTACCGTAGGTCTCCTCTATCCTATCCCGTATCAAGGGACCGTCTGGTGAAGAGCTAATTTTGGATATAGTGGATAATAACCCCGGCGGATACGAATGCCCCACTCATCGGTTCTACTGGTAGTCGAAAAGATCAGTATCTCGCGATGGCGTTTGAGGCTGTAGATGGATGGGAAGATGGAGGCGAGGCGGATGAGCAGATGGAAAATGGATGCTAAACATCTTCTCCATATGTATCGATGTCGCTGAAGGATCCCGTGCTCCCATCATCTTGAGTCTATGAATCATGGCTTCTTCACATTGCTACACATACGAGTACTCGTCCAGAATGACTCTCTTCTTTGTGACGTTGTTTACCTTCTCTTTCGCCTCTACGTTTCGCCTGTCGATTCCAGCTTTTCTCACTTGTACCTCTCCATATCCGCCTCTTTCTTCTGATCTCGCTCCTTTTCCTCTTGCCATATCCTTCCAACAAGATCGCCTCCGCACGTACACCACTTATGCCATGACCGCTCTTGTTCACATTGAGTCTTTCTACAAGAAATGTCAGATTACACACACAAACTTTTCCTTTTCCTCGAGCTAACTCACGAGCTGGCAAGCCATTCCCTTTTTGGCGCAGAGGATCATCCTCCTTGATGAGCCCACGCAACACCTTCCGTCTCGCTCTCTGTTCCCGCCATCTCACAACTTTTCGCCTCTTTGATGCTCTCTACTGGGGCGACGGGCTGCTTGTGTCCAGTGGGCTCCGCCACCAAGCCCTGAGCGGCAGCCTCGTCGTGGTCGGCTTGACGAGGTGAAGGTGGGACTTCGGAGACGTCATTCTCTCCTACATCCTCTTCGTCGCTTCGCCCCCAGTCTTTACGCGCTGGCGCCTGTCCGGGCGATCCTCGAGGCTCTCTCGATCATCCTCTGCTTTTCGTTTCCCATTCTCGACGTTTTTCAACCATTCATGTATGTCGTTCGAGCCGTATTGTATTTCGGTGTCCAAGGTCTCCAATACTCCTGCAACAATCGTCAGCACCACATCCATTTCTGCCTTGAACTGACTCACCGTGGGAGATACTGTTATCCGACTGGGACGTTTCTTCTTCCTCATCCGACCCAGATTCGTCGCTCCCTCTTGCGCTCTTGCTCTCATCTTCTCTTTCATCTTCGCTTTCATCTTCGCTCTCATCTTCGCTTTCATCTTCGCTCTTGTCTTCATCTTCAGACACGTCCGTATGATATCCGTCACTAAGGAAGAGACTCTCACTCATCACCACTGCCCAGACGTGTTCCACAAAAGTTATGAAATCCTCGTATTCATCCTCTTCATCCTCGCTCTCATCACCAAGGTCATAGAATGGAGCGAGTCGCTGAAGTGAGAGGGGGTGATCGGGGGGAAGGTCGGGCATACTGAAGTCGGGGATACTGAAGTGAGGGGTACTGAAGTCAGGGATACTGAAGTCAGGGATACTGAAGTCGGGGGTACTGAAGTGCGACATGGTGGATGTGGAGACGGGGAGGATGGCGGGAGGAGGAACAACGAAGCAGTAGTGAATCTAGTGATGAACGCGTCCTGTCCTTTAGACAATGTCCCGCTACGCTTGAAAGATGTTACTTCAACTTATGTCCCTATGTCTACTGTCGCTCATGAAAATCGTGATGAAAACCATGTATACAGTCGCTGCCAAGCTCGTTCAAAACAGATGATACATCATACTGGCTACAAACATAACTTCTTTCCCTGTTTCCTATTCTCCTAGACCTCCAACCGATTATTGGTTGAAGAGGTTCTTGGCCTTGTCGGCAATAGAAGACTGGTTGTCGTTCTTGTTACCAGAGACGGCGTCACCAATCTCCTGAGTATAAGACTTCTCGGATTGGGGCTGGCCGGTAGAGGCGGCAGACTATCCACATGTCAACACATGTCCAAGAGAGAAAGAGAGAAGAAGACTCACGTCAGCCTTGCCCTTGATGGTGTCACCAGCCTGCTCGACGTAAGACTTCTCAGAGTCGGGCTTCAAGGCGGCTCCGGCCTTGTCGGTGAAAGATTGCCTGGCAGCGTCGGACATTGTTGATATAGTTTATGTGTGTGTGTGTGTGTGGGGGTGTGTGGTGAAAGGAAGTTGTTGATGAAAGAAAGGAATTCAGATTAATGGGTTGTTTATATATGCATTCGGGAAGCCGTCTGACGTGCTGTCACCTGTACACTGACGTAGCTGCCCCAGGAGATGAATGACGATCGGGTCAAGATCGGGTGGAGATTCCAGTGGAGACGCGTCATAGGGGAGCAGGAGTGGAGGCCGGAATCAAAAAACGGGATCAAAAGAATGCCATCGAACCAACATCGAACACTTGCATCCTTTATGACGCGGGGCGACTATGGGCTGACGTCAATGGGCACTCTTTTTTGCGTGCTTTAAAAGCGGACGACTTGGCTTTTTGCATCTTTCTCTCCATCATCTCACGACTTGCAAACACTTTCACGCACACACCCACCCATACAAACACACAAGCAGAATGTCCAACCCCCAAGATCTCCTCAACAACAACCCCGGTCTCGACACCAAGCACGACTCTGCTGGTGCCAAGCACCCCGACCTCAACACTGCCGGTCCGTCCTTTCTACCTACTTGTTTTCCATCATCGTCTAATGTTTTTTCAGGTGGTAACCCCAAGACCAACACCGAGTTCGAGTACGCCCCCGAAAGCGCCCACTCCCGACTCGACGGCAAAGACCAGCGTACCCACGGCTCCGCCCTCGCCGACGCCAAACGTGTCGAAGAGCTCGAGAAAAAGGTCCAGGCCCAGCACGAGGAGGCTTTGAAGCACCCCACCAGCGTCGCTACCCAGCACGGTAACGAGCCGTCGAGGGGTGCCAAGAAGGATGAGCAGTTGGTGCAGGACGAGGAGGAGGAGTTGAAGAAGAAGGATGAGGCGAAGAAGCAGTCTCAGGAGGCCCACAAGTCCAAGCACCACTAAGGATGGGGTGAGAGGCGGATAATGATAAGGGGGTTTACACTGTAGCATAGCGCATTATCTAACGTATAGTCATTTTGCATGTTTTTTTTCTGCACTCTTATCGCATGACTGGTTCGAGGCAACGTTGCAGGCGATTTTGACAAGATGGACACACATGCTAGGTGCGGTGACTGATCTTGGGGACGAATCGATGACTGGCGACAGGTGAGTATATCATCCTAATGCCCAACCGGCTCCCAGGCTGGAAGAGTTCACAAATCACAACTTACAGTACATACGACTTACCGATACAATTCATGTTCCACTTTCTATACAATCATCGACAGCATTCTCATCACCAATGCCACAGTGGGAACCTTGGCCGTTCCTACAACACTGTTCGACCCAGCCAAACCCTACTTTGGAGGTTGTTGAGAACCAGTTGAAAAAGGCGACAAAGAAGCATTCGAGGCCCTTGACCGCCGAGCCCGAGCCCGAGCAGTGGACCAGTGGACGATGGAGATGAGAATGGAGGTGGGGATCAACAAAGGGAGAAGGGACGAGCATTCAGAGCTGATAGGCCATCTCCGAAACACCGCGCGTTATCTCCCGGCCATCCCGCGATCCCGACTTCTTTACACCGTTCCCCTTTTAGCGTCTTCAGGCTCGTCGCCTATTGGCCATACATGTATCAACGACAGGGGATATTCCCGGGGTGGGGTATATAAAGCAGGCCATCCACTCCCCTTATGATCCATATATATATACAAAAATCAAACGAGCACAACAATGTCTGAAAAGCTCTTTCTGAACAATTCCCTCCCAAACCTCACGGCTGTACGTCCAGCTCCCTCTCTCCTTTTTAGTACAGGGCTAATGAAGATGCTTCTACTAGCTGTTGCTGCCAAGCTCCCCGGCCTCCTCTTTTGTGGTGGTCAGATTGGGCAAGGCGAGATCAAAGCGGCCACCGTAAGTCCCTTCTTCCCTCTTTCTTGGAAGCTGGATGGATACTGACGATGGATGCTGTGTTGGATATAGTTAACGGCATTGACCAACCTCAAGGCTGTTCTCGAACTCGGAGGCTCGACTTTGGAGGATGTCGCCAAGGTCAACAGTGCGTTCTCCATCCCCTTCTCATTCCCCTCCACCCCTTCTCTCTTCTCCCTGCTCTCGTACCCCAGACCAGAGTACTAACCCAGAACACAGTCTTCCTCAAGAACATGGACGACTTTGAGGCCATGAACTCGGTCTACACCACCTTCATGCCCACGCCCAAACCCGCGCGGACATGTATCCAGGCCGGCCGATTGCCCGGTGGTGAGACGACTGCTATTGAGATTGAGTGCATTGCCCGGGCTTAAACCTCGAGGCTTCAGGGTTCAAGGGGGAGGAGGTGAAAGAAGAAGAAAGACGGAGAAGGGGAGATAGGGTTATGTCTCGGGCTACCGACGCGACCTGTTACATTCATGAGGGAGAGAGCTGAGGGATTAGCGGGTGTACTCGTGGCACTACATGCACCTGTCCCTTCCTTCCACCATAGCCCAAAATTGACAAAGCGAGAGCATGTTTGCATGACTGTCAACCATCTCTCGTCATCTATCCGTCTTCGTCCACTGCCGGATGGCTACCCAACGACCTCTGCACTTCACCGCCCCTTACTTTTCAATCTCTTCCTCACGCCCCTCATGCTCACTGACAGGTAACACATCAACAGAGACGAGATGTGTCTTGCTATCAAAAGCCTGGGAGATCTCTTCCAGCGTGTATCCCTTCGTCTCCACCATATCTTCATTTCCATTAGCTCTGTCCACGCACAGAAAGGAGAGAAGAACGTACAGTAATATGTCAGGATCCACTGAATGACGACAAGCGGCATATAGACAGCATAGTATTTCCACCCAATAGAGTCGAGAGCGACGGCGTCGACAAAGGTCGTATAGGCGCCTTCGAATTGTTGGACAGTGTTCCATACGAGGAGACCTTTACTTCGCATGGAGAACGTTTGCACCTCCGCAGGGTCTACGACCAAATCAGCTTCTACCCAGGAGGTTGAGAGGAGGGAGCATACAAGAGTAGAGTACAGGGTTGGCAGCATTGAAAAACCCAAGATACACCCAGACCAGCGCCACCGTCGCTATCCCAGCATGTATATTACCTCCCTCCGTATTGGCATATACTCCACTCGCCGCGCAGAGCCCGACAAGACTCGCTAGCAGAGTAGGCCAGACCCAAAGCAGGATCTTGCGGCGGCCGACGTATCTTCCAACCCATACCGCTCCAAGCTGGCAAAACCAGGTGAAGAAGGAGAGACCGGCGTTGATACCTGTTTGAGTGGTAGCGTCGGTGATGCCGACAGAGTCGAAGACGGTGGTGTAGTAGTAGTAGATGATGGATGAGCCAGACATCTGCATAGATGTCAGTGAGGGTTCGATGAAAGAGAAGGGGGCGTACGGCAGTGAGAAAGGTCATGAGCATGGCCAACCCGAGCCTATGCCTATTCGCAGGACTCTTCAAAATGACACCCCACCTCTCCGCTTTCGCCTCCTTCTCCCTCCTGATCGCCTCCTTCATCTCCGCAAACTCAAACAACACCAGCGCATCCTGCCTATCCCCATTCCCGTGATAAGTGACCAGAAATTCAAACGCTTCCTCGTCCCGGCCTTGGGCCAGCAAGAAACGAGGTGTTTCGGGGATGAACTGGACGACAACGACCATGTAGAGGGCGACGGGGACTTGGATGATGTATGGGATACGCCAGGACCAGGAGGAGGTCATGTAGCCTGTACAGCCGAAGATAACCCAGGCAGCGATGACGGCGCCGAGGATCCAGTAAGAGTCCTGACAGCAAGGTCAGCGTGTTCAGGGGAGAAGAGAGGATGCTTACCCAGGAGGCGGCGATGGTGGCTCGACTTCGGGGGTGGGTGATCTCTTGGACGACGATGAGGCTGGTCAGGAGGAAAGAGGCGAGACCGAGGCCGATGATGCAGCGGCCGGCGATGAAGACTGTGCACATGTCAGATTAATCTCGAAGGGCAGGGAATTACTCACGAGCGTAACCATTCGCCCCGGAGACTCCAGCAATACATCCAATGATAGATCCAATGAGCATAGTCACGCCGTAGACTGAACCCATTTCAGCGACGACTGCCACATGCGATGGAAAGACTCACATCGGATACCCCATCGTCGTCCCCATGTCTCATCAATGTAGGTGATGATCGGTCCAACAACCAGACCAGCAATGAACCCGACAGCGTTGAGCATACCGAGCCGAACGCCAGTGGGGTAGCCGAGGTCTTCTTGCCAGGCGTCGGACGCTTGGAGGCCAGAGATGAGCGAACCGTCGTCTGCGCTTTGTTAGTAAGCTGTGCATGGAGGAGACGAAAGGGACATACAGCCGTTAAGAACCATGCCGACAAAAATCACACTCAGAAAGCTGCCATCATAATCAGCCAAAGTCGACAGGAAAAGAACGACGTACAAATTGAGCTTCATTTGACCTTTGTTCTGATACCATTTGAGATGATCCGAGCAGTTCGGGCTATATTCCCATCAGCTCTCTCCCATTTCGATAACCATCATATACTCACATGCTTTGCCAATCCAAAGCTGTCATACTACCAAGACAAGTGAGCACTCAAACCACTGAAGGCAACTGGCGAGCAGGCATTATCCTGTTCCCGCTCAGACGGTATATTCTCAGCACAGGATTCACCAGTCAGCCTCCTCATACTCGAGAGAGGCCAGACTATGAAAGTGACCTGGCACCCGTGTTGCTTTCAATCATGCTCGGAAGCTGATGTCGCGTGCAAACGTTGCTCTGTTGAAGAGACTTTTTGGAGACCGTCGAGGCGGGTCGCTTCGTTGTATGACCTTACCGCATTGTTTTGCAGTATACTGACCTGAGCCTTGATACTTTGTAGATGCTTTGGGTGATGAAGAAAATATGGACAAGGGGAAAAAGAGGTTCCAAGAAAAGGGGATGGCATTTTAATTGTCGCTCGAGTAGTGCATTTGATAGGGGACTTTTCGATGGAACTCGCGCGCCGAAACACGGATGAGTCTAGGAACAGTGTCTCAAAGCGGGCCTCCGTCCGCCGCTGATCGGTTGACTCGACTCTTCGTAGCTTTTTCTTTGCCATATGCATGCATAGCATGTCTCTAGCAGCAGAGCACGCTCAGCACGTTTGAGAGCAAAGAGTCTCCACTTGATCTCTGCTATGGTTGATAGCTATAGAAGATAGTCCCGGGCTCCTGGCTGCGTTACTGCGACCACCAACCTTTTTTGAGTCCGCGTTCACTCGCTTATGGAGAGACTGGGGTCTTCAATTACTTTGAGGTTCCTATGCAAGATAGTTCTCGTAGCGAGGTAGATAGGATCTTGGTCTTGAACGACGTCTGAGAGTACATCACAGCAGAAGGAAATAATGCGGCGTGCGCGCAGCAGTAGATTTGATGGACGACGGGAGTTTCTCGTTGGTAATAATGTTGAATGATCAAGTCCAACTTTGACTTCAATGTGATCTAAGCCTACCATCAGCAACTGACAGAACTCTGTTCATGTTAGCGATGTATTGTACTACGTCCCAAAGAGCATGTCGCAATACAGTCGCATAAATTTCCGGCTCACAGAAGAGTCGGTCCCTCGTAGGGTTGAGAATGACTACGTAGGATGATGTCTTCTCCTGAACCACCCCTTTTCGAACATGTATAGTGTCTCATCTCTACTTACCCTTCCAAACGTCCCTTTCTATCATGCTGCATCACATACGTCCCTTCAACCAGGTCACTTCTTCGATGCATCGAGCACGCTGGCCGCTGCCGAGTACTGGAGCAAGATGACGACGCCTTGGTTATTCGGCCCGCCACCTGATCCCCACTGTCCGCCAACGCCTCAAACTACCCTTGGAGTGGGCTACCATCTGCCAATGGGTATATAATGCCATGTACCACTACCATGCCCACTCCATCCATGACCGATGAATCCGAAACAAACGGATAGGGAAGACTGGAAACGGAGGTCCGCCAGGTGCCACATCAGGGAAGTGCCTGCGATTGTGACTGTGCCTAGATCAGATTGCCTTTTTTCTCCGCTCCATAAAATCCACCTCGCTCCATCGCATTTCTTTTCTTTTCTTCATCCCCACCTTTTCTTGTCCACTTTCTACTCTTTTTAAATTTGAGGTCAGTAAGGATCAGCCAACACACTGGAAAATGCGGTAAGAGCGCAACAACACCGACGACGGTCAAAAAATCTCCACTTCCTCAAGGAAAGGCTGTTTGCACACGACATCAAGGCTCCTTCCTCGCTCTCTGCCTCCAAAAGCCTGCACCCCAACCCTAACCCCATGTGCTTTGTGTGATAAAAGAGGTCATAGCAGGAGGAGTCGTGGTTGAAGAGCAACACGGGTGCCAGGTTCTCGCCTTTTATAGCCGGCCTTCTGTCCAGAGGGCTGGCTGGGTGGACCTGAGCTGAGATCATACCGTTGAGCGGAACAGGATAATGCCTGCGTCGCTAGTTGCTTTCATGGATCGGAGTGCTCACTTGTTTGCAGTAAGATGGTAGCGCCAGACTGGCAGAATATGTGAGTTATGCCCCGTCTTTTCCCGAAGAGTGTCGCCGCTGACAGGTCTACCCAGTCCCAATGCGTCCGATCACCTCAAGTGGTATCAGAACAAGGGTACAATCAAGCTCAACTTGTAAGTTGACCTCATGTTCCCCGATCAGACTTTCGCTGACGTGCTATGTAGTTTTCTGAGTGTCATCTTCGTTGGCATGTTCCTTAATGGCTGTATGTCGTGTGTGTCTGACATGCTCAGCAGCTAATCCAATACACAGACGACGGCAGTCTTATCTCCGGTCTCCAATCTTCCGACTACTGGAATGAAGATCTCAACTATCCCGAAGGCGCCCGACTTGGTCTTTTGAACGCTATCGGCTATATTTCTGGTTTCCTCGTCGGCCCAGTCATTACCTACATCGACGAGCAGTGGGGCAGGCGATGGGGTATCCGATGTAAGCTCTTGTCATTTGCTCCGTGTCCAAATACTGACTTGGCATAGTCTATGGTGTTACTATCCTGGTAGGAGCCGTCATTGGCTGTATCGCCGGTGCCTCTGGCGCTTCTGGTAACGCTGGTTATGGCCGTGAGTCGACTGCCTATACATTTGCGTGTCACAGCTGACGCAAAACTCAGTCTTCCTTGCTGGTCGATTCATCATCGGTCTCGGTCTCACATCCTTTTTGATGACCAGTCTTGCCGTCGTCCAGGAGATCACCCACCCCCGAACTCGAGAAGTCATCGCAGCGTCCTGGGTATATTCCCTTCACATTTACCCTTCCTGCTCCATACTGACTTGTACTAGAACTCGTACTACATCCTCGGCAACGTCATAGCCGCCTGGGTCGTCTTTGGCTGCAGCTACATCACCAGCTCTTGGAACTGGCGTATCCCCTACATGATTCAAGTCCCCATCGCCCTCTACCTCCTCATCGCCGTCCAATTCGTGCCCGAAACCCCGAGGTTCCTCATGGACAAGGGCCGCGTCGACGAGTGTTTCGACTTTTTGGTCGAGTACCATGGCAACGGCAATCGCCAAGACCCATTGGTGTTGTTTGAATTTGAGGAGATGAAGGAGGCTATCGCGATGGAGAAGGAGGCAAAGGCGCAGAAGTGGAGTATCATTCTTAAGGATAGGTCGAACAGGCACAGGTTGGGCTTGACGTTGTTGATGACTTTCTTGACCAACGTCAGGCTACCCTTTACCCTCTCCCAAACTTCAGCTGACATTTCCAACAGTTGTCCGGTAACTCCATCATCTACTTCTACTACACCATCGTCTTTGACTCTGTCGGCATCACTGACGCCACGACTCAAACGGGTATCAATGCCGGTCTCGCATTCTTCACCTGGTTCTGCCAGCTCGGCGCAGTGTGGACTGGCAAATACATTGGCAGGCGCAAGATTATTCTTTGGGTTTGGGCGTTCCTCCTCTTCTCCCTCGTTGGCCTTTGTGCTTCTAGCGGTGTCTACTACAAAACCGAGAACGGTAACACGAGCGCTGGTATCGCTACCGTAGCGCTGGTCTGGATCTACCTCGGTTTCTTCAACTTTGCCTGTCCCATCTTGTACTCTTGTACGTCTGCTTCCACACAAGGTTGCTCACATGCTAACCCATGGTGATAGATCCTGCCGAGATCCAGACTTATTCTATGCGAAGCAAAGGTCTTCTCATTTGGAGTACTGTCCAGCAGTTCCAAGGTGCCTACGTCGTCTTTGTCGATGCCATCGCCCTCGACGCTATCGGCTACAAATACTACGCCGTGTACATGCCTCTCGTCATCATCCAATTCGCCCTCGCCTACTTCTGTAAGCCTCCCTTACCCCTTTTTATGCTTGTATACGGTGCTGACTTGATTACTAGATATGGTCGAGACGAAAGGCTACACGCTCGAGGAGATTGCGACTGCCTTCGATAGCAAAGAGAGCCTCGCTCTGGTTAATGTGTTGCCGGCTGTTGAGGAGGAAGGATTCGTGGATGAGGAAACCGACTTTAAGGACAGGAGGAGTACCGAAGCTGCCAACCAGTAGTTTTTGGGAATCTCCAAGCGATCGGTGTGACTGGGATTGGGAATGGAGGCGATGAAGCGTCTATAATGTCTGGATCTGTGCTTTTTGAGTGCTATGCAATGGGAGTGTTCTTGACAATCAGCCGGTCTCTACGTCGCGTGCAACAGAAGATGTTTGGCCCGACTATTCCTTTTGCTATATAATCCCTAATAACCACCCCTTCGTATGACCCTCCGTATCTTTGGGTGCATACAGCATATAAGCACATGCGGCCGGCCAGAACAACAACTGCGACGGGAGGATGCACCCCCTGCCAATCTCCGCCCTCCCTCCGACTTCACCTCCACGCCGACCGCGCCCCCTCCCAAAGACGACCTGGTCGCCAATGTCCTCTACACAGTCCAGTTCCCAACATATCTGAAGTACGCCCCAGGCTCAGTCGAAAGGGTCTTCATCCGCAAAGTCGACGCTCTATCAGGCCTGTGCCTCGACGAGCGAACTGCTCCGAATCTCTACAGCCTATTATCTATACCCAAGCTCAAATAGCAACCGGGATATGTAATCCCGAATGCACCCCATCTACATCGCCCGCTTTCAGGCCCTGTGAGTTTGCATAGCAATGGAAGAACTGCATAGCCTCAGAGCCAACCACAGGGGACGGCCTGCCGAATATCCCAGGCACGCTAAGCGCGAAAGTCCGTTATCAATTTCTTTCTCAGCCATCGTCTTGCCATCTACAGATTCCCCTGCATGCCATTTCCCTCGCCACTCATACCATCTTCTCCTCTCTCCTCGCCAGCTATGCCCGCCGTAAAAAAAGAGACGTCTTCCTCCTCGTCCTCGTCCACCGCTGTCCAGCGCACCAAAGCCTCTCGGTAAGATCGCCAGCCTCAGACCGTCCCCGCACCGCGGATCCAGCTGATACCTTGGCAGGTCCAAAGATGGTTGTTTGGTTTGCCGCAGCAGGAGAGTCAAGTGCGATCTCGGAAAGCCAGAGTGTGAAAAGTGTAAAAAGTATGGAGCAGAGGTGCGCGAGAATCATGCCGTAACTTGGGGAAAGAGAGCTCATCGACAGCAGTGCAAGTACCCGGAGAAGAAACCTTACGACAAGCAGGAGATAGCAGACAAGCTATGGAGACGACACCACCAAACTCCCCGGTCTTCAGCAAAGGCAGATCCTCTTCAAGATGCCCCTCAGCAGCCGATCCCGCCACCGCCTCCGCCTTCCCTGGCACGAACAGTGTCAAGAGGCCCTGATATTTCTCCTGCTGCACCGTCCCCCTTGTCTACCTCCCGACCGACATCCTCCATCCGTGCATCGAGACACAACACTCCCCCGAATGGGATGTTTGTCGTGCAGTCGAGAAAGCTGGACCCGTTCGAGCTGTTGATGGCGCTTTGTCGGGATACGCGGATGGGACAGTTCTTTTCTGATCCTGTCGACCCGCCAGATTTTTTGCGAGAGGCTTTCCCAGATGCTGATGAGTTGCGATGCGTAAGATGCAATCCCTGGTATATCTTCCCACTGACGCATCGCACAGTTTCACCATTGCTTTACATACACTCTGTCCACTTTTGTCACCCACGAAGAAGTCAATCCATGGATAGACCATGTCGTCCCGCTTCTCATGTTCCCTTCAGGTAACGCACCCATGAGTACCCAGGCGTTGAAGCTAGGGATACTTGCCACTGGTGCGGTACATCTAGCATCGTAAGTCTTTTCCGCTTGTCATGCACGCCAAACTGACCGTCTACAGGCTCGAAGAGAAGGGTAGCGCGCCAGATTCAGCAGGTCATACGAAAGCACTAGCCTATCGCTACCGGGAAGAGGGTATGAAAATACTGCGTATAGCTCAGCGGATACCTATAGAGATGGCATCCGATGATTTTCTGGCGGCGGGTTCGATGTTTTCCTGGGCCGATGTGAGTTTCTCGTTCTTGTATCGTCAAGTCACTGACAGCGTTCACAGTTCCTTGGGGCAAACCCCAACTGGGGAGAAGTCTTGCGGATCTGCCATGCTTCCATCCGGTATCGCGGTGGCTGCGAGGTGATACTTTTTGGGGTCAACGGTACAGCAGCTCCGACGCCACTGGCCCAGACGCTCATCGAGTTCTTCGTCTTGGTCGATATCTGCTGTAAGCACTAACCCTCATATCGCATGACCCGAGCTGATGATATGTACATAGCCGCCTTGGGAATAGGCAAGCCATGCGTCGTATTGACGGAAGCTTCGGACTGGTGGTGGCGTCTTCGACCTCAAGACCCCGACGCACCTGACGTACGTGATCAAACCATGCCATCGCTCATCGCTCATCATATTATACAGTCCTTTGAGCTTAGTATCGGCTGGAGTCGCGACCTCGTGATGCTCATCGTCCGTCTCACCAACCTCCTCGCCGAAGCCGCCCACCTATCCAGCTACATAACCCCTCCACCAATCCACGCCCTCCTCCTCGGCCGTCCCGATTTCCCTCAACGAGTCCTCGATATCTGCTCTGCCCTCGATACGTGGAGAAGAGACATTTACCCGACAATCAAGACTAGTAGGGCAAGAGGCGGGTCATTGGCAATGTGGTATGGCTTGCAGATTATGTTGTTAAGGGAGCTGTTGGGAAAGGCAAGGGAAGACGCGGTTGTACAGGCGCATGCGGACGAGATCTTTTCCATCTGTGAGACCATTGGAGCAAAGCTGGAGGGCATGAACTGGGCGAGTCTGTCTCATGTATACTCCAAGCGCATAGCTAATGATAATGCAGCCTCTGACAATCGCCTGCTCTGTCACAGTCGACCTTCAGAAACGGGAGCGCGCACGCCGAGTCATTTCATCCTTCATCTATCAACTATCCTACGAGCTTCACGCTCTCGAAACAGTAGTGGAAGAGTGTTGGCGGCGGATCGACGCGGGGCAGGATGACGAGGCTTGTTCGTGGAGGGTGATCCCTGTAGAACTTGGATGTGCTGTGCCTTTGGGATAAATACTTTATGGTAGGGGGGTATGATTTTACATGTTGTATAGCAAGTATCAGGGAAGGGAACATGTAGTGCGTGTCAGGAAACTTGGGAGGAAATGGGTGTCCTCGACTTCGTCGTCGGCCCAGGATGTGGGAAAGTCGTCTTCCTCTGATCGCAAGAATGGCGACTCGCTGGAGCTTTGGCGTATGGTCAGTCGGGCTATTGTTCGGCACAGAGATGGTTCTTACCCGTCTTCGAGCATGAAGCCAGTACTCGCCACAGTCGCCTCTTCTTTCTGGACCACGGCCACCTCTTCTCCATCCGACTCGGGCTCATCATCCACGATCGGCGCGTCCTTCGGGCTATCACACCCATCAGTCACCCTGCCTCTCACATATGCTAGACATACATGAAAGATTGCCTCAGAGGAGAAGGTACAACGGGATAATACCCCACAAGCTGCCTGTAGGATGTCGACTTGATGCCGTACATGAGGACGCGCTCTTTGAGTGATGCACGGTATTCGAGCCACAGTGTTCTTCGGGTTCGGCAATTCACTTCGTGCTGCCTTGTTTCTTCTTCCTCACTGTGCAAGCCCGTGTTATAGGATGCCTCATAGGGGTGAAGGTTGACTACTCACCTGACCGCCTCCAGCTGCTCGATCTTATTTGTCAATGAGGACATTTTCTGCTGCACTCTGCTGTTGTTGTGGATAGGCCTTGTGGTGGGTTTAAACCGTCGTGGAAGATGAATGTAATAATGTGGTAGGTAGATACTATTCTGAAGGACATTCGGAGTGTTATATATGCATCGGGCTCAGCTGAGGAAGCAGGAAACAGTATCCGCTGCACCTGCGGAATCACGGCGGAAATGAAGTTGAGTGAAACTCATCGGGGCGCCTTCCAAGAAAACGTTGAGCGGCACCTCCCGGTCCTCAATACTGGCATCCTCCGGCTCATTGTGCTCGAACATCCTGCAGGCGCTCTCGGAGTTGGTCGAGCAGGAAGGCCCGGGAGGGAGGTACGAGATGGGGCTTCGAGGTGTGTCAAGGGGGCTACCTTCCTTAGGCTATGCCTTCAGAGGTCGCCGAGGGGTAGAGACGAAATGGTCTGAGAAGTCGAAGTGAGTGGCCAGACCAATGCCGAAGGAAGATAGCGTTTGTACGAGTGTGTTGAGCGAGAGAGAAAAGTGTGTACTAGAGAAGATAACAATATTGGATCGACGAAGTATCTACAGCTATGGAGACACGTCCTTATATACCCTGGCACCTCAAGTCTGCTTACTCATCGTATCCTCCGTCGAAACCTCTAGAATCAACTACATCGGCCAACCTGGTGGCGAAAGAATGTTCTCGAAAGTGGTGGAATGGGTTTGCTCTCTCTATCTCCGCGTATTTCCATTCTTGCCCGTGAAGGTTTGATCTCGAAGGCGGTGCTGGTATAGCTCGGCCGCGGAGGTAGATGGATGGATGTTATAGTCAGATGGTGGCAAGATGTGGGCTCGACGCGGACGTGGGAGGTGGAGGTTCGGGTGTTTGGCTCGGGTGTTTGGTCAAGTGGCGACAGCCACGTGACAAGGTGTTAGGCTTGAGCGCATCGGGATTGAGATGAAGCGAGGCCGTTTGTAAGAGGTTTTGGAGCTTCATAGAGGCTTTGACACTGAGGAAATCGTTCGATTGAGAGCATACCCGATGACACCTGACGAATGTGGCCTGAATACCTTCTGCAGGAGCTCATCTGGCAAGCGGAAGGACCCCATGAGGATCGGGTACTTCCTATGGGATCGGCTTGCTTTGAGGGCGGGAGAGTTGTCGCTGTACCGTGGCCCCTTGCCCACCAGTCGCTCTATCATCGAGGCCATGTTGTTAAAAAGTGAGCGAACCTGAGATGACATTCAACCATATGTAGACAGCCTGAGAACGAATGCGGATTTTGCAAGCTCTTCACAATTAACCAATTCTCAATCGTATAACGGTCAGTATGCTCGCTTGTCATCGTTTAATGGCATTGCGCGGGAGATCAGGGTTCGATTCCCTGTTGGGAAGTTCTTTTTGCTTTCTGTTCTTTTTGCCTGCCAGGCTCATCATCCTTACCATCCTCCATCTCCCCCTCTGAATCATCCACTTCCATTTGCCCATCTTCGGGGTATTGATCTCTTGCGCCATCCTCCTTGCTGGGCGGGACACACCATCGTCATCATTGATGGGCGCGGCATCATTGAACAACGCGTGAACGCAAGTTGCGGGATGGCGACCTGGTGGCGACGGCGCTCTATTGCAGCTCGGCTGAAGCCTAAGGGCGACGATTGCTCGTAAGACATTGCTTAGGGATAGCTGGATAGCTTAGCTGGTTAGCAGAGCTTGTATGAAGAGTCCTCGCATAGCCAATTGTCCATAATATACATGACTGCTCTTCCAAGCAAATTAACGATACCAAGACGGCCTTCTCCTTCTCTATATAATAATGTCCATATCACTCTCCATATATATCGAAATGTCCATCGAAAAGCACCTCTCTCTAGCTGTCTCTCCATATCTCCCCTACTCAAACGACATCCCACGCATGACTGGTTGTTGCCAACTCGCCACATCAGCCAACAGCCCGAGGGCGCTGGTCTGCTCCAAACGCGCTTTTCCCTCAACATAAAGGATAGCATGCCACATCAAATCGAGGCCGTTGATCTCATCGGGAGGGGGTGTGATGATGATTCTGGGGGAGATTTTGCCATCGACAGTACTGCAAAGGTCGATCAGCTTTCCGAAAACGACAAAGCGGGGTTGGGAAGGGGCTTACGTCTCGGGGAAGGAAGAAGACGGGTTGGAACCCTTGCCCCGAGGGCGTTCGGCGGCTCGCCGGGATTTGATGACCTTGCTCTGGAGCTCTGGGTCGTTGGTTCTGTTTCAAACAGTCAGCGCTGGTTTACGTGCGGTGGAAGAAGCGCGACTTACTTGGCTTTGGGCTTGGGCTTGGGACTGGACTTGGTAGTCTTTGACTTGCTGGGTGGGGGAGGTGGGGAAGCAGTTGGGGAGGCAGGAGCAAGGGCAGAAGCAGAGGAAGAGGCAGAGGCAGGAGGAGTCTGCGCGCGCGGCGGCCGGCGGAGATTATAGGTTGATGTGACGGGAGACTTCTGGACGGCCATTGTGTTTGGTTCGGTTTGGTTTATTTTGCCTTTGGTGAGTTGTGGATGACAAAGAGAGAAGAGGGATACGTTTGGGGCCAGGTATATATCTGCCTGTCGCATACCCGCAGTGGTTCATGTCCACAGCACTGGTTCCGCCGTTTCCCGCAAAGGACCAACCTGTTTCCGAATGTCCTGTGGCGATGGTACATCGCTGTTCCGCCGAAAGTACAGACTTGGGGTAGTGATCCCTGAGGGTGGGATGCTTGGTGATGTCATGGACGGCCGATGCAAGTCCAAGAACGATGATGTGGGGTGATATGGCTCACACGAGAATGTATGAGATGGGGTGGCGAGGCTCGGCCTATGCAGTAAACATGCTTTCATAACTACATTCTCTCACCAATACGATAATATACAACCCCCCCTGTGCCCTCTAAACAACGACCAACCCCTTCCCCACCACCTCCTCCGCCAACCCCTCCACCCTCCTACAAACCTCCCCAACCCTCTCATCCCACCTCTCCCCCCACCCAACCTTCTCCACCTCCTTCTCCGCTTTCACCACATTCAGCCCTCCGGCCGTGCCTCCTTGCTCTGCATCGAGGGCCTGGTGGGTTGGGGGAGGGTGGAAGAAGAGGAGGTTGTTGGGCTGGTCGATCCAGCCGGGGAGACGGGATTGTTGGATCATGAGGCGGGCGGTGCGTTCGGCTGTGGAGGGGGGGAGGGAGAGGATGGAGCCCAGGGAACCGAATGAAATATTGTCGTACACCTGTCTCAAGTCAGCGGGACCCGGGGAAGAAGAGGAGGGCTTACCTTGGCACAAGCACCGATATTGTGCTCCCTAATCGCTCGCTCAAGGACCGTCCCGCCACCTTCCACAGTCGCCCTCTGATGCCCCTCCAGCCCGCTCTCAAACTCTCGCACCTCCTCCGCCCTTACGATCCACCCTTCCAGCATCTTCTTCAACATCCGACCCAGCCTGCCCGGCAGCTCTTGGTGCACGCGGTCGTCCCTGTTGAGGGAGGCGAGTATGCGGGATCGGCGTGGGCCGGAGGGGGCGAGGATGGCGGTGGTGACGGAGGCGGAGAGGATCTGGAGACGGTCTGTGGGGTCGATGGAGGGTTCGAGGGAGAGGGTGTGGTATGCCTGGGCGGCTTTGTCGAATTCGTTGGAAAAGTCGGATAGTTTGGCCTTTTGCTCTCGTCAGCTTCGTACTTGTATACGAGGGAGACGTACAGCTGCGAAGCGCATAGCGAGACGGGTCTCTTTGTCCTGGGGAGGAGGCAGGTTGGTAGCCCTGTTGTAGTATGTCAAGGCCATACCCCATTCACCGCACTGCTGCCGCATCAGCCATCATCATCGTCTGTATAAGAAGTCGTACCTCGAGGAAGAGGCGAACGATGGACATCCATAGCTGGAGCTTGTCGTTCTCCGATACCATGCGGGAACCACTGTCGACCTGGATGGCCATGAGCGCGCGGGCGGCCCCTTCATAGTCTTCCTCGAGCGTGAGGAGATGCGAGTTGAGATGCCTCAGAACGGCCACCTGTCGCCTGTCAGCCATGCCGAGCAGCCTCAGCAATACGCACCTGCTCATCACTTCCCCCAAGGTTCCCGCCCTGCAATATCCCCTCCACCACATCCCGCCTGGCTTCCTCACCCTTCTCCCCCTGGAACGCCTGCTTTCCCAGCTCCTCCCACTTGGCCTTGTCCCCCTCTCCCTCTTCGTCCAGCGGTATTGTCGCCGTCCCCTTCAGCTCCAGTGTCGTCCCCGCCGTCACCGCCACGAGGAATGCGCCCAGGACGCGACGACCGAGGGCGGAAGTGATATTATTTCCGCCGGTAAAGTGTTCGGCAAATGCAATGTAGGATGCCGAGTCGTGGGGGTGGTCCGAGAGAATGGAGGCGAGGAGGGAGAGGTATGCGGTGGGGCGGGCGGCTTGCGGAGAGGAGGCGGCGGTGGATAGGGCTGAGGAGATGTCCATGGTGGGTGATGATGTGGATGAGAGATGGTCAAGTGTGCCAGAGTGCGTTTTGGGTGCCATGCATAGGGCCGCCTCTGACTCTCTTCCAGTCTACTCTACTTCATCCCGCCCATGCATGCGCCCGCCGACGCTGCCGCCGCTGCTTTCCACGGCACCCCGCCCGCCGTCACCAGCGTCGTCGGCACCCCGCCAAAACACCTCCACCCAAATCCTCCAAATCCTCCAATTTTGTCTCTCTTCACCACCCTTCTCCAACACCTCAAATGACCTCAAACGTTGCTTCCCAGCCAAGTCTGTTCGGCGACCCCTCCATCGCGAGTTTGTCCCCGCCCTCAAGCAGGAAAAAGAGCTGATGGGAAAAGCAGGACCATGCGGTGGCAGGACTCGGCGCAGGGACGGTGGCTACCCTCGTCATGCACCCCCTCGACTTGGTCAAAGTACGCTTTCAACTCGCCAACTCGGCCTCTCAATTGGCACCATCATCAAGTGAATCAACAGGTGGTCTACAACGGCACGTATCAAAAGCCAGGTTCGGGACAGGAGTGTTTATGGCTCTGCGCGACGCGGTGCAGGTGGATGGATGGAAGGGGCTTTATAGAGGTCTGATACCAAACTTGGTAGGGGGCGCTGGGTCTTGGGGACTATATTTCCTTTTGTGCGTACCCTGAAGTATTGGTCGTTTGTGGAAAGAGCTGATTGTTCTGGATAGCTACAACATGATCAAAAAAGAGATGCAGGGCGGCGACCCAGCGTACAAGACGAGTAGTGGTCAACATCTTTTAGCTGCTGCTGAAGCTAGTCAGTCTTACCCTTTCTCTCCCGGATACTCTCTCTATAACGGAGATATCTCAAGATGCGTACGAGGGCAAAGCTGACGAAGAAAACAGGCGCAATAACAGCGATGATGACAAACCCCATCTGGGTCGTGAAAACAAGAGTCTTTGGGACAGCCAAAAATGATCCAGCAGCCTATCGGGGTCTATGGGGTGCGTCCTTTCTCTTTCTCTCTCCTCGTATCCCAGTTCAACACTAACACTCCGTTCGTCATATAGACGGCCTGACATCGATATACGCAAAAGAAGGTCTCCGCGGTCTCTACAAAGGCTCCCTCCTCGCTCTCGTCGGTGTATCCAACGGGTCTATCCAGTTTGCGGCGTATGAAGAGATCAAGAGGAGACGGACGGAGGTTAAGAAGCGGTTGTTTGAGTTGGAAGGGAAGACGTGGGGCGCGGGCGATGAGAAACTTGTGAGTTCTTCTGTAATTGTGTTTTGGAGGCGGAGGTCCGTCTTGGGGCAGCGCTGACAGTAGGAATAGTCGAATATAGAGTATATATTGGCATCAGGATCTTCGAAGCTTGTGGCTATCGCCCTTACATACCCCTACCAAGTCGTTCGCGCCCGTGTCCAAGTACGTCTTCCCTTCCCCTTCCCCCACCCCTTCCCCCATTCCCCTTCTCCTCTCCCTCAACTCTCAACTGACCCCCCAATCGCAGAACTTTTCCCCGACCCTAACCCTCCCCAAGCCCCCTCCCCTCCCCCACCTCATCTCCTCCATATTCCGCCAAGAAGGCTTGCTCGCATTCTACAAGGGCCTCGGTACGAATGCGCTCAGGATCTTGCCGGGGACGTGTACGACGTTTGTTGTTTATGAGAATCTGGTGTGGGGGTTTAGGCGGGTTGCTGCGCGGAATGGGGGGGAGGAGGAGTTGAAATAGAGAGGGATAGATCAGGCGAAAGAGGACATCGTCAATTGGGGAGGAGCAGGAGAGAGGAGAGAGGAGAGAGAGGCATTTTCACCGCGCATACTTTACTGCATTCACACCATCATCGAGTATAGATTTGTACTCCTATAGTAATCAATTCTGTATTCAACAGGCCATCTTCATAGACGATACAATCGTTCATCAACATCAATTTGGACCAGCAGTGCGAGCGAGTACGGCTTGTGTTTTGACTACATCAACTTTTTCGTGCTACAAGTCATCGTAGCTGTATAAGCACACCATTCCCCTCTTCATCTTCTAAGTACGCGGGGATGAGGAGCCAGCCGAGGAGTTGATGGCAGTGAGGTCCATGCTGGGCTTGGAGCAGGAGGTTTAGTGTCGTTAGCGGCTCGTGAGACCTAGTGGTATGATGTATGCATTCCAAGATGAACATCGTAGAAGAAGCGTGAGCCACTCCCTTAAGCAACATACTTGAGCACCCCTCGATCCTCCTCATCCCTTTCCAAGAACTCCCTCTCAATCAGACTCTCTACCCTCTTCTTGATCTCCTTTACATCGGGCGGGAACCTCTTGCTCACTTCGCCTACCACAGCGTCGATGAGGAGCTGGAGGGAAAGACGTTTGCGAGCTTTCATGAGGCGGACGAGGGTGGCTTCGAGGATGGATGTGCGGTCGAGGGAGATTTGGTTTTGGGTGGATTTGGATTCTTCCGCCTGCAAACATCGTCAGCCTGAGACATGGGCACCGAGAAAGATGAGGAAGAGACGTACGCTGATGTCTTGCTGGATACCGTTGATTCTGAACTTGAACTTGTCCCCGGAGAAAGACTTGTTCCATCCAAACACATCGCTATCCTTGACCTCTTTCCCTGGCGGTTTCTTGAGCAACACTCGCGTCCCCTTCTTTCCGAGCGCGAGGGACTGAAGTGTGGGTGTCAATTCGTTCACAGCTGATATCTGGCTTAGCTCTGTACTTTCAACAAAGAGCAAGAAGACCCACGGATCCCACTCCTCTCTCTGATGTCTTTCACGGTCAAATGATCATTATCATTGAATATGATCAATACCACCGCCTGATACAAGCTCACTCCGATCTCATACCTTTTCTCTCCACCCTCCGTCCCCTGTCCAAACCGCGCCGTCATCGTAACACTGCCCAAGCCCCAGCGCCATGCGAGTACACGGTTCTTGTATCTGTCCTTATACCAAGCTTCAAATGACGCAATGTCATTCTGCAACACTTGTGGGAGGCGGAAGGGCGAGATGACGGGTGTTGTGGTGGTGGTAGTGGAAGTGAAGGAAGAGGAAGAGGATGAAGCTGGCCAGGCGGATTCGGTGAGAACGTTTGTGGTGAAATTCAGATTGGAGGAAGGATTGGCGGTTTGGTATGCTTTTACCAATCTGCTTGGGTCGTTAGTGACCTGGATCGAAACGGAGGAGAAGGGAACGTACGTCTCTGAAACTTGCAGATCCTTCATCATAATGTCGCCCGCCGTAAACTCTTCGCCCATCTCTTTCTGCAACATTCTCACCAAGCCCTTTTCACTATCATCACTCGCGCTCTTGCTCAGCAGTAGACGTTTGGCAAGAGAGCGTCCGTAAAACGCTTTGAACACGTCTTTATCAAGGAGCAAACCTGAAAGATGCACGATCTCGGATAGGTGAGATTGGAATGAAGGGACGTCGTCGGATGGGACAGTGCTTGAAGAAGGCGGCTTGACCGATCCGCGCCGCATCACTCTGTCGAGATACTTTGCCACATACTCTGCCGGGACCGCTTCCCTCTTTGCCAACCCCGCCTTGAACCCCGTCCTTACACTCTCAGAAAGCTCAAAGTAATGTTCCTTGGATAGCTTCTCGTCGATGGCGCGAGTGGGTGGAGAGGACATGAGAGCATCGCCGTCAGAGTCGAGAAGAGGGGCCTTGCCTTTGCCGTCAGTGGGGTCGGGGATGGAGCGAGGGAAGAGTGAGTCGATAAGGGCGTTAATCCATCGTCGTAGCGCCAAAAGGTCCCAGACCATCAACTCGCCATCTACCGCTTCCTTTTCCTTCTCGTCCTTCGCGGTCGCGCCTCGGAGTGCAATCTCGCCCACCTTCTCCTTACAAAAGCTCTCCACAGAGGAGACGAGAATGTCAAACGCCATGACATTCGTCGTGTATTCGTACACCTCGGCGAGTGCACTGCCGTCCGAAGCGAGGGAGAGAGCGTGGTAGACGGCAGAGAGGATGATACCGCCGTCTTCGACTTCTTCAGACGTCTCTTTGAGGATGTTGCCGGCGACTTCTTCGGCAAAAGACATACTGACACACCATTGGGCGCGACAGACTTCTTCTTTGAGAGACTGCAGGTACCAGGAGATGTATGCCGCCGCTTCGGGATGGGAGGCGATACCCGCAATCTTCCCCTGACAAGTGTTGAGGTAGTATTCGCGAGTGGCTTCGAGCCATTTCTCCGTTTCGACTTCGAACGAGTGAAGGGAGAGGTCACGAGAGAGAGAGAAATTGTCCTTGATGGTCTGTCTTTGTTGCGGATTGGATGGCGAGGGAGAAGAGGCGCGCTCTAGGGCAAGCCAGTCTAGGAGCTCGGCACAGCGAGCGCTGGAGAGGATGTCGTCTTCCCATACTTGCTGTCTGAAGACGCGGGCCACACGCGAGTTCAGCGGCTCGATTGCCGTAGGGGGGTCAAGGTAGACAAGTAATGAACGCAGCAAGTCCTGATAATGGTCAGCACGAGACGAGAAGGACTGAGCAGACTTACGGTGCGTTGTTTCAGAGAGCGCCACTCTTGTGTGATCTTGGCCAAGATGCCCTTATCCCTCGCCATTACTCCTCTCCTCAGCTCCTTGGTGATAGTCTGGCATGTCTGCACGAGTTCCTGCTCGAAAGTGTCGAGCACTCTTTTGTTCAGATCGGGCTGCTTGAGTGCAATGTTCCGTGTGAGGGTAGAGATGTGGTGGTACGACACTGGCGTCGGCTTGAAGGTCAAAATGGCCTTGATGGATTCTGCTAGAGGTTCTATCTGCGCATGGATAGAGGACTGGGGCTGGGAAGGCAGGTGGAGGGAGACGGTGGGGACGGTGGATTGTGCGGCGAGGGCGGGGTTGATAAAGTCGTTGTAGGCATTCTTGCTGGGAGTATACCGTGAGAATGCGTTGGATCTTGAGGGGAGCTGTATGAGGGCTGGCATTGAGAAGTATAGAGACTGTATAAGAGCAAATAGGAAAGATGGAGAGAATGAGCGGGTCCGGACGCGGTGCGCGCCATCCTCCGCTGTCGGAAACTCCGTTATGGACACGTGGCTCCCTGACCGGACCCGTGGGACCCCATCTACGCGAGCATTTACGGTTATCGCTATGCATCTCATTTCTCTTTTGCATCATCACAGCGATGGACAAACAGGAGGGCACTATTCGCCACAGAAAGCCCCCCAAGGCGCAGGCCGACGGCGCTGAAGATGGCGCTGAAGATGGCGCTGAAGATGGCGCCCACGGCGCTCAAGACGCCCCCGACAAGGCCTTCGACCAGGCCACCTGGGGCAAGACGGCCTCTGGCGCAGTGTTCAGAGTCCCAGAGACCCACTCCTTCGTCCACACCCTCTTGACTACTACTCATCGCTCGTCTCTTACCCGCCTCACGCTCTTCTCGCTCCTGGCCCAGCCGCTGCTCTTTTACCTCTTCCGCAACCATCACACGACTCGCTCGCTCTTCTTCCTGCTCTACTTTGCCTTCTGGCGAGGCTGCTATGACTGGGGCTTTGCTTGGGTTTTGCGAAAGCAGTCGGAGAAGAAATGGATCGTCAAGCTTTTGCGCAACTGGGGCTGGCTCGACGTCAATTCGGACCAGGGCGGTGAAGAGGGCCGTGCATGGGCGAAATGGTGGAAGCGTGAGCTCGAGATGAAGATGGATGAGGGATACGGATGGGAGGCAGTGCCCCAAGAATTCAACGCTTGGTTGATGTTTCGCCAGCTAGTCGATGTCGTCCTTCTCAAGTGCGTCTTTTCCTCTTTCTGCTTTGCTCTATACTGAACTCAAGTAGCGATTTCGTGGCATACACTTGCTTTGCGTGGTCCCATCTCCACTTCCCCGCCAACCATTCTGTCGCCATGCACATTCTCCGATGGACACTTGGCCTGTCTTTGATCCTATTCAATCTCTGGGTCAAGATTGACGCCCACAGAGTCGTCAAAGACTATGCCTGGTACTGGGGAGACGCGTTCTGGATGATGGTAATGCAGCACGATCTCGTGTTTGACGGCGTGTATGAGATTGCGCCTCATCCGATGTACTCTGTGGGTTATGCTGGATACTATGGCTTGTCTATGCGTAAGTACTTGACATTGCGTTTGTACTCGCGCTGACCCCTTGTAGTCGTCGGCTCGTACACTGTCCTCTTCGTATCTATCGCCGCCCACGCCGCTCAATTCGCTTTCCTTCTCTGGTTTGAAAACCCTCGTACGTCTTCGCACGCCTTGACACATGGCCTCGTGCTGACGTTCCCCTCCTTTCGGGACCATTGTTGACAGATATCGAGCGTACTTATGGTGGCGGCAAGAAACCCCTCGCTTCTCGCGTCCCTGTCAATTGGCAGGATGACGAAAAGGCAGAAGAGCTTCACAGAACCCCAGGCGAGACGGGCGCACCGACACCGTCCGCTACTGAGGGCGAAACCGAGACCGAGCCAGAGCTCGCCGACCCCACTCCCAATTCGTCACCCGAGAAGGATGTCAGGATCGTCAAGCCCCGGTCAGACAGCGTCTTTTCAGAGACTTCTAATCTGACTGCGACGTCTCCAACGGCGATGCCACGAGAGCTGAAACAGCCGGCTTCTGCGATGGGTTCTGGTGTTACCACACCGATTGGTGGAAAGATCAGGAAGAGTTTCAGCAAGAGGAACAAGATGACGATGCACGACCTAACCAACCGGTTCTTCCGAAAGCCTGTCGTTCTTTTCTCTCATCTGGACATGTTCCGGTAAGTGCTCTTCTTTTTGTTTGAAAGTAACTGACAGTTCACAGCGCTACCGACTTTGCCCTCGTCCTCCTTGTCACCTACTCTGTCGTCACCCTGATCCCTCCTCTCTCCCCAGGCCTCGCCCTCACTGCACACTTCGTCCACGCCCTCTTCTGGCGCCTCTTCCACTCTCTCGGACTGGGACTTTTGCTTCTAGCGCAAAGCAAGGACAAGTGGATGGTCAGGCATTACTTGAAGCACTACCACTACCCCTCCGATGTCCGTCTGGATGAGTGGGAGGATGAAGAGCTGGAACCTGGAGAGAAGGCTGGTAAGGGTAAGGAAGGTGTTGTAAGGCGAGCGACGGAGGAAGCTTTTGGCAATTGGCAAGTGGTATACAACATCAGTCTGGTTATGACCTATGGTATGTTTCTCGCCCCACACCCGACCCAGCTAAAATCCCGTAGTCTCTTTCGCCGGCCTCGCCTGGAAGACGTACCACCTCCCTTCCGACTGGACCGTATCCGGCACTCTCCTCCGGCACATCCTCGGCCTCTCCCTCATCGCGCTCCACATCTGGTCCGCCCTCTCGTCTTATGAAGTCCTCGGCGCCTATGGATGGTTCTACTCAGATTTCTTCCTCTTCTCGTCCTACCTCCCCTCAGACTTGGCATACACGGGTATATACCGGTTCTTGAACAACCCCGAGAGGTCTATGGGCGGTGCGGCGTTTTTGGGATGTTGGTTGATGGGTGGGAGCTGGTTAGTTGGAGTGCTGGGTGTGGTCAGTCATTTGTGTCATTGGTGGTTCTTGGAATTCGTCGAGGGGTGAGTTTCCTTTGGACCTCTGGAGGGCCGTGCTGACTCAAAGACAGCCCGCATATGCAGAAACTCTACGGCAACCGTCTCCGTAAAGACGGCGGTCTCACCAAAACCCTCAAATCCAACCTTCCCAACTCTACGGCCGTCCGCCAAGCCGTATCCAAGCACCCTAGAGTGTCGCGAGTCGTTTCGGAAGTCAATAGGGGCATTGAAAAGGTGGAAGAACGAGTCAGGGGCGGGGTGGAAGACTTTTTGGATCATGCGAGGCCGATGTTGGATGGGGTTGTGGACGATGCTAGGGGGCTGTTGCAGCAGTCTAGGGAGAGGATGATCATCACGTGAGTTTGTCTTCTTGTCTTCTTTGCATAAGTTGACAGTAGTGTAGTCGCGTGGCCAAGCCTAAAGACCTCACTTCTTACGACCCGTCTTCCTACTCTCTCCAGATCCCGACCTCTTCCTCGTCTCCTACGCCCTACCCCGCGTTCCACGTCGGCCAGCCCATTCCCATCTCCTGGACTGCCCCTTCGAACCACTCTTCCAAAGACTGGATCGGTATCTACCGACTCGGCAGCTGCAAGAGCGAGATCGTCACCAAGATCTCGAGTGTTGGCAAGTGGGTTGGAGTTTATGAGGAGGAATGGGAGGGTAATGAGCACGTCACGCCGGAGAGTGAGGGTCAGAAGGCGGACGCTGGGATGGTTGTCTTGAAGGGCAAGCAATTGCCTTGGCAGCCGGGACAGTACGAAATTCGGTACCACCACGATGGGAAACACAACGTCATGTCCCGTCTCGCCCCGATTGAGCTCTACGTCGACAAACCTCGTGCTTCTCGCTCTTCCCGCGTGTCTTCTCCCCGTCGTTCTTCCGCATCTCTGTCTTCCTCCCCTTCCAAGTCGGTGAAGACGGCCGAGATCAGGGAGGAAGTCGGCGTGAAGGAGGTGAGGGAGACGATGATGAAGCTCGTTTGTCTGGCTTTGGAGGGCGAGGACGAGCTAGTTCCCAAGGCGGCAAAGGGCAAGGCTGTTATGAAGTTTGCGGCTGTCCCCACTGCCGCATCTCAAGTCTCGCCCGGCAAGGCTTTCAACAAGCCCACTCTGTCTTACACGCCCGAGCTTGACGAGGGCGAAGACGGCGTTGAAGCCGATGCCGAGGTTGAGGACCAAGGCTCCCTCTTGGGCTCTGGTGTAGCCGGAGGAGAGAAGCGAGCTGGAAAGGCTGGAAAGGCGGATAAGAAGGGGAAAGGGAAGAAGGGTGGAGTCGGGATCGAAGACGAGGTGACGCCCACCAAGGACACCTTCTCGCCTAGCAATCTTGCTTCTGCCGACAATCCACAAACTCTCGACCACCTGGCCTCTCTCGCTGACCGGTCTGCCGTCCCCCAACCTTCCATCCTAGGCTTGGCCGACGACGACTCTACTCGCGACCCCGGTATAGACCGCTCTGTCGATCCCGACAGCGACCCCGAACCCGAGGCGGACGATTTCACAATCATGACCGAAACCCAAGCCAAACGCATCGCCACACTTGCCAAATACGCCTTTGGGGTAGAGCTGGATGCGGATGTGGTAGTGGCGGAGGCGAATGTGGGGGCGTTGGCGAGGAGGGTTGTGGGTGCTTGGAGTTTGGCGGGCGTATAGGCCTGAAGCTCGATTTCGTGCAGTAAAAGAGAGAGGATAGGAGCAAGCTAAGCATCGAGCCGCTGGAGATACCGCAAGTGTATCTCGGGAGGAGGAGGCAAAAAATTATCATCGTACAATCATGTTATCGCAAAAACCACCCCTTGTTAGACTATAGAATGATACGCTTCTGCGTAGCTTATATGCATATCAGAACTTGCCTGTCTATAGTCCATCGCTACCACGCGCTCATGGCTAGACACTCGGCGACATCATGCAATGTGATGCATATGACGTCGATATCCCTTTTTCACGCCAAAGAAGCAACGCCATATCATGTCGAGTATGTACGTACCGAGGCGGGCTGAACTGCACAGTGGCGTTGAACGAGGTATCGAAATGCCACTTTCCACCCCCCAAAAGATCCGAAAACGCCTTGCTCCTTGCCTGACCTTGCTCTTTATCCTCCGTTTTCATGAGAGCCCATGGATATTTGCCCGGTATCTCCTCCCAAGCTTCCTTTTGGAGGTGGCCTATGTTCAGCTTGCACTGGCATGCCAAACGTCCCCACCGAGGTGGTTGAGGTGTTTGAGTATTATTCTCGTCGGTGCTCATAACAGCCGACCTACAATTGACGGCCGCTGCTGATGCTGATGCTTTGTCGTTTGCGGGGTGTGCGTGGGGTCGGTAGTGCTCAAGCAACATACTAGCCGCAAGGGTCATGTCGTTCTGCGCTGCAAGGACAAAGCAGTCCAGAGGCTGGAAAACCCCGTGACCCTCATCTGAATTGAGAGCCATAGAACAAAGCCAATCCTCCATGACACGAAGTATCATCCTGCACTCATATTGGCGCGCGAAACGCAGAGCACCGCTGAAGGAAGAGATGAATGTGGCTTTGTGGGTTTTGAGGACGTCGGTGATGGGCTCGATGTTCAAGGCGGAGAGGAATACGGCGATGGCACCGCTACTTTCGCCGTGGGGGCCGGTGAGGGCTACCTCTGTAGGGGATTGCGGTGAATGCGAAGAGGCCATAGCTTCTTTGTACAAGTCATTGATTCGAGAGCTGGGTGGGGTCAGCGTAGGGCCATAATCGAGGGCACAGCTAACATCGGAACTCACCTTTGACCGCGGAAAGCGTACGAATCTATAAAGAACTTGACGTTATCGCTACTGATCAACACAGTATCACAGTGAATGTCGTCCCATTGTCTATGTATGGATGGAGCTCTACCCGGATCGGGTGTGGAAGGAAGCGACGGCCTTCGCATTGTCATCAGCATCTGGGTACCGGAGGTTGGCTTCTCGAGCTCACCTGACGTCCCCGTTGATACCCGCTGCCTTGAAGCTCCATCTTTCGTCCCCAATAAGCCTCAGAAACACCTTTCGCTCGAAGCATTGCGTCAGCGATTCCCATACGACAGTGGTGCAACGCCCATAGGAAATCCCCTTGAATGCTCTCCCAAGCGCGACGCTCAAGATTTCTGGGACTAAGCTCATCAGCACATCCCAAGCCGCCCCAGCCTCTCAATGCATTGGCAATGATATATTGAGGGCAGTCTTGTGGTGATTTGGGGTGCTGTGATTTGTGGGGTTTGAAGTGCTGGATCACCATACTCGCGGGTATCGGCATCTGGTTCAAACTCGACAGAACAAAAAGGTCAAGGGGATGATAGATTATTGGAAATATGATGGGGTTACAAGCCAGAGCACAAAGCCAGTCCTCGATAACTCGGAGGGCAATGGGGCAGTCCCACTTGCGGGCAAAGCGCAAGGTCCATTCGAGCGTAGGGATCAAGCTGTGGGCAAACGATGAGACCTTAGGTAGCAGGGGTTCCAGCTCCGTAGCAGACAAAAATAATGCGATAGCAGACGAGTGCTCGATCTCGGGATCGGCGAAGGGAATTTTGCGCTGGGGAGAGGCACCGTCGTCGGGCACGGGGCTGGGAACCGTCTGAAGCATGTCTCGCAGAGTTACGCTTTCCTGCTATCAGCAGGATATTCCATAGCATCGCTATGACTCACCTATGGGTCATCAACATATAGGATTGGACATAGAACTGAACGCCATCGCTGCTACAGAGTATGGTGTCGCAAGAGGAGTCGCCCCATTTGTCGTGGACCTTCGGGGCGGGCGAAGAAGTGGTGACCGAATCGGTGGATGGCGGTATGTCGCTTGTAGATGGATCCGTGGCCGACATAGCCGCAAGTTTGTGGATCTATAGATGAACGGTTAAGTAAAAACAACACAGCGCCGCCGGCATAGACTGCTGCAGCTGCTGGATCAGCTCGGAGCGCCGGTGCTTTACATGAGCCCGATCAACTTGATTTTGTCGTTGGTCTGACAATCTCCATGTATCTTCCTTCACCCTATGTCACACCTTTCTGGCCCTACAAGTACACTGAAAGAGTTGATCGTAGCTTAGAATCAGGACTTTCGGGGAATATAAATTATTGCGGCACACATAGAAGCAACTCGCAGAAGGACAAAAAAAACAAAAAGAAAACTGCTCCGGTGAGGGTCGAACTCACGATCTTCCGATTGATGGAATGTGGGATTTAACAGTCGGACGCCGTAACCAACTTAGCCACAGAGCATGTGACGAAAACAAATATTATGGGACGTCCCTGACACTAGTTGTCCAAGCACAGGATCCAGAGTCAGCGTTGAGGATGACACGCGTGAGCAGACCATAAAAAAATAAGTTGAAGGAGTCGTACGTTTGGTGACACATTTGGAAAAACGGGAGAGGGCGGAGTTTAGAGGGATACTGCAAGGGCGAGCTCAAGGCATGACATGAGACTTTTCATCTCCCATTTGATAGCCATACCGATCCGCAGAGTGTTGGGAGCTGGGTGGCCTCCAGGAGTTCTTGAGCATCAGAGATTACATGGAAGGTAGAGGCATCCAGTTGGGAAGCAAACATGTCTTGGCGGAGGCAATACTTGCCATGGGGTTGTGGACACTGCACATGGGCGACTCGATCAGGCATTCTGCTGAGGTTATTGGCCAATAAAAGATACCAACAGCTCAAAGAGCAGCCCTTCCACCATTTCGACGCCATGAAGTACATCCTCGAGAATCATATCGCTTGAGAACGTCGCCGGCCCCCTTTTCCAATCGCTCAGCCTCCCCTGACGCTCCCTTGTTGAGCTGGAGGAAAGACGAATGTGGGACAGAAGAGGGAGCGTCAGGGGAGACTGAGCGATTGGAAAGTCGAGAGTGAATGGGGCCGGCGAGGTTCCCGGTAGCGATATGATTATCAAGGATGTACTTCATGGCGTCGAAATGGTGGAAGGGCTGCTCTTTAAGCTTTTTGTATCTTTTATTGTTCTGTAGAAAAGTCAGCCACAGATACCACAGATATGCAAGGAGGCTTTCTAGTATATCTTTTAGAAGGATGAAATACTCACCGAGATAAACCCTTCCCATTCCTCTTCGCTCATTTGAAGTTTACCATCTTTGAACCCTCGCCCCGATTTGCCAGCCACACTGGCGATGGGCGCATACCAGTCCCTTTTGAGTTGTTTTGATCCTTCCATTGTCGAGCTTCTTGACTGTCGCCTGCATATCATGTTGTCCTAAATCCTTGTTAGCAAGTAGATGACAATCGAAGTGGCACTAATCACCAAGAGCGCTCTGTCTGCCACTTCTAGTCCGTAGCAGAGGCTCGTAAACCATCTTATAGTTCAAGAACTCAGAGCGCAAGTTGCAATGTGCTGTATGGATGCGGATGATGTGCTCCCCCGATAGGAGGGACCATTCACGCCTATAATGGCGATCTCCTCGTCCTCCAAAGCCCTCCTATGGACTTCGCCTCAAAGAGGGGCCTTGAACTCGGATTTCTCAAGAGGCCGGTGGTCCTTCATGGGCTTCTTGCCCTTCCTGTCTTCCAAAATCTCTGGTGCGATTGACTCGATCAATCCTTGATCGAAGTCGCTGAGAGGTGTGTCAGTTACAAGTTACGACAAAAGAAGGATACGCGGACTCGCTTTTTGATATCGATGAGCACGTCAACCAGCTTCTAGTCAATGATCGCGTGCTGTGGGGCGGTAAATCCTTTCTTGTTATGCACCCCATTTTCCCTTCCCTTGTCGAATACAGATTGCGCATCCGCAGCGCCATAATTGTGGACAATAGTGTCGTAGACAGTGGATGACAAGGAAGTCGAGGTATTTCCCTCATGCGCTCCAGTAGCAGGAGTAGAGGTGGTTTGAGGATTCTGAGATGCGTTTGCAGAGGGTGTCTGCACGATTTACTCAGCCTGATGCTGTTGGGTGAAGGGCTGAGAGTGGTTGGGGGACATTTGGCTGGTCATAGTCGAAGTCTGGTGATTTGGGGGCGTTGATGAGTAGTTGCAGGTCTGGCTCGACGCAAGCCCCGTACGTACGCAGGATGAGGGGCTTGCGTCGAGCCAGATTTGCAGGTGTATGAAAGAAGAACAATTGTCGTTCCGCCTTCGTTGTTGTTGCGTTAACCGACGGGAGCAAATTGAGATGCAGCACCCCACATAAGCCGCGCATGTCCTCTTGCATCCTGAATCATATCTCATCTCCCATAGTCCACCTATACAGCATGCCCGTCCAGGACTACGAAAAGATCGTCAAGCTCGCGTGCAAACCCAAGAATGCGCCCCCGAAAGCAAAGGTGCGTACGCTCGAGCGTCATATAGGGCGGGGCTGATTTGTTTGTGCAGTATATCGAGTACGTCATCGAGACTGTACTTGGATGGGATAGTATATGTTGGATGAAGGCTGACATGATGTAGTGCGCTGATAGCAGCGACCTACGCCGACGACCGTACCCTAGAAGACATCATCCAAGCTCTGGCCTTCCGTCTGAGGGACAACAATGGCGTCGTGGGTTTATCATCCGCCTCGTGGTCGACAAGTCACGCTGACACCTGCTGCCATCTGTCCCTCATAGGTCGTGTTCAAGGCGCTCTTGACGTTACATCAGATGATTAGGACAGGTGCTTCGGAGGGATTGTTGGAGATTCTCGCGAGGCATGATGTTTTGAAGCTCAGGGGTCTCGGTGGACGGGGATATCAGGGTACGTCGCTTTGCTCTTGTTGACCAAGAAGGCTGTGAGCTGATCATTACGCAGGCTACATTCCTCCGGCCAGTTTGGGCGCTTACGCCGACTATCTCGATGCCCGAATGCGGTCTTATCGCGATGTTAAACACGACCTTGTCCGAGTACAGACGGAGAGTAACAGGCGGAGCGATGGACTCGGTGCTGCTTGTAAGTCCACCATCACCTACGTTCGTGCTCCCACTGACGCCTTGAATAGCCAAAGCGAGGAGATTAAGACATCTTCCGGTCGAAAAAGGTCTTTTGAGAGAGGTCAAACAGGTGCAAAAGCTTTTGGATGCTCTTGTCCGGTGCAAGGTGAGTCTTTACAGCTTGAGCGTAGATTTCGAGACTGACGACGGGTAGTTCTATGATGATGATCTCCGGGACGAAAACACGGTCCTCGCTCTCCGTTTATTAGTCAAGGACCTTCTTGTGCTGTTCCAAGCCGGCAACGAAGGCGTCTGCAACATCCTCGGTAAGCCCCCCTCCCCCTCCCACATCAAGCTTACATAGTTCCAGAACACTACTTTGAAATGTCCAAAATCGACGCCACCGACGCCTTCCAAACCTACAAATCCTTCATCTCCCAAACCGACCGCGTCGTCGACTATCTCTCCATCGCGCGCAAACTGAACCACATCCTCAACGTGCCCGTGCCGAATTTGAAGCATGCGCCGACGGGGCTGGTGAAGGCGTTGGAAGAGTATTTGGAGGATCCGAATTTTGAGCAGAATCGGTTGGAGTATAAAAGGAGTTTGGGGGTGGTGGAGGGGAGGGGGGAGGGGTCGGGTAGTGGGGCGGCGGCGGGGGCTGCACCGGCCGCGAGGGCTTCGTCGCCGAGTAAACCGAAGGAAGCGGCCAAACCAACCGAAAACCTCGTCAAGCCCGCCGCAGCGCCTCCCGGCTCATCCCAAAAGATCCAAGACTTTTTCGAAAGCATCCAAGCAGACTCGCAGCCTACCATGTTTGGCGGTCCTCCCCAGCAGTACGTCCTATCTCTCATCATATGTTCATAAAACTAACGATCTTTGGTAGGATGAATTATGCGAATATGACGGTGAACCAACAACAATTCAACCCCTTCCGCCAGAGTATGATGTACCCCCAACAAACCGGTTTCATGCAGCCGCAACAAACTGGGTTCCCTCCCCAACAGCAACAACCGTTCCACCAACAGCCCTTCCAGCAACAACAGCAAGGGGGGTTCTTGCAGCCCCAGCAAACGGGAGCGATGGCGTTTGGGAATCGGCAGAGTATCTTCCCGGGACAGATGGGCGCGGGGGGAGAGTTTGGGGCTATGCAGCCGCAGCAGACGGGTTTCATCCAACCCCAACCTCAGGCTCAACCCCAGCAGCATCAGCAGCAGTTGCAACCCCAGCAGACGGGCTTTTTGCAGCCCCAATCGACGGGGTCAAACCCGTTCAGGCAGAGTATGATGTTTGGTTCTCAGCCTGCTTCGCCTTTCGGTCAAGGGCAAGGAAACGCGCAGATTCAAAGACCGGGGTCGACACCTGCTTTTGGATCGGGGTCTCCTTTCGCACCCCAACCTACCGGCGCTGGTTCTTCACCCTTCAGACCGACTACGGGCAATGCTCGAGCTGGGCTCTCGGCGTCCCCGAAACCGCTTCAGCCCCAAGCGACGGGCTCCAAGAACCCATTCGCGCCCGCGCCTGGGTCGGCGCCCGCGGCGTCTAGTGCCAGTATGCAGCAGCAGCAGGAGAGGAAGCCGACGATGAATGAGTTGTTGATGGGGTATGGGCAGGGGCAGGGCCCGCAGGGGCAAGGTCAGCTATTTGGCCAGGGGCAGGGGCAAGGGCAAGGTCAGCAAGGACAAGGGCAAGGGGATGGGATGTCCTCGATCGCGAGTCAGTTTGCAGTTGGCGAAAAATCCAACGGCGCCTCCACCGCGAATGGGAACAACGACATCTTCTCCCAATTCTCGTCCCTCTCCGGTAACCCCACCGGCTCTACATCCCCCCCCTCTCAACCCGCCTCCACCTCTTTCGGCGGGCTGTCGTCCAACCCCACCGGCGCGACGTCGCTCTCGTCCCAGCCTACCGGTGCAGGTGCAGCTGGATTCTTGCAGCCGCAGCAAACGGGGTATGGGGGCTCGAATATCAAGCCGTTCAAGCCGAGTAGCAGCTTTGGGAATACGTTGATGGAGAGTTTGCCGCCTATCCCTGAGCCTGGGAGTGGGGCGGGGACGCCCAGGCAGGGGCAGGGGCAGGGGGTGACGAGTCCGTCGGCCGGGGGGTTGAGTGCGCAGGCTACTGGGTTCCCTGGTTTGGGGCAAGGAGGGTTCTTGCAGCCTAGTACGACTGGTCTCCCTCAATCGCAATCCCAGCCTCAGCAAAGGCAGCACCAACCGCAATCCCAATTCGGCCAAACCCTCTCACCGCAGATGACGGGCGCAAACCCTTTCAGGCAGTCGACCATGTTTGGCGCTGCTCCCGGCGCCGCCGCCGGCGCTGGGGCCGGGAGTGCGTTTGGGAGCGGTGGGGGTAGTCTTGGGGGTACAGGGGCGTTTGGAGGGGGAGCGGGCGGGGGGTTGAACCCGCAGTTGACGGGTGCTGGTGCGTTTGGAGTAGGCTCGCCGTTTGGAGGGCAGGGGCAGTTTGGTCAGTTTGGGCAGCAGCAGCAGCAACAGCAGGCTCAACAGACGGGGCAGGCCTTTGGGGGGCAGCAGCAGCAGCAGGGAGGGTCTTTGATCTAGTCTCTGGACTATTGGATTCAGGTTTTCGATTGTGGTTTGTCAAAAAGTATTGATTCTTTAGATCCCCCGTCTCGTCGGCGAGTTGTGTTGGACGCCGGACTTTCTTTAATACGTATACCTCTTCACTTGTTTCGTTTAGTTTCCTCGTATTCTCGTATTCTTAGCTCTCACTCTTAATGATATCCTTTCGCTCCTCTGTTTGTAGTCTTTCTTCGGTATACGTCTGTTGGTTATGGTTATGGTAGTGATAGTATGAGCACATGCATCTCGGGTTTTAATCATTATGTTACAAAGCCTCAAAGTGGGCATATGGTAATGGATACATGTTTTGAGGTATATGAATGCCTATCTATATCGCTGTATCTCAAATAGTATGGCTCAAGATTCTCAGTTCTCAAGTAGTTATACACTAGCCAACAAATGTCTTTGCGCCAGATCCAAAGCTCCAAGCTCCAAGATCCCGAGTCGCTATAGACGCTCATTGACCTTTCCTACTCCCAACAGGCGACCCCCTCCCTTTCGGCTCATCCTCTTCAAAACTATCATCCCCCATCTCATATATAATACCCCCATCAACCACGCTCCCCCGTCTCGCGCTGTTCTCGTTGTACCCCTTGGGCACGAAATCTTTTTCGTCCAGCCCCGCCAAGTCTACTTCACCCTTCTCCGACAGATCCGGCAAAGAGCCTGGCTGGGACTGCGAGCTGGTTCTAGAGAGGGTGGCTGATTTGGAAGAGTTGGACCTCGAAAGAGAAAGAGACTTGTCAGAAGATTTGGAAGGAGTCGGGCGGAGGACGTTAAAGTGCAGAGGGAGGGGTTTGGTGGGTGTTGTGTGAGCGTTGAATGGGGATGGGGGAGGGAAAGGGGGGAGGAGGATGTTGATGATGCCAGAAGCTAGCAGACCAATGCCTGATGAATGTTAGTGGAGGGCACGGGGAAGAAGGGAAGAAGGGAGGAAGGGGGGCAAGGGGGGACGTACTAAGCCCGACGAGTTTCTCTGGGGGGTTGTGGAAGTAGACAGCAGTCATCAAGATCATCCACATCCAAATGCCCA